GTGCACGATGACCGACCCTGGAGGCAAAATATTGAAACACAACCTCACTCTTCTGTGAATTATTGAAACACAACCTAACTTTTTTATTTGTTTACAGAGGAATCAAAAGGTTGAAATGGTTTTTCACAATATTTTGGCATACGAATCGTGTTTCTTGCGTTATTCATTAATTCAAGCATGCATTCGCATTGTGCTGTTGTACAATGCACAAAAAATGCAGCAAGAGACTAGGGAATATGATTTTTCAGGTAAATAGTAATCTCGCATAGTTATCATTATGAAATGTTCCTTATTAAAATTCCTTCTGCCTTCTGCCATTTCTGCAATACAAGCTAATACTGCTAATAGATTGAAAATGTATACAACACACACGATCGTCAGCATGTCAGACCAGTCCTACCGATTGATTGCATGAATCCAATCTTCTTGCATTATTCTAGAAATTTCAGGTATATTTCTATTAGCTCCTTATGCAGAAGGAATTCCGATGAGAGATCAGAGAAATAACCAAATTTCAAAAATGAAAACTATATGTGAGTGGCTATAGTAGGTACTTACTTTTAAATCATAATGTACCATCCGGATGCCTTCATCTGCCGCTGCAGTTTTTGTGCATTTTACAACAGCACAATGTGATGGCATGAGCGAATTGATGAATAGCGGAAAAATACGATTCGTATGCCAAAATAATTGTGAAAAACTATTTCGATCACTTGTAAACAAATAAGAAAAGTGACGTTGTGTTTCAATGTTTTGCCTCCAGCGTCGGTCATCTGACAGTTCTTGCACGCAACCTATCTCAGGTTAGGTTAGTTCAGGAAAGGAGCCAGAATGAGAGACCGATTTCTTACTTCATTATCGGGTCGGTATTTACTCACTCTTTATAACATTGAATCAGATTTATTTTCTTTACCAAACTTTTGACTGATGCTTCTCTACCACTGCTTCTGAGACCTGAATATCTTGATGAATAGATGAAATTAACTGGAACGAGAATAACTAACAGCTGTCATTGTCCAAAAACCTATACATTGCCAGAAATGCCATACAGCTGTAGTCGATAAATAACACTTTTTAATGAATCCTCAGACCTCCCAAAGAAGTGTTGGGCAATACTCACTAGAAGGGACGATTAGATAACGTTAGCTTAGATAAGAGAAGGCATTTGTCATCTATTTTCAATTCGATCCCTTGTCAATGCTAGTCATATTAATGTTGTCCTGACCTCCACAAGTGTTAAAATACTTGAAGTAGTGAGAGAATTATGGATATTATTTGTTGATTTAGGGACGATTTATTATGATTTGGTTTCAGACCTACGCCCTATGTGGCCTATGAGGCAAAGGCAAAACGATTACATAACTTGAAAAACGATTATATATACAGGGTGACATAAAAAAGTTGGCATGAAGATGTTATTTTGAGACGTAATATGCACTGACCAAAGAGGTCTTTGAAGGATATTGAAGTATTGTTTTTGTACTTCTGTGGCATTTCTTTGTATGCCTACTGAGAGGTATCCCTGGGATGTTGTGGGATGTTTTAGAAATGTAGGCATGAGGATGTTTTTCTGAGGCGTAATATGCACTTCCCAAAGAGGTCTCAGAAGGATATTGAAAGTATTGTTTTTGTTCTTTTGTGCCCTTTCTTTGTTTGCCCCACCAGAACGTGCATTTTTTCATTCAAGGGAAATGGAATCCTAATGCAAAAGTTCATTTTGACAAAAGGCTTCAGAAAAGTACCTCGAAAATGTTTTTTTACAGCGATGTAATGTGCGCAAGACGCGTTGAAAATGTTTTGTTGTGTCCATGAAAAGGCTTTAAAAAGAACTAGGGAGAAGGTAGTTTTGTGACATATCAAGGACATCTCGATAATTGCCGCCTGCGGCGGACATTGGCTGTTCTATAATACTTCTATTCATGTGTGAACAGAACATCGCAGTGGAGGTTCAATGTCTCGAAATCTCGTACTTTTAACATCTCTGAGATGTTTTTGTGCTCGCTGGGAGGACACTAAAATAAGGAGAAAAGTTCCTATGAACATGGGTCCGCAAGGCATTCGGTTAAAAGATACTTGGTGTTGAATTTATTTATTTTTTTTGGGTTTTCTTTGAATATCTTTAGCCAGAGACGCAAGAAATGGGTAAAATGTGGTGTTTTCAAGACTTCCATTGAGATTACTCAATAACCCCAATCACAATCAATTTGAAATTTTAGGGTTTCCTCAGTCTCTAACCATACTGAATTTTGGCACCATGAAAGCTTATACAGGGAGGTTATAAATAAAAACGATTGATACTTCCATCTTCAACATCCTGTATCTCAAAAACGGAGCAAGTTAGGATACATGTTTATATGAACTTTATTTGCTAGAATCTCACAAGGAATCACCCCTTGATTTTTTTCGGAAAAAAACTAGCATTGTCGAAAAAGACACTATAAGTACAAGGTGCCCATTGCTTGAGGGTATATTCCTTGAACAATTTCAAGTCGAAAGTGCCCTATACAATTTTGTCCAAAACTTTGAAGTAGAACAATATTGAATTCAACAAAGTATGTAGAATGAAGTGAAGACTCGAGTGAAGAGAATGTTGAATAAAGTAATGTAATATCTTATATCAATCAAGAATTTCATTATCACTTACACAAATTCAATTGAAGTATTTGTTCAAAATGTCCCCCAGCTGCTTCACAACACATTCTTGCTCTTTTGTTCTTCTAATAATTATCGAAAACATTGCTCTTTGAAGAGTATCTAGAACGTCTCGTATGGATGCAGCTGCAGTCATAATATTTTGAATTAACTCATCCCTGGTTTGTGCTTCATTTGATACACTATACCTTTTCAACTTCAATTTCGGAATCGGTAAGTTATATTTCGGAAAATGTAATCTCGATTTCAGAATTGGTTAGTTCGATATCAGAAATGGTAAACTCAATTTCAGAAACGGTGAGATGAATTTCAGAAAAAGTCCATTCAATTTCAGAAATGGTAAGTTGTATTTCAGAATTGGTAGGTTCAATATCATGAAGAAAATCCTTATATTTGTTCGAAATGTTTCCAATTGCATGTGAGATTAACAAACCATATTCAAAATATTCAACTTTTCAAAAACAATTTAATCCACAGATGCCTTCCATCTGATCGCTGGAAGATAGTGGCGTTGCACATGATCATAAGAATGCAAACACATTTGAGGTGTTATCATTTTCATTGAATGATCTGCACATTCTTCAAGACATCGCAGTCTGAATTCTATCTGGTTGAGCAATCTGTTCGGATCTCCAGCTATGACCCTTTGGCGATGCTCTTGCAAGAAGCTCTTCACTTCTGACTTGAAGGCACCCCATATATGTTCAATCTGATTCAACATAGGGCTCTCAAACACCGTTCCATCCACTGTAAACAGTCTTCTCTTTTGCAATTAAAAACATTTCAAACATATAAAAGGATTTCATCTTCTGAAATTGAACCTACCAATACTAATTCTGAAATACAAATTACCATTTCTGAAAAGGAATGGACTTTTTCTGGAATTCATCTCACCGATTCTGAAATTGAGTTTACCATTTCTGAAATCGAACTAACCAATTCTGAAATCGAGATTACTATTTCCGAAATATAACTCACCGATTCCGAAATTGAAGTTGAAAAGGTATAGACATTTTATGTGTCCCCAGAGTTTCAAACAAAAGTTTATGACGCACCTGTTCAAGGAGACACCCTGTATAATGTGTTACTCGGTATAAAAAATGCTCCATTATTTCGAATATTAGGTAGACCAGCAAAAACATCCTAGGCGTGACTAATGATAAGGGTCGACCAAAATTAAGCCACAAAAAATCACTATTCATTCGAATACAATGGACCAATCCCAGCAGTGATTTTGAGTCCATATAATTGGAGTATCGCTGATTGCACGAGAAAAAAATGCAGAAAATTACAAAGAGAGCATGTTGAACAGATGCTTCAGAGTATTTGGAAAATCCCTTTTGGCGTCCCGTCCCTACTAATCCTATTAGGGCTACAAATTAGGCGGAAGGGAACGTAATATAACAAAAAGGATGAATGACAAGCATCTCTTCGGCATCTGATCTGCTACTTAATCTGCAAAGTTTGTTCCGATATACAGGATGTGGATAAATATTAAATTCTAGTGGATCGCCTCATCGATATTTATAGTAAATATGATTGTAACGCCACTGGTTGTTTCGAGTCTGATATTTTCGATACTCTTTGATTTTTTGTTTCTTGCAATTTTTTGTGATGAATTCTCTAAACTTGTGGAGGATGTCGACTTGTGAAACAATTTCGAAATTCATTCCCCTATAATATGTTCCTATCTCGAATTTTCTCAACTTGTGGAACGTTTCTGAGATAATTCCATATTTCTAAATGTTTCTATATGTTAAATGAAACAAAATGAAAACATTCGTTCAACAAATTTGAAAATTCAAAACTAAACTATCTATTCATTATCCCAGATTTTTTGGGATTTTCGCTCCTCGTTTCTATTGAATAAAAATATGAATATTATTTCAATATACTTGTAGTAAGGACAAATCAGATGATTTGCCCAAAAATGTCACTTCGTTTAAAGAGTTTTCCTAGAAAATTTCACTAGCTTGTCAGTGACAATTTGTAATGAAGAAGGTTTGGAGAGGAGAAATAAAGGTATTTAGAAAAAATATCAAATTTTCACTTAGCTTTGGACGTTTCGAGAACGAATCTGCTCCAGTTTGCAACATAAAAAATGGATATTTGAATAGCAAATGGATACTTTTCCACTACACTGTTTTACCACTAACCAAACCGATTTTTTACCAGCCTCGACACGTGTTTCGCTAACTATGTTAGCATCTTCAGGAGAAGATTAAAACTGTCAGTTTAATAATATATAACATACGTAATTTCCACAATATTTTGTATTTTATACCTATTACATACGTAATTTCCACAATATTTTGTATTTTATACCTATTTCTATATTTTTCTTTCAGTTATACCTATGATATATTCAAGAAAGGACACAGGAAAACCTTAGACGTAGATGACCTGTACAATCCTATCGAAAGCGACAGAAGCACAGTACTAGGAGACAGATTAGAAAGGTATTAGCTCCGCATATTTTTCACGCAAATATTCATCTTCATCAGTTTCAGCATGCCAAAGCGATATACTGATACTGCAAAATGTACTTATACAAAAAAAAAACGCTGATTACCTACATCAAACAAATTTCCAGCATGCGGAAACAAAGCAATCTATTGATATTGTAGAACCATATCGTTGGTATTGATAACATTTTAATCAGTAGTAAGCGATCTATTACCTATGCTATAATCTAACGTTTGCAAAAATTCTGATAAATAATTTCATGACACAGAACATCCAATAGTTAGGAGGTAACTCCGTATCTCGCAATTCTACAAACATTTGTTGAACTTGTCAAAGTACCTACAACTCAATGACACTAGAGTTCATATGATCACTGCATTTTAACATTCAAATGTTAACAAATTTCGCCATATTGAAATGCTTATTACAAAAATAACATTTTTCTACGGCTATAACACAAAATTGCTCTTGTTTTACTGTGTTCGATACATCAATATGGTACTTTTTCTGCAACCGACACGAAAGTCGTCCATTTTGATACCAAAATTAGCTCTTAAATTGACGTTTCTATTACTGACACAAAAATAGGTATGTTGTTAGGCAACATATTTAGTTCCTAGGAGCTAAAGTTGAATTTTAGTTCCTAGGAGCTAAAGTTGAACTTTAGCTCCTAGGAACTAAAAAGGATCTACTGGACGTCATCAAGAATAAACAACATTGTGACGGTTGGTTATTTGGGTTGAAACGCATACCTGATTTGTTTCCGATTTCAGCAGATTTGGCATTTCATACCCATGCTGGAGATATAAATACACCTTATTATAGTTTAGTATTGGAATTATGAACATCTCAGTTAAGTATTTTTGTTTTGATCAGGGAAGCCTTCAAGATTCAAATACTTGCTTGATCTGTATTTCATTCGTTATTCTCGGGATGGATAACTTGTTTTTGAATAATCTTGGCAAGCAATAGTTTTTTTGTCTCAAACAACGATATTGTTTAGCTTCATTTGATTATCAAGTCAAACACAGTGTAGTATGGAGAGGAATAAATAATCGCTATTATCATTGTTGATATGCTCACTAACCTAACATTTTCTACGTCTTGTTCCTATAGCTGGCACTGGCGCGGTATTTGCCATTAGAGCACCTGGTCCATACACAAATATGTCACTCTGTGGTTGTATTTATATTGAAACTACAATTCGAACATCCTAGAAAACCTAACCTGCTGTTAATGCAGGTAGACTATTCTCACCACATGGATTATTTGTCAATATTTGTTGCATTGCATACATATGGCATGGCATTGGTGGTTACTTCACATGTTTATTTGAGTTAATTGTTTCGGTTGCAGAAAAAATAGCATGTTTCATTCGGATCAAAAGTGACTTTGTTCGACTCGCAAATTCTGCTTTCGCTCGGCTTCGCTAAACGCTCCGTCTCGCAATTGCAAAATTCGCTTGTCAAACAAAGTGTCACTTTTGATCCTAATAAAATAATCCACTATTGTATGTCATCAGTTTTATTTCCGTATCTGATATCACAATGACTCCATTATGTAATTATTTCAAAAAAATCTCATCGCTCATGGAATGTCAAATATGAAGCAATGACAGCTCTGTCTAATAGATGAGCATTACTTATAATACTACTAATAACTCCATTGTGTTATTATTTCCAAAAAATCGCTCATGGAATGTTGAATTTGAAGCATTGACAGCTTTGTCTATAATAGATGAGCATTACTTGAGATAGCTACAAGACGAATAAATGAAAAATGCCGCTGTTATCTGTTACAGCCGTAAAAAAATTATAGTGTATAACTCGCACGAAATGCTAATTTCCCACTCGAATGATCACAGCATTCGCGTGGGAAATCACTATCATTCCGTGCTCGTTAAACAATATACTATTTTCTATGTATTTCATGATATTTAATTACTGTCATATTCATATAACTGAACTATCTAATATACCAACTTGAAGAAATCAATATTTTTTGTAATCGCATCACATCACCACGTATCACAAATTGAATTACGAGCCCAACGACCTTATGCAACTTCGATAAGTTAAAACTCCTTGATGGGCTTTATATCTGATACAACCGCTTTATAACCTTCTCTTAGAGATATATCGATCAAGCTTTATCTCACTTGAAGATGTTCTGATCTAATTTTTGAAAACCCTATACGATGCAGATTATTCCGATTATGTCGATATACCGGGTGTCCCATAAACATACCGACAAACTTCAAGGGATGGTAGAGGACATCAAAATAAACATTCTTGCTCGATAAACATAAGTCCGGAAACTCTTCGTTTTCGAGATACAGGGTGTCACAAAGTGAGTTATTAATGTCTTCCTGAATATTTTTTATAAATTGATATTAATTATTTAACACTGATTAAACAAAACTCACCCAAACTATTTCAATTTTTTCCTGCCAAAACAGACATTATGATTACTAGGTAAACAAAAAAATTCATATGTAGATGTAAGAGATATGGTTTTTATTTTTTTCCTTCAAAACGAAGGTAACTACGGAAAAATTTCAATGGCCAAAAAAGTTGCATTTTTAGTTGTTTTTTTAAAAAAGATATCATAATTACAAAAAATATACTGGGCGATATTTTTTTGTGCAAAGCCCGTAGGCACGCCCCTGAAATTCTAATAGCTTCAAAAGATACCTTATGAATGCATCAATAATCTGTGAAAATTTCATCGCATTCGACTAAAGCGTTTTTACGATATTAATAAAAAAATCGATTTTTTTAAAAAATGTCAACACCCTGTATCTCGAAAACGAAGAGTTTCCGAACGTATGTTTATGGAGCAAAAATGTTTATTTTGATGTCCTCTACCATCCCTTGAAGTTTGTCGGTATGATTATGGGACACCCTGTATACGATTAGAATCATGATTCAGCAAATACTGCTTCACAAATTGTACTTAGGAATCGTTGTTTCACTTGAACGATACGAAAATTTCGGTATACAGGATCAGTCAGACTAACTTGTTTATCGAATCGCTACCACATCGTTACATACAGGGTATGTCACGACGAGCTTACACTATCTTTATATCGAGAATCAGTCGGGAGAAATCCATGAAAATGTGCATGCTTATATTTCAGGATATGCTCTCTTCATTTAAAATATTTTCGACAATGCAGTGTTGCCGATTCTACTAGAAAGTAGTAGCAACATTGATATTTCAAATGGACCACCCTGTATTTAATCGCATTTTTAGATTCTCCCTAAATATTTGATTTCATCGATATATCACACTTAGGGTCTATCGGAAATAATTACAGAGATATATCACTGATAAAAAGGATTCCTTGGATTGAAGGAATTTGACTTTACCTCAAGGGCGCCAAGCATTTGAATAGGGCGGAATGCATGGACATTTCGACCCAATATTCCAAAAACTTTGAGGCAAGCGCCTAAGTTTCTTTAGCATGAAATTATATAAATTCGAGGCAAGAAACTTTGGTTTTGCCCTAATAACTACTGCTTTTGGCTTAAAATCGTAGTTTTCCCAACTTATGGGGAATGTTGAGGTAATTACCATGATTTCTTTAGCCCAATGATATATGAGTTTATAGCAAAATACCCTGAACTTATCATGATGAACAATGATTTCTGGTCAAAATCATTGAGATATCATTTCAAAGTTATGAGATTTAAGATAAAAGATATGGTATTATTGTATTGAAATATAGGGCTCCGCTGTAAATACAGCAAATGTTTGATCCAATATCTTATGGTCTTGGAACACAATGTATATAATCTTGATGCAAATTCTCTGGAGATTTCTTGAGAGTATACTCCTGTAAAATGTTGAAATTATAATTAGAATTTCAATTGATTTCTATAAAGATTTTGAGGATCATGTTATTATGAATCCTTAACATTACCCCATTATTGGTTTGTTGATATTAGATTTAGTTCTGATGTTCTGACGAAAAAGCGTTTTGCATTGGTTGAAAATTAAAATATCCCATCAACTTGTTCTAGCTTCTTATTTATCCTTGGGCGAAGAATTGTGGAAATCCTGAAAAAACAACCATTGATAAAAAACTCTTTCATTTCATAAAATAACACATGAAACATTTTATATGATGATGAAATACCTATCTACTGAAATAAGTATAGGTGGGTACTTACCTTGAAATGTTTGGCTCAAACGCAACGCATCTAGAAGTTTTTCAAACTCCACTAAATCGCTCATGATCCACAGCACAACGCTACACGACAAATATGGCCGCTTAAATGCATTGGCAACGGGACGGTACTCGGCACGATGCAGAAGAAGAAGGATGATGGGAAGATAGGGCCGACCCATGCATTGCGCATGACTCAAACGGAGTCGGTATGTTTTCGGTTGACCTCGGGTGGACTCGATCTCATCAACGGTCTCAACCGAACGATTTCAGATCTTGTATCAAAGTATTGTGATCTTGAGGTAGATGCAAACCAAGCAGGACTAGAGACAAAGTCGATGATGTTCTCCCAAAAGCGTTTACAGCCAAAAGATTCAAAACATTATTACAAAAACAGCAATAATCTGCAGATGAGAGCAATGTATTTGAAAGGAAGAAATTGTCTTTGTCAGGAGAGAAAAGAATCTAAAAGCATCATTCTTTTGTCACCAATCGGGTATTTTTATCAGTGTAGGGTGTTCAAAATCGAGATTTTTCAACTCAAGGATTTTTGGGGTGGAAACTATTCAGTATCGGTCAAAACGGCTCACATGTTTCTATCTCAACATTTGATTCACTATTTACTGATATTGTATCGGAACATATACAGGGTGATTCAAGATTCAGATCAGTAAATGGTATATCAAAAGTTGAGATGGGGACATGTGAGTCGTGTTGGCCGATAATAAATAGTTTCGACACAAACAAATCCTAAAGCTGTGCGGCAACACAACTGTAAAAGTTGATATGATAAACCAACAAACATAATTAAAACATAAATATCCTGAATTATACAGGATTGCTTATTATCAGATATCTATACCTATAGGTACCTACCTATTGTACAGGTGAGTCGTAATACGCATTGCTGTATAAATCAGGACATCCATGTTTTAATCATTTTGCATCAATAAAAACTATCGGAATATAGATTTCTATTGATATGAGAGTGAAATTCACGTAAATGCCTGATCAACCGGTTGAAAAAGTAGTCCGCGAGCGCTAAAGTGCTCGCAAAACCGGACAGTAAAGTGCAAATTTACGCCCGGTCGTGCATAACAAACGACTGTACAGGGTGGGCAAAATTGGGCGTTTTCGCCGTCTATCTCAATAACTAGAGGAGTTATCGAAAAACCGATATACATGTTCCGGGTTCGATTTTGGAGAAACCTCGAATGGCACAATCAAAATTTCGATATCTTCATTCGTTTTAGAGATACAGAGATAAATTGAAAAGTTGCCGATTTCGATTTTATTTTCTGACTACTTTACGGTGAGAGGTATCAAAAAATTTCAAATGTATATTTATACAGTATGATGCTTGGAATCCATTGGCATCATCAGAAATTTTATACAGGGTGACGTTGAAAAGATACGGCAGCCAATTATGTTTTTTCTAATGGAACACCCCGTATATTTTGGCACAGTTGGCGTTTAGCGTTCTCATTACAAATATATATATAACCCTACCTTTTCCTTCCACAATTTCAGATATATTCGCAACAATATATTCAGTGTGTCACATTTCTTATGGTTACACCCCCGTATCTTCTGTAAAAATAATTGAGGTAGGATTTAAAAATTCGCAACTGTCAGAAAGATACAAATGATACACTCATGGAGTCATGGACCAAGTAGGATCATCTCCAATGATAACACTGCTCGCCAGCAGCTATGAAATCATCGATATTTCTGGATAATGCTATCAACAGGCAGAATCGAGGTTGAAAATGACACTCTGTATATATTCACCAAAGGTGGGAAATGATTATCATAGGGAATGTTATTTCCAGACAAATGGATATTTGGTGAGAAATAAAATGGGAAATTATTCGATTTAATATCATTGTTATCAAGACATTTGAGATACAGAAATGAGACCAATAATTTACTCAATCAGGAAATCAGTAGGTTGCGTTGAAAAATATAGCCTTACAGAAGATGTCCAAATTCCAGATACAGAAGATACGGGGGTGTAACCATAAGAAATGTGACACACTGAATATATTGTTGCGAATATATCTGAAATTGTGGAAGGAAAAGGTAGGGTTATATATATATTTGTAATGAGAACGCCTGGGACTATTGAACTGTGCCAAAATATACGGGGTGTTCCATTAGAAAAAACATAATTGGCTGCCGTATCTTTTCAACGTCACCCTGTATAAAATTTCTGATGATGCCAATGGATTCCACGCATCATACTGTATAAATATACGTTTGAAATTTTTTGATACCTCTCCCCGTAAAATAGTCAGAAAATAAAATCGAAATCGGCAAATTTTCAATTTCCCCCTGTATCTCTAAAACGAATGAAGATGTCGAAATTTTGATTGTGCCATTCGAGGTTTCTCCAAAATCGAACCCGGAACATGTATATCGGTTTTTCGATAACTCCTCTAGTTATTGAGATAGACGGTGAAAACGCCCAATTTTGCCCACCCTGTACGTTGTACCTTTCGGTTCCAGAAAATGGCTGAACCACGTAGAAGTATGCAAGAAACGCCAGAAGCAGCCCAAGCTCTTCCACGTCCTGGTATCGACCTTCTGGCCGGAGTACCTATACCTGGGCACCATCTCAGTGTTCATGGACATCCTGGTGCGTCTGTCGCAGCCCATCATGCTGGGCTACCTGCTCGACTACTTCAAACCGGGACCCAAGACCACCACCAAGAGCGAGGCTATGTGGTACGCAGGCGCTGTGGTGGGTCTGAACGCTCTCAGCGCCTTGATGATCAATCAGTACATCATGAACGCCTTCCATTATGGGATGAAGGTCAGAGCGGCTGTTTGTGCTCTCATCTATAGAAAAGTGAGTTTCACCCTCGGTTTCACCCGAGGTTTCGCCCTACTACATGCGAGATTAGATCTTGAGCAGTCACACTTTTGGAGGTCTTATTGCAATACGAATTGATTTCTTCATTCCATTAATCAACATTCAGCTCATCAAATATCTGGAAAGGTCTGGAATCATTGATCACAGACCATATAGCTTTCGCCAAAAGATCAACTGGAAATTTACTTGCCTACTACCACCTATACAGGATGTCCTGAAACTATATAGAAAAATTCTAGGAACAAAAATAGTAAAAAAAGTTCATATAAACATGTGGGCACGAGATGATTGGTTTTTGTAAACATTTCCGAAACTCTCTGTGTTGAGATAACGAAATTTTGTACTTGTATATTACTTTTTATGCCCGATTTGTAAATGTTAGGAATTTCCGAAATTTTGATCAGGTGCGTGGGAAATATAAGGGGCTAGGGGCATTTCTTCCCCCAACTTTTTTTTCTATTTTATTTTCTGACTATCTTATCATAAATGTTGGTGTTCCGCAAGTATCAATTTTAGCACCAACACTATTTCTACTCCATATCAACAATTTGTTGGAAGCAACTTCATGTCCAGTACACAGCTTCGCGGATGATAGTACCCTTCATACCGCCTTCTCTTCCAGGGCTCCAATACCAGCCAGGCAAATCAGAAACGAACGAGAGAAAAATGTTGACAACATAAATATGGACTTGATGACAATTCTCGAATGGGGATCCGATAACTTGGTAGATTTCAATGCAAACAAAACACAAGCATGCCTTTTCTCTAGAAAAGCCGATCTCACTGTGCCCAACATAAGCTTGTCTGGAGTAACCATACCTTTGAAGACATCGATTTCGATGCTTGGTATTAGTATCAGCCATAATCTTTCTTGGGAAAATCACGTGAGATTGATTGCTGAAAGTGCATCCAAAAAAACTGATTTTATGTTTCGGGCCAGGAGCTATTTCACTTCCAGTCACCTGGAATACTGTTCCCATATTTGGAGTGCAGCACCCGAACATACCCTGAAACTGTTGGATTCTGTTCAAAAAAGGGCAATTCGTCTCGTGGGTGATGCCTCGCTCACAAACTCACTCACTTCTCTGGAACACCGTAGAAAAGTTGTCGATCTGGCTCTATTTTATAGATATTTTCATGGACGATGCTTTTCTGAAATATCAACAATTGTTCCTTCCTTGGCAGTCCCCGCGAGATTAACCCGTCGAGTTGAGGATTCGCACCCCTTCGTGGTCACTTTGGAGTCCTGCAGAACATCTCCTTAAAAGGACTCGTTCATCCAACGAACAGCGGTACTCTGGAACACATTGTCAAGGGAGGTGTTCCCCGAGGCATATAACCTCCAGAAATTTAAGAAGAACACCAATTCCTACTTTATTTTCCTTGGATATCCCTTTTCGTGGGAACCAGAACATAAAAAAAAGTTTGACCCGGAAATATGGAAAAATCTTCATAACTTGAGAATGATACTCCTGTTAAGTTTCGATAGCAATCGCCATTTTCTAGATGAATCGATATTTCAAAAGTCTGATGCGTAACAAAAGTAGTGCTTTTTCCTTATCCAAATACGACCCATTCGCCTAGTGGGTGATGTCACACTCACTAATTCTTTGACACTATTGAAAGTCGGCGACCTTTCACTTTTGTACTGAGATACTTCCAACGAAATGGTTTTCTGAAATGTTCTTCAAAAATCTATACTATTATTCCATCACTATAACAATGCCAGTCAGACGTACGGGGAGTTCATCGCCTCGTAAGGATATGACATCAAACTTTTATACCACTGAAGAAATTGTAAATTTTGAAGCACATTCTGGGACGCCAATATCTTTTACAGAAAAAATGCCATCTTGCTTCAATGCTCTAAAGTGAACTGTTTTCGAGAAAAATGACTTTTTATGACTAAAAACATAAAAAATCTTGTTATAATTTTTTTGTCGAAAAACATTAAAATTGTTATTGAAATACAAGTTATTATCAACAATAATTACTGCAACAATTAACTCAACTTGAAATCACAATAGTTAGTCAAAAATAACGACCTCTAACTTCACTGCAAGCATTGCATCTACGAATCATATCCCAATGAACGTTGCCCTGATTCGAGGCATGTTTGTATAGTTTTTATTCATAAATAGTTATTTGTTTTACTAGGCAGAAGAGCACGAGATTTGATGCCACGGCTGGCGTTTCATAGCCAAGGCGTAGCCGAGGCTAGGAAACTAGCCAAGACATTAAATCTGCTCTTCTGCTGTGTAAAAAATATAATTTTTCTATCCAAATTCGTCCAATTTCAGGCGAACTCTAAATAATCCATTATTTTGTGTTCACCCAACGTCGGTGTCAATTTTGATTACCAATTTGATTCGAATTATTACTTATTACGTTGCATAGCAACAAACTTTTTCTGTCTAGGCAGTAAAAGTACACCTTTTCTGCCTATTAAGTGTTATTATAAAGACACTTTCAATGTTATTTGGAGAAAAAGGCCATTTTTCTCGAAAACTGTTCACTTCAGAGCATTGAAGCAAAGGACCTTTTTTGTGTAAAAGATATTGGCGCTTCAGAATGTGCTTTCAAAATTGGAATTTCTCCAGTGGCATACAAATTTGGGGTGTTAAACCCTCACAAGGAAATTGATCAAGAACCTAAAAAGTAGTCATCATTAATGATGAAGTGTGTACAAAGGCTCAGCTCCGTAATTCGAACGGTTCCTGAGATAAGAGCGAAAAACTCAAAATTTTATTCCTTTACAACTCACTTTGGAAACGGAAGCCCGGGCAAAAGTTTCGCAAAGAAAAAAAGTCTCTTTTTTCTGTGACGGGAAAAAAGTTTGGCATTTCATCTCTGTTGGCAGGTTATAAAATGTCACTTTTCATAAATTACTTTTTTCCCGTGGGAAAAAAGTGAGTACTTTTTTCCCGGATATACAGGGTGATTCAAAAGTAAGCGGCATCCTTTCAGAGGCGTATTCCTTGCATGAAAATAAGGCAAAAAGTTCCTATTGATAAGGATCCGAAAATGCTTCCTAAGGGAGCTACGGCCCTTTGAATAGGACACCTCAAAGACGGTTTTTTCTCTATAACTTTAAAATCCTTCACAACAAATTTTTAAAAATTGGTGTACGGCATAAACATTCGATGGTAAATAGGACTCCGTATTCGAAATAATTTCCAAACGAAATCACAGTAACCTGAATATCCGGAGAAGAAGGGATATTTTTACACTTACCCTCTCCCGCATGTGACGCCCCTGAATGAAATTCTGAAATTTCGAATACGGAGTCCTATTTACCATCGAATGTTTATGCCGTACACCAATTTTTAAAAATTTGTTGTGAAGGATTTTAAAGTTATAGAGAAAAAACCGTCTTTGAGGTGTCCTATTCAAAGGGCCGTAGCTCCCTTAGGAAGCATTTTCGGATCCTTATCAATAGGAACTTTTTGCCTTATTTTCAAGCAAGGAATACGCCTCTGAAAGGATGCCGCTTACTTTTGAATCACCCTGTATATCACATATATAAACTCTGGTAATGGCTTTTGTTGTGCTATAGTTCCGAAAAATAAATCAATAATACCGTCTCCGAGAAAGAACTGCAAGTCCTTTTATCTTCCATTCGACTTCGCGGTTTCGTATATTACTAAACCACTACTGAATTCGCAATTTTTTAAAATCAAATCATAGAATTGAACTGACAGAAAGTGACATCAGATATTTGATTACTTCAAAAGAATGATAAAGATGGCTATAAAACGCAGGTGTCCCTACTGTTAAAAACTTGAAATTTCACGTCGATAATTTTCAGATTTCGAAATAATGTAATATCTTCTCTATATTGATTCGTCCTGCCTTCTGTCACAGAAAAAAATAGTGTATTATACACGGGAAAAATATTAGATTTTAGCTCACGGTTTTTTGTCTCCCTCCGCTACGCGTCGGGAGACAACACAACCTGGAGCTAAAATCTACTACTTTTTTCCCTTGTATAATAAATAACTATTTTTATCTTTTTTATGAGGAATCTACAGTTTTCCGTTGCGACACTTATTTGTTAACACCCAGTATAAATGAGTAACATTTAATAAGCATATCTATTCATCTTTTATTTTTCAGGCCCTAAGACTTAGTAAAACGGCTCTGGGAGAAACAGCATCCGGGAAAATTGTGAATTTGCTCTCGAACGATGTCAGTCGCTTCGACGTCGTCTCAATTTTCATCCACTATATGTGGGTTTCCCCAACAGCTGCCCTATTCGTCATGTACTTCCTGTACTCAGAAGCAGGATATGCAGGAGTGTTGGGCATAGTGGCTGTATTTCTCGTTGTGCCTCTACAGGGTGAGCCCAAAACATCATTTAAAATACATATGGTGTTATTTAAGTATGTGGCCGAACTTCAAGGAGTGATTATTTGGGCGATTCTAAGACGAAAAGTTCATACAAACATAGGTCCAGAATTGCTTCGTTTCCAAGATACAGGGTGTCAAAGTTTCAATGAAAATTCGTTTCTTCATTAATTACTCAAAATTCTGTTTTCCAATTTCAATTAAACTCGATGATTTTGTTAACAGTATCAAGAAGCTTCTTTTGGTGTTATTGGATTCGAAAAATGATTCCACTGGCGTCGCAGTAGGTTACCAATATTTATGGTAAATAAGGTATATACGTCATAGTTTTTTCCAAGATCGATATTTTTATCAGATTATACAATTGAAAATACAACTTTCTTGTCCCATATTGAATTCTTGTATATCACTTATTTTTTGACTGAATTTTGCCATCATACAAGCTTATACAGAGTAATCATGGAAAACAACAATCAATAGGTACTTCCAACTTCGACACCCTGTATCTTGAAAACGATGCATATCAGGACCTATGAATTTTTCGTCTTTGAATCACCCAGATAATCGCCCCTTGAAGTTTGGCCACATACTCAAATAACACCCTGTGTTACCACTAACCAAAGCTTTTTTCAACGCCTCGACCCGTATTTCGCTTATTATGCTGGCATCTTCAGGAGAAGATCAAAACTAAATGTTCTATCCTAGTGTGCTACTTATATACTAGGTATAATATGTCCACCCAAGTTAAAGTCAAGTATCTCAAAGCTTTCATATGCACCTAATTTCCTAACTTTATTAACTTGCTTAACTAATTTGAGGTTATTAAATATGAGTGTTGTGATTGTGGAGTTTCCGGCTACACACGATTCATCTGACCTACGAGTTTTCAAATGTGCTAGGTGTTCTTTGAACCTTGTTTTTATGGGTCGCCTGGTTTGGCCTATGTTTTATCACAATCATTACAACTAATCTCGTATATTCCTGTATTTTCAAGTGTGTCCATCTTATCTTTTGGATTACCTAATAAATTGGCTAATTCTGACCCAGACTGATGAAGTCTTTGAAAACCTTATCAAGTCTTTTCGTGTACTTGGGATTGCACGGGACTGGGAATCTTCTCGAATTGTTTTAACCTCTTGAAAAGTCGTAGAATTCCGAAGTGTTAACTTAAATGTATATCTACGTATTAATGTATCTACTATTTTGATATCATAACCATTGACGCCAGCCACTTCATAAACAACATTCCACACTCCTATTAACATCGAATCCTTGTTTGCTCAGAGTACTAGGATATACCCTGTATAGTGTTCACGAATGAACCTTTTGAATTTTTTCTAGGTTATACTGGCAAACTGGCTGCAATCTACAGAAAACAGACAGCGCTGAAGACAGATGAACGAGTGAGGATGATGGACGAAATCATCTCTGGGGTGCAAGTTATCAAGCTGTACGCCTGGGAGAAACCATTCGAAAAACTCATCAAACTAGCCAGAAAAGCCGAAATCAAAATCGTCACCAAATCTTCCTACGTCCGAGGATTGTACATGACCTTCAATTTGTTCACTACTAGAGTAGCTCTGTTCTGTACTTTGCTCACCATGATTCTGTCTGATCAAAAAATAACAGCTACTAAGGTAAGTTTCCATTTCTCTCATATATATGGCAGCAATCTATTGAAAAATATGGTGAAACCTTAGCCGTGGCACTTGATATCTCCAAGGCATTCGATCGAGTCTGGCACCACGGACTCCTCGCCAAGCTTCCATCTTATGGCTTGCCTCCCCAGCTATGTTCTCTGCTAGCTAGTTTTCTCTCAAACAGGTATCTCCATGTAGTGGTCGACGGAGTTTCATCTGACTCCCTTATCATAAACATAAGCTTGTCAGAAGACATCCATTTTGATGCTTGATATTACTATCAGCAATAAGCTTCCTTGGGAAAATCACGTGAGATCAATTTTTAAAAGTGCGTCCCAACAATTTCACTTCCAGTCAGCTGCTTATGATCTATAAGGCACAGATCCGACCTGTCCTGGAATATTGTTCCCATATTTGGAGTGCAGCCAAACATACCCTGAAACTGTTGGATTCTGTCCAAAAAAGGGCAATTCGTCTCGTGGGTGATGCCTCGCTCACAAACTCACTCACTTCTCTGGAACACCGTAGAAAAGTTGGCGATCTGGCTCCATTTTATAGATATTTTCATGGACGATGCTCTTTTGGAATATCAACAATTGTTCCTCCCTTGGCAGTCCTCGCGAGATTAACCCGTCGAGTTGAGGCTTCGTACCCCTTCGTCGTCACTTGCAGAACATCTCTTTCCAAAGACTTATTCATCCAACGAACAGCGAGGGGGAGGTGTTCCCCGAGGCATATAACCTCCAGAAATTTAAGAAAAATACCAATTCCTACCTCATTTCCGGTTCTCACGATGTTCTCTGAACACTACAGGATATCTCTTTTCGTGGGAACCAGAACATAAAAGAAACTACAGAACCTAACATGTTGATCTCAATATCTTTCATTTCAGGTATTTGTGTTCATGTCATACTTCAATATACTATCCCAAACTATGTCTTCCATGTTCGTGCGTGGTATATCTGAGGTTGCCGAGCTATTCGTGGCTGTGAAGAGACTCCAAGACTTCATGTTGAATGAGGAGTTCCAAACCATCTCTGAAAGTCAGAATAACAACGATTCCAAGTACCTGGTCAACGAACACGTGGTCAGCCTGAAAAATATCACTGTCAAATGGAACTTGTCCCTCAGCGATAATGCTCTGACCAACATAAATATAAATATAGATAGAGGGGGGTTGATTGGTGTAATTGGACCTGTTGGCAGTGGAAAAAGTTCCTTGTTGCAAACGTTGTTAGGTGAGTAAGTGTACTGCAATGTGAAATAGGTAACCAAGTATTGTTCAGGTATGAACAGGCAATGAAAGACTATTTTTTCCAGAACTGCAGCTGCAAGGTATTCAGGTCTTCTGAATGTCGAATAGAGTGTGTTCGAAAAATAAATTTGTATCACAACTGAATTATTTTTGCCATTTTATCTCTAAATCCATACGGTTTTCGAAAAACTGAATTGATGTTTCATTGAAAACATAGGCAGGACGCAGAAAGGTTCAAGAGGGTTGAATTGGGTACATCCCCTGAAAGTTTATCACCCTGCTGGTAATCGGAATCGGCTAATATCCCTAAATATTGTCAAGTGCAATAGGTATATCGAATTTCAATTCATTATTTGCAGAAGTGTAGGAGAAAACTAGAAAAACATTGAAAAATTCCCAAACTTTTGACTCCCTGTATATCGGAAACGAAGCTGCCACGCATGACGGCTAAATATCAAGTAAGCTGCCGACCATGTCCGGCAGCTTACTTGATATTTAGCCGTCATTGATATTCACATTAAGTTTTCATATGTGTTTTTCAGACTGTTCAAAGGTTCTCCAGAATTGTTAAGTAAAAGATTTGAAGGACTGTTGCTGCTTTCTTACTGCACATTAACTACATTTAGGGTTTTCGTTGCTCAGTCTAGTGTTGCTAGTTCCTCACTAACGTCCAACGACAGCATGACTATCATTGTGAATTGTTTCAGGTGAACTGGAAGTAGTTTCTGGAACGATTGAAGTGAACGGAACAGTGGCTTACGCTTCACAGGAGCCCTGGGTCTTCGCAGCAACTGTTCGCCAAAACATCATTTTCGGATCCGACTACGACAAAAAACGCTATAATGACGTGATACGAGCTTGCGCTCTGGAAAAGGACTTTTCGCAGTTCCCCAACGGAGATCAAACCATCGTTGGGGACAGAGGAGCGTCTCTGAGCGGTGGACAAAAAGCTAGGATAAATTTAGCCAGAGCCGTTTACAGGGACGCCGATATTTATCTTCTAGATGATCCACTGTCTGCGGTGGACATCCATGTTTCCAAGCATCTGTATGATGAATGCATCAACGGGTATTTAGCCAATAAAACTAGGATTCTGGTCACCCATCAAGTTCATCATTTGAAAGATGCAGACAACATCATAATTTTGAACAACGTGAGTTACCATATCAGAAACACTTCTCTATGTCGTATTTCATCTTCAATTTATCTTGTAGGGACAAATAGAGAATGAAGGGTCATTCAAAAAACTATCCCAAAGTGACAATATTTATGCGAAACTACTAACAAGCGAGAGAGAACCGACTGATGAAGAGAGACTCAAGCAAGCTGAGACTAAAATCTCCAGAAAATTATCACTCAAAAGCGTAAGTTCCCAAATAACAAAAGCAAGTCTATATTATTATTGGTAATGTTTGCTTCACAGAGTAGAAAGTCTTCCTTGGTCAGCACAGTTAGTGAGCTGAGTCTTCCAGACGCTCTGCTCCAAGAAGACAACGAAGTGGAAGAGGAAGAAGAGGAAGAAATCAAAATGAAAGACCTGCAGGAAGAATCTTCGAAAGGCAAAGTCCACGGATCTTTATTCTGGCAATACCTCAATGTCGGCGGCAATATCTGCCTCGTATTGACCGTATTGTTGTTGTTCATTTTGGCCCAATTCATGGCCAGTAGTGTGGATTACTTCGTCAGCTACTGGGTGAACATAGAGGAGATCAGAAGTCCTGTCAATGTCACCAATGGAGTCACCATAGAACCGACTCATCATTGGAGTACAGAGACCTGCCTGTACATATACGCTGGCGGACTGGGGCTGTTGTTTCTAGTCGCCTTATCTAGGTCTATGCTGTTCTATAAACTTGCCATGTTGAGTTCGCAGAAGCTGCACAATATCATGTTTAGCAGTGTGATAGGAGCAACCATGCGGTTTTTCGATACGAACCCTAGTGGCAGGATCTTAAATAGGTTCTCCAAGGATATAGGAGGTGTTGATGAATTATTACCCAAGGCTATTTTGGATGCAGGACAGGTGAGTTACAATAACTTTTGCTGTCATGAAAGTTTTTTTATTAGACGGAATCCCTTCCTGATATTTTTGCACTTGGCATACATTCAACATTTGATCCTTGTTTCAGATACTACTCATGATGGTTGGGTCGTTGGTACTCGTAGCGGTTATCAACCCTTACTTCCTTATCCTAGTTGCAGCCATTGGGGTTGTATTTTTGTCATTCAGGAACATCTATTTAAAGTCGTCGAAAAATATCAAACGCCTCGAAGGAATGAGTAAATACCTTCCTCTCCATGTGCAACCAATCATAATACTGACTCAACTTTATATTTCAGTGAGAAGTCCAGTTTTCACCCACCTCAACGCAACTCTACAAGGCCTAACCACGATCAGATCTTTCGGTGCCCAAGACATCTTGAGAGACGAATTCGACAAGCACCAAGACAGCCATACGAGCGCTTGGTTCATGTACATAGCCGTCAGTTCAGCGTTTGGCTTCTATCTGGACGTCCTCTGCTTCATATTCATCACTGTGGTCACCTTCAGCTTCCTCACCTTCGGAGAATGTAAGTACATGAGTTTTCCAGAGAAGGTCGAGTGGTATTTGATGAGATTATTTCACGAACAGCTCTCGGTCTCCGTGTTGGAGACGTGGGTCTGGCGATAACGCAAGCGACAGCTTTGACCGGTATAGTGCAATGGGGTATCAGACAATCAGCCGAGGTTACCAATCAGCTGATGTCCGTCGAGAGAGTGCTGGAATACAAGACCTTGCCCAAGGAGAAACAGCCCGAACAGCCTAAAACTCCTCCAAAAACTTGGCCTCCACAGGGACAAATCGTCTTCGACAGCATGGGGTTGAAGTATGTGGAAGGTGGACCATTGGTGCTAAGAGATTTGAATTTGGTCATCAAGCCTAATGAGAAGGTGAGATATAAATGATAGTGAAGGGAGGCTTAATATTGATATATTTGATTTCAAGGTGGGTATAGTTGGTAGAACAGGTGCAGGCAAATCATCCCTTATTTCTGCGCTCTTCAGACTGGCGATAGTAGAAGGTGGAGTGAAAATTGATGACATTGACACTAGAGACATCAAACTTGAGGAATTGCGCTCGAAGATATCCATCATACCTCAAGACCCTGTCCTGTTCTCAGGTACCTTGAGGTACAATTTGGATCCGTTCGACCAATACAAAGATGATGTTCTGTATAAGGCTCTGGAAGAAGTCGAGCTCAAAGATCCTGCGAATATCATCAACAGATTGGAAAATAGGGTTATGGATAGAGGGTCGAATTACAGCGTGGGACAGAGGCAGTTGATATGTTTGGCGAGGGCTATCATCAGGAATAACAAGATACTTATGTTGGATGAAGCTACTGCTAATGTTGACCCTCAGTAAGTATGGACTAAATATTCCTAAATATTAAAAATAATTCTCTAGTATACTAAGAACTAATTACATTTCCCCAAGAATGATCACACCACCGAAAATTATCCAAAAGTTTGAGATACATATTATTGACGTGTAAACTATATTCGCATTATAACCTCTTTTTCATGATTTCTGGGTGTAGCAATATTGGCGTGATTTTTTCATGAAAATTGTAATAACCTGTTCCATCAAACATCTTTGGAGCATCAATGGCCTTATGAATTTTCCTCATACCTGACATCAGCGGTCCAATGGTCTGGGGAGGCCTGTAAGGCTGAAGGGTAATTACAACTCGATAGTGAAAAACATACGCTATAATTGCTGCACTCTGCAAAAAAGAGGTTTTTATACGAAAACAGTTTACACACCACCTCAGAATGAGATAATCTGTCTTTCAAAACAAAAAACGTCCAAATCAGACGAGTAGTTTTGACGAAAATGTATCTTAAACTTGGTGGTCCTTTAATTCAACTAGAAAAAAGCGAAATAGTCAAAGTGGAATGCAATGGTCACAAAGAGAGAGAGTAACTCAAAGTCATCACCAATATATTTCATAAAATGAACGAAAATGGTAGATATAGATATATAGAACAACTACTTTCATGGCTGTATTGAACATTGAACGCCTTTTGGGGTAATGAATGCTGAGATGTGTTTACGCTGGGTCAGGTTCGCACCAGATAGCGGTCGAGAATGCTATCTGGGACAGCCCTGCACTGATGAGAGCTAAGAGCTAAGAGTGGTAATGACTTTGAGTTCCTCCCTCTTTGGGTCTTTCAATTTCTTAGAGGAGTATATACAGATATCATTCTAAGTTATTCATCGTCATTTTGATGTTTTTAGGACTGACGCTCTAATTCAAAAGACCATCCGAAGAAAATTCGCTGACTGCACTGTTCTGACAGTGGCTCACAGACTGAATACCATCATGGACTCTGACAAGGTCCTAGTCATGGATGTCGGTACCATGGTGGAGTTCGACCATCCCCATTTGCTGCTGCAAAACCAACGGGGAGCCTTTTACAAGATGGTGGTTGAGTCAGGTAGAAACATGAGTGATCAGCTGAGGAGGATAGCCAGGGAGAGTTATCAGAAACAACATGCAGTGCCGGAATAACTTTGTTCAAGTGAACTTGGGAGTTTGAAGTAATAAGCAGAAGTGCCGTGGAAGACCTGCTCGTGAATTTTCCATGAGTGTAAAATGATACATATGGTTATAGTGATGATGTATAAAGGGGGGAACGTTCCCTTGGTGCTGTGAGGAATGCGCGCGAATGTTCGCGTACGATGAAACGTTCGTGCGCTCATGATAGATCGTTCATTAGAACGAACGAGAATTTTCAGCGCGATCCCGGCCATTCAGCGCGCGTGTATCGCATGTAAATCTCCTTGTTTCGTTTTGGTATTTGATTTAGTTAACACATTCTTTTCGTTTGGTAAAGGCACAGATGTGAAGTTCAGCGTGTGTGGTTACGGAAAATTATTGGTATTAAATTTTTGTTTTTCGCAGAAACTCAGGTGTACTTGATTTATAGATAATTGTAAAAACTCCCCAAACGATAAGGTGTCTTTTCAATTGTTTTTGATATTTCGATCCGTGGAAAAAAATAAATAACAATTATTCATTGTGTGAATTTGGTCAAAAAAATCCTTCAAGAACTGGGGTGAAAATAAAAGTGTGATCTATGTCCATAGACATAGAATACGAATGATTCATTTTCTTCAAATATTTTATAATGCATGTTTGACACCCTTTGTATTATTGAAAACTACGCAATTTTCACAAACTGTATGTTAGAATCTATGCATTTCCGGACCCACGTACATATGAAATAAATTCCTTATTTTATCATGTTGAATCAGCCTCTTGATTTTTTGCTCATGATTTCCTGACACCCTGTATAGTAGTTGAGCCAGTTGCAAATTTAGACCGTTTTCTGATAACGAAATGATATATTTTCCAAAGGCATGTATGAAAATTGTATTTCATCGAACGGCTCCTGTGCCAATCACTGTCATTTAAAATATTTCCAACAATGCAGTGTTGCCACTTTTATCAAAAAGTAGCAACAACTTCGTTATTTCATATAGAAAACCCTGTGTATTATTGCATTCTTAGATTCGCCCTGAAGAGCTGATTTTATCGCTAGATCACACTTGGGGTGTTCAAAATCGAGATTTTTCAATTCAAGGATTTTTTTGTGTCGAAACTATTCATCATCGGTTAGAACGGCTCACATGTCCCAATCTCAACGATGAAATACAGGGCGTTCCATTTAAAATATGAATGTTACTACTACTTTCTAGAAGAAGTGGCAACACTGCATTGTGGAAAATATTCTTAATGAAGAGAGCATATTCTGAAATATAAGCATGCACATTTCCATAGACTGTATAAGTCAGTTATTAGAAGACGAGTCGAAATTTGCAGCTGGATCTTGAAATAATGATAGTATGATGAGATTTTGTCAAACGAAGATCAGGAAAAAATAAATGGCACCATTTTTGTAACTAGGAATTATTAAGCCTTCTATGGAAAATAACTAAATCTTTTTTTTTGGTGCATTTCTCATTTATTTTCGTTGCGAATTAAGTACTGTTTCAGACGAGAAATCCCATTTCAAACATCACCTTTTGTATGACATAAACTATTATTCTGTGATTTATAATATGAGTCTTAAGTAAATGTAGGTACTTAACGATAAATTATACTTCCATTTTTGAATAATGTGAACCAGAGGTGCTCAAAGAATTGACTTACGTAATTGATAGATAAACAATTGAACAAAATTATAAACTGAATAGGTATTTGAACTGTATAGTGTAAATAATATATATTTTTAGTAGGAGTATTTATATGCTACCATATATACGTATTGAGATTTCTCTATTAAGTGATCGACTTAAAATTTATATCAGATGACAATTAATAAAGTATTAAAAATTACAATGAGTAATGATTTACCTACGAGACCTATATACGAGATATCTCTATTTGGTGAGCGATTTCGAATTCATATCTGATGACATTGAAATATTTTAAATTCCTAACTATATATGAGTAATGATTTTTCATGCAAATCATATCATATCAAATTGACATTTATTTCACAATCTGTGTACATTGCGATCTTGATGATAATAGTTATCTGGAAATAATTATTTATATGACCCACAACCATTTGTACAATAACAAAAATCATATATTTCATAAAAATCAGCAGAACTTTTTTTTTTCTAAAATGAGTATATAAGTATATTTGTCGTTAAATCAATATTTACCAATAAAAAACACTTTTAGCTTATTTAAAGCGAAACACTGAACATTGAAGAAGATGTTGTGTGAGTCCGAAAAGGATGATCCCATGTAATTACATATTATACTGGGTTATTTATACAGGGTGAGATAAGACATTTTCAAGATGGAAAATCTAAGTAAACATATATGCGTGAAAGCTTCCTTTCCGATATACAGAGTTTGAAAGTTTGCACGACTTCAAAATGAATAATATCTCAATTTCCTACACCCCTTATTACCAATATAGAGATCAATTAGATCACCTCACCAACGCCGGGTCATTCATTATGAAAGATTTCAGCCGATGAAATCACGAACTCTTCTTTACAATATATATGAAACGAATATTCGGCATACAGAAACCAGTGGGTCTACATTTATATTAATTACAATATGTCAGCAGTACAAGCAATTCATGAACTGGAGATGTTGGAATATGTTCAAATCTGAATAATTTGAAAAGAATATATATCTTCATTTTTTCTGTGACGGGAAAAAAGTTTGGCATTTCATCTCTGTTGGCAGGTTATAAAATGTCACTTTACATTAATTACTTTTCCCCGTGGGAAAAAAGTGAGTACTTTTTTTCCGTATATATATACACTGTTGATGGCTTTTGTTGTGCTATAGTTCCGAAAAATTAGTCAATAATACCGTCTCCGAGACAGAACTGCAAGTCCTTTTATCTTCCATTCGACTTCGCGGCTACGTATATTACTATAAACAACCACAAAATTCGCAATTTTTTGAAATCAAATCACAGAATTGGACTGACAGAAGTGACATCAGATATCCGATTACTTCAAAAGAATGATAAAGATACCTACAACTCAACAACACAGGTGTCCCTACTGTTGAAAACTTAAAATTTCACGTCGATAATTTTCAGCTTTCAAAATAATGTTATATCTTCTCAATATTGATTCGTCCTTTCTTCTGTCACAGAAAAAAATAGTGTATTATACACGGGAAAATATTAGATTTTATCTCTGGAGCTGAAATCTACTACTTTTTTCCCTTGTATAATAAATAACTATTTATAATTCGATTGTCGTAGAAAAAATACGCACAACGATCGTGTAATGGCATTGGACACGGTTTATCTTACCTCGTGCTCGTGTAGTAATAGTTACCATTACATGATCGTTGCATAACATGCTTTTTTGCACGTACAGTCGTCTTCAGAGAACATGTCGCACATGGACGGTGTCAGCTCTCTCAATCACCGCTGCAATAAGAGCGCTCATTCCGTCCAACTGCGACGTGTTCACTGTGTGTACCTACTACTGATGAATTAACTATCATGTGTTATAAATGAAAAGGTATATAATACTTAACAAGATCAACAGAAGAATTTTGAGTAACTGCTATCTTTCGACAACAATTCAATATTAATTCACCTGCAAGATAATAGCCATTATCAGTGTGTGGTTAACGTATTGGGTGGTAGGTAAGACTGTATAGTGTATAGTATTCGCGGCTAGTATAGCAAGGTAGTCGGCTTCATCAAGCATAGGACTGAAAAAATACTGAACGTATGTACCTAAAATGTGCTTATTCCGATAAAATATGAATTGAAATAGTATGAATTTATTTAAAATGAAAATAATTTAAAACATACAAAACCTATAAGTTTGAAATAAAGAAAATCCTCCTGAAGGATGCCCACTATTCTATAGAGGTAGACCTCTTTCTTCATACAATAATTCTCACAACCGAAATTCTGAAATTGGATAATGTTAATGTTTATAGTTACTATTGTGTTGTAATAAAAAAAAAATTGAAAATCACCACATTTTCCCAATGGAAAACAGTTACTTTCTTAAAACACCTTGTAATTTTTTCATTATCGGGGAAAATATATGTATTTCTCAAAGAAATTATGTCTGCTTAGCCAGAGGGCAATGGGTTTTATTCTACTTAAAAAAAACAGTATCGAGAAATGTGAATATGATAATAATAATTAATACAGTGTTTTTAGTAGGTAACACACAAAATAAAAACTTTTTAAATCCGGACCTGAATATTTTTGACAGGATTTTTAGTCATTTGTGTTTGGTGAGGGTAAGAAGTGTGTACCAAATATCAAAAAATATATACTAGGTGCTCGGTTAGTTATACATATCCCTTTAAAAAATGAGCACAATTGATAATAGATAACATCATATCTAAATAGAACAAGTAAAATCAAGTTACCTTCAAAAATATCCAGATATCTTAAATACTTGCAAAACCATATTGATATGAGTTTTTGTTCATTCAACATTATCTTCAAAAAATAATTTGCTTATCCTATAGATATAGGTATACCTAGTCTTCAATTTCAACATTTGTATCAACATTTCCACAGCTCAAATGACTAATAATTGATAATATTCCGCCATGGAGAAGTAACCATTTGTGAATTATGTTTTTGCCATAAGCGCACTTACTAAGGATTTTTAGAGTACCTAACTACATGAACTTTCCGAAATCGCATATTGAATAATAATTATCTCATTCTAGGAAAACGTAATATAGAGATGAAAGAAGATCGTGCAACAAACGAACCACAATTGTGCGTATATAGTATGTGATAATTAACGTGATCAATAATTTCTAAGCTCAAGTGTACCGAAACATAAAATAACTTGTCAATTATAAATCTTTGAATGGACCAGTGAAGTGGATATACAAAAGAGTATTAGTGAAATATTGGATAATCATGGACTTCACTAAGGAAAATGTCAACGTCAATCCGAGGGATACAGCGAATCCCCTGTCGGTTCTGATTTTCGGGTAAGTTATTTTTCTGTAATCTCAATTAATACAATCAATCTACATTATAGTTAGACAGATTCGATCAACCTGAATCAAAATAAAATTCGAACGCCACTGTCATGTTATGTTAAAATGTAGGTATACTGCATAGACATATAAAAAGAGGGGAGACATAACATTTCATTCATAAAACACCATTTGTTTACAATCATACATACTGCCGAAGTTTCAAATGAGTTAGAAAGAGATAGCTTCAAAAAAATGCAAAAACGGCAACGCTGTAGGCTGCGCGTCAATTTCACACATTTCTTTACCAGTGCCGTAGGTTTCTTTGGGAGGGATGTTGAAATGTAAACAATACGATCAAACTAGCTTCATTTATTACTGGAATATTATATCGACATAATACCATGAATAAGTACATCATATACACAATTTACAAAATATTTATTCATTCCTGAATAATATTGTTTTTGTATTGATACTTCTAGATCTATTTGTTTTGCTTGCATCTAGTTTTCTTATGGTTTCATAATATAAATTCTTATGTTGAAATAAGATTTCAAAATGAATTTCGAAACACGAATCGAATGTTCTGATAGAACTTCAGCATCATAAATATGGTCTCCAAATATTTCGATTACAGAAGTGGGTACATTATTTGAAGTTTTAGTAATTAATATATTTGATAAATTTTAATTTTTTGATTGAAAATTCCTTGTGTGTTATTAAAAAATCTGAAAAATTTTTCCCCTTCTTTGCATAGATCCACCACAAATTTAGATGGTTTCAAAAGCCTCCCATAAGTTTTTCGTTTTTGTAACTGAGAAGTTGCATCTTCACTTTCCAAACAGTTCAAGCATTTCGAACAGTCTACACATTTTTTCACACCTTTAACTACAAATCCGGAAATGTAAGATACAATATCTTCTACATAACATGTGAGTTTCCACGCATCAGACATCACATAATTTTCCTTTATATTTTCCTCAACTGTTTTTAATAGGAACATATGGGTTTTACACATCATTAATTCCACTGATATTCTATTGCATAATATGATATTCTATATACAATGTGTTTCTTGAGTACGTGTGAAAAATTCAATCTCCGCAAGTTATTCATTTCTGAAATACAGAGTGTCGAAGTTTGATTCTTTATCCTGTTATTTTTTGTCAATAAATTCAAGAATAAACGTGATATTCGAGTGAAATATGGTATCTCACCCAAATATCACGATCATTTTGAAATTTATTCATAAAAAACCGCAGTAACAATCAAACTTTGACACTATGTAGCTCTGAAACGAATAAATTGCGGACATACTATGTTTATACGAACTTTTTTTCTTAATTTGACTTCAGCAACATGCTGCTCAATTTTTAAGACGTACTTAAGAAACACCGTGTATATTGTCAAGCGAGAGGCAAGGCAATTTAACAACAATGACAATGCTATTATATTATATTATATCTATTGGAAAATATTCGTGTAGTAGCTTAGACCTTTTTACCTGATTTTGATCCATCATAAGGTGAGATTCAATATGACTCAGTTGAATAACATACCCCACAACTACACCACTGCTGAAGTTACAAGAAACATGCATAACCTTACTTACCGTCGAAATATCAATTCAGGGTTTGAATGGTCAACTTTATTACAGACCACGCACTGACGAACCATAGTGGATTAATAATAACAGATAATAATAATAATTGTCTTTAGATCGTTTTGTAACACTAAAACGCCGAAAATCAATTTAAACACACACAAGGTTATGAACACAACACAGCAACACTGTAAAGTAGGAATATGACATGATTGAATGACTTTGCGTAATTTCGTAGTAAACAAGCTAATGCATCGTTGCCAAAGTTATTTCCATAATTCATTATAATTTAATATAATCATGAAATTAGGAAAACCCGAACAAGTTCAAGAGCAGAATTCATAAATTTCAATCAAAGAACAATCATACGGAATGAATATAGGTACATAAAACGTATATTATATAATCAATGTATGGTAAAATCATCCCTCGTTTCTAAACACAGGCGGTAGATCTAGGGCAATCCGCAGAAGTTTGTCATCATCGACTTCTGCTGAAAAAGATGTTGGATCGGGACAAAATGTAAACAATTTCGTCTCCTCTTTTTATATGTCTATGGTATACTGGATACCAGAAAAAAATCTGTGTATGTCGACCTTATACAGGGTGGAGACTTCAACTGGAATAAGTCTGCTACTGGGGAAGTGAATGAAAATTTGCGAGACAAGTCAACGTTTAAATGTATTTACCTACAATATGGAGAATATATTCCTTCAGGGGTAGCTGGAATCAACTCCAAACTCCAAACATGTTTCTTTTTTCAAATGCAACCCTATGGCTTGCGACCCCTCATTGAAAAGCTTGTTGAAAGAGGAATCAAGCGTACTGATCGTATATCAGTTTGCAGTACGTTTGAGGGTCGCATGAAATCAAAATATAATTATGAAGTTCAATATATTTTCAATATATTTTCATCAAAAATTCCATTTTTAGTAACAGTGATATAGGGCATTTCTACGAGTATGCAATAACACTTCGTTTCGAACTGTGAAAACTGTGAACTGTGAACAAAATAACCAAATTTCTTTTTGCGGCTCTATGAAACCACTGGAATACAATAGCAAATATCAGTTGTAGCAGAAAATTGCCATCAATTGTTCAACACACATTTTGAGCGATTGAAACATTGAGAAAAATTGAATCTTAAAATTGCATTTCAATTTTATGCAACCTTCAAACGTATGAAAAACTGATCCTCTCCTCCAGCTTTCAAATGAGGGGTCACAAGCCATATGGTTCCATTTGAAAAAACCATGTTGAGGGTCGTTTCAGCTACCCCTGGACAAACATATTCTCGATATTGGTTACAAAAGGTAGGTAAATACATTAAATCGTTGATGTCGGTCGGGAATTTTTAGAAAGAATATTCATCTCCCCGCTAACGAATTTATTTAAGTCTCCACACTGTATACACGGAAAAAAAGGATTGGTTGCATCAACCAATTATTTATGCTTGAAATATTTTTGTTGGACTAATCAATTTTTTGTTGAATAAACCAGGTACATGATTATTTCATGGAAGCAGCTTGTTCAAATCAAGAATATAGTCTAATTGAATCAACAGTATAATATCAATTCCATCAACAAAATATATGGTTTTATCAAAAACAAATTATGTTGATCCAAAATAATGTCGATGTCGATTCAACTATAAACATTTTGTTGATTTGATCAAATAATGATCATTTTTATATGGGACTATATCTTCGAAACAACATACAAGTTTTCTAATTCCGATGTAGCAATGAACTCGTTTCGAACGGATCATTTGCTTGAATAAAGCAACGAAATATGTGATATCAATGAAATATTTTGTTCATTTCACATCAACTTAAATTTTCGCCTGTAGATGGCGATCATTTCGTCTCGTCTATGCCTGCCTCGAATTCATAATTTACGTGAAGCTTGATTCTTCGTGTTTGAATTCAGCTGGATAAATCGATCTTGATGATTAGCAATCCGAAACAGTTTTGCATTAGCATCAGTTCATTCTATTGATGTGAAATTTCAGAAAATTCCCGAATTACTACTGAATATGGTTCAATAAAACAATTTGTCGAATGGAAATATCGTTTCTCTTGAATCAACGAAAAATTTCATTGAATCAACCAAATATTTCTTTAAATCATCCAAATATTTCATTGAATCAAATGAATATTTGAATGAATCGATATCTTGTTATATTGAATCAAACAAAATGATTGCTTGATCCAATTCAATATCTCTTCATAAACAATTCATGGATGTGCTTGATTGAATAAGATCCAGAGTTCATGCAAGACATATTTACTTAATTCAAACTTCAAATTCGCTCTGAAACAAGATTTCGTGCATATGCATTCTTTCGATTGAATTTTACTTGCTCCAACAATAATTCCTATTTTTCCGTGATTATTATCAATTCCTTTACACGTGACTCCATATTTTTCAGCTATACCATTCCTATGTTCAAAAAAGGTTACAAGAGAACCTTAGAACCCGAAGATTTGTATAATCCACTAGTAAAAGATAGGAGCACATTATTAGGAGATAGATTAGAAAGGTGAGTATTACTTCCATTGAAATTTTGGAAATATGCAGTGAGTGAATATACCTAGGTACAACATTTTGTGACGATATATTTCTCATAATGTTGAGATTTTCCTCAAGGATATTATTCTTGAATGAACCAGTGAAAGCATCTTCCACATATCCTCATATCAATTTGGTAATTTCGTTTTCGTAATATTACAAAACTATTTGATAGTAGACAACAGTACTTTCTAGTAGCAGTATGTAGGCAATATACCCATAAAAATGAACTCAAACTCATACTCACAGCAATGATACTAGAAATTAAGAAAATACATCAGTCATTCCCAGGCATGAAAAAAATACACAACAGAGAAGTTTTACTTAATGAGGACCAAAACTATATAGCCTAATTCCACCTGAAACAAACAAAAACCTCATTCAAACTATGCAAATCTATGATAAAGGATTAATGAACTTCCACGTCTTCTTATACACCAATTTGTTGATATAAAAAATATTTATTACATACCTCAATGACAAATTTCAACAAGCAGTAGATACTTACATGAACAATTCTTGTTGAGGTCCTGTTACTTACTAATTGAATATTTTGAGTTTTGAGTATACTTTTATATAGTATTTTATATTGTAGTTTTATCTGTGCATTTCAGTATGATTGTATTTTATAGACTTTTTCTACTAGTTTTTCTCCTAATAATTCCATATTAATATTTGATCTTCTCACCTAAGCATTATATAATATTCTGTTAAGTACTTCTGTTCATCATAACCACTGAAAGATTATACGTAAAAACATATGAATACCCACTTAGAAGGTTCCCCTTTTTGGTTCAATCTATTTATTCACCTCAATGACTGCGAGAAATAGTGTAACGATTATGTTGTACCTATACTTGAATTGAATATCTATTATATATTATTATTATTATATACAGAAACTGGGAGAAACAATTAGCGAAATCGAAAACGACCAATAAGACACCCAGTTTCTTCAGAGCCCTAGTCGCCACATTTTGGCCAGAATATTCTTACCTTGGCCTATTGATAGGGATCACCAATGTAGTAATCAATATGGTACAGCCCTTCATGTTGGGAGGATTATTAAATCACTTCAAACCTGAACCCCAAACGACCAAGCAAGAAGCATTTTACTACGCAGGTGCTATAGTGGTGTTGAATGTTTGCTCTGTATTGATAATGAACCAATACATGATGGGATGCTTCCATGTAGGGATGAAGGTGAGAGCTGCATGTTGCGCCCTCATTTACAGGAAAGTAAGTACACCTAGCTATCAGGCTATTGCCTCTGAAATTGGCAAGTTCTCATTTCGTTTCAGTCCTTGAAATTGAGTAAAACATCCCTCGGAGGTATAGCATCCGGAAAGATAGTGAATCTTCTCTCCAATGACGTCAGCAGATTCGACATAGTCTCGATGTTCGTTCACCAAATGTGGGTAGGTCCTGTGTGTTCTCTTATAGTTATGGGACTCCTATACAGAGAAGCTGGTTATGCCGGCATCATAGGAATAGCTGCCGTATTTTTGGTAGTGCCAATACAATGTGAGAATTACTTACCACAATATAATATTGTTAATTGCATGCCTGAACTTGATATTGCAGCTTATACCGGGAAATTATCAGCTAAGTACAGGAAGCAAACAGCTCTTAAAACAGACGAAAGAGTAAGATTGATGGACGAAATCATCTCTGGAATCCAAGTGATAAAAATGTACGCCTGGGAAAAACCATTCGAGAAAATCGTCAAGATAGCCAGAAGAGCAGAAATCAAGATCATAACCAAATCATCGTACGTGAGGGCCTTATTTATGGCTTTCCTTCTGTTCACCACAAGATTTGCTCTGTTTTGCTCACTTCTCACATTGGCTTTGTCTGGGCAAGAAATCACAGCTGCCAAGGTTCGTCTATTCCCTCTACTAGAAATCACAACTCATTATCCCTGTTTCATAGGTCTTCGTATTTATGTCTTACTTCAATATCATTTCCATGTCCATGGGCACAATGTTCGTCAGAGGTATTTCTGAAATAGCTGAACTCTCCGTGGCAATCAAGAGGCTACAAGATTTCCTCTTGAATGAGGAATTTGCCCCGGAAAAAATGCCGATGAGCAATGGAGCCATCAAGCATACGGGTGATTACCAGGATATGTTGAGCCTGAGGAATCTGACAGTCAAATGGAATTCTCACAATTCTGATACCGCTTTGGAAAACATCAACCTGAGCATTCCTGATGGAAATTTGGTGGGGATCATTGGGCCAGTTGGAAGTGGAAAAAGTTCCCTACTACAAACTATACTAGGTGAGGCATTACACTCTCGAAGTGCTCATTAGACTTTAGACTTGTTATATAATTATCTACATTGACCTGGACCCTATCCTCTCCACAAGAAGCAAACCTAAAATGGTATGAGTACCTCCCAGAACAGCACTGAGCATTTGCAACAAATGTCAAGTACACTTTTGTCTTGTGGATAGCGAGCAATAAGTAGTGGTTCAAGATGACTCCTCTTCCATTTTAGTCAGAATAGAATAAGTATTTGTTCAATTGACTAATAGCACTTCAAGCTCCACACTCCATTGAGTGATTTGGTTCCAATATTTGATTTTTCTAGGTGAGCTGGATGTCATCGAAGGAAAATCAATAATCAACGGAACCATTTCCTACGCTTCCCAAGAGCCCTGGGTCTTCGCAGCGACCATCCGTCAAAACATAATTTTCGGTCAAGAATATGACAAGAAACGTTACCTAGACGTGATACAAGCATGCGCTTTAGAGAAAGATTTCCAGCAATTCGAGAACGGTGATTTGACCATCGTCGGAGACAGAGGAGCATCGCTCAGTGGAGGTCAGAAAGCTAGGATCAACTTGGCCAGAGCTGTGTACAGAGAGGCTGATATCTACCTACTGGATGATCCTCTGTCTGCTGTCGATATCCACGTTTCCAAACATCTATACGAGGAGTGCATAAATGGGTATTTGGCGAATAGAACTAGAATCTTGGTGACCCATCAGGTTCACTACCTGAAGGATGCTGACCACATCATCATTCTCAAGAATGTAAGTCAAATCATTTACTTGGTAAGATGATAAATCTAGCTGTATTTTCTTAATTTAGGGACGCATCGAGGATGAAGGTACATTCAATGCTCTAGCTGATAGTGAAAATATGTATGCCAAACTGTTGACGGCTGATCCAGAGCAGAACGTTGACAAACATAGGGAGATCGCTAGATTGAAAAGGCAAACGTCGATGGGAGTAAGTATATCGAATTTTCCAGATGGATGATATCGCTAAACTTACTGTCTTACAGAGTCGAAAAGCTTCCATTGCCAGCCTCATGAGTGAGATAAGCATAGCAGAAACTCTCTTACCAAACGACATGGGCATAGAAAACGACGAAGAAGAACCTCCAGAGGAAAAAATCAACATGAAGGATATCCAAGAAGCTTCGTCCAAAGGCACTGTAGGCGGGTCCATTCTCTTCAAGTACCTCTTAGCAGGCACCAACTTCTGCGTGGCTGGTATTATCGTGTTACTCTTTATCTTAGCTCAGATGGCCGCTAGTGGAGTAGACTATTTCGTGAGCTTTTGGGTAGACATCGAAGAATTCAGAAACGTTTCTAGGGACTCTGTTGACCTGGGAGTATTCGAAGTTCCTCCAGTAGAATGGTCAACAGAAACTTGTTTGTATGTCTACGGCAGTATCCTGGTTAGTCTTTTCGTCATTGCTTTGACTAGAACAATGTTGTTCTACAAGTCGGCTATGCTTTCTTCTAAGAGGCTACATGCTATCATCTTCAGTAGTGTACAGGCCGCTGCTATGAGGTTTTTCGATACAAACCCTGGGGGCAGGATCCTCAATAGGTTTTCCAAAGATATGGGATCTATTGACGAGTTGTTACCAAAGGCTATAGTTGACTCAGGACAGGTAAGATTATTGAATTATTCTGTTTCATTTCAGTCATCTTGAACCTGGAATCTATAGATCTATGGATTTATAGATGCAATAAATATTGAGGGACCTTATTTAAGCATACTGGGAAGGAATTATTGGTCATAGCCCTCATATAGAGTTCACCGCATACACGTGTTTCGGGCTTTCGTCCAACATCAGTAAGGTGAAAAAAGTTCGAAAGATAATGATTGTGTTGAAAAGGAATATTCTCAGATATATTATAAACATGAAAAAATGGATACATTTGAATAAATACATTGATTGTGGTTTCGCTCATCCTGCTGATTTCTTTCTAGTTCATTCAAAACATAGTTTCCTCAATATTCCTTTCATCTTCATTCTACTCCTGGACTCGGACGTCACGCAGGTGCTATAGCTGCTTCTGTCGTAACGTATCCCTGAAAATGCAGGGTCTGCTGACGGAAACCACAATTGTGCAGCTGGCTTCTGTTTGTTGACTCTGTTGATTTGTTGTTTCGTCTTCCACAAAGTGTTTCCTGTTCTTCGCATTTTTTTCACCGTACTGATGAGGGCCGAAAGCTTGATACACGTGCCTGCGGTTAACTCTCTATGAGAGCCATGTCCAATAATTCCTTCCTAGTTTGTATCTAGGTATATATTTTCAGATGCTACTGTCCATTGTAGGATCTCTCGTACTGATAGTGGTGGTGAACTCTTATTTCCTGATTTTGATGTCTGTGCTCTTAGTAGTGTTTGGTTTCCTAAGGCGTATTTACTTGAAGACTTCTAAGGATTTGAAACGTCTAGAAGGGATGAGTAAGGGATCATTGTTATATTTATATTTGTTAATAGTGAGAACGTGCAATAGTGTATATATCCATGTTTGCATTCAATTTTTTTAGTGAGAAGTCCAGTATTCAATCATTTGAGAGCAACCATAGAGGGTTTGACAACGATCAGAGCCTTTGGAGCGGAGGCTATCCTCAGAGATGAGTTCGATAAGCATCAAGATACCCATACTAGCGCTTGGTACATGTTCATCATATCCAGTTCAGCTTTCGGATTCTATCTGGACAGTTTTTGTACCGGGTTCATCGCATTGATAACATTCAGTTTCTTGGTTTTCGAAGACAGTAAATAGAAGACTTCGAAGTCGCCTCCAAAGATCAAACAATAATTATTTCAGGTCTCAAGATGCCAGGAGGCAGTGTAGGACTGGCCATAACCCAAGCTATGACCATGACGGGTCTACTCCAATGGGGAATGCGGCAATCAGCTGAAGTAGCCAATCAGCTAATGAGCGTGGAAAGGGTCCTTGAATACAAGAGTCTTCCGAAAGAGATCCAGCCAGACGTGCCTCAGACACCACCGAAAAACTGGCCTTCACAAGGAAAGCTAGTTTTCGAAAATATGGGACTGAGATACTTTCCCGAAGGACCTTTGGTTTTGAAGCAGCTGAATATTGTCATCAATCCAAGAGAGAAGGTAAAGGAATATGACCTGATAGCCATGTTTCAGTAGCTGATTGATGATTCTGGCGGACCCAACCCAACCCAACCCAATCCAATGTCCTTTTCCTTCCTCGTCAACCTTCTTCTTTAATAAATAAATAGAAGCACATAGGGAATCACTAGCTGTGGCGTTACATATATTGAAAGCATTCGACCGTATTTGTTTCATAGATTCTTCCACGGGAAAAGGTGCTCGAGAAATCTCTGCTATCATTCCATCACTAGCAATATCCAAATTAGTTTCTCCATGAAACGGTGAAGCTTCGCAATTTTTTGCCGAAGGAAGTATTCTCGGAGGTGACATGAAAAGGAGATGGAAAAGTCACTCTTGAGCGTATATGTATATATATATATATATATTTGTATTCCTCAGGTAGGTGTGGTGGGTAGAACAGGAGCAGGAAAATCCTCCCTGATATCAGCCCTATTCAGACTAGCCCCAGTAGAAGGCAGCATGTCCATAGATGATTTTGATACAAAAAATATCAGCCTGGAATCCCTCCGATTGAAGATATCGATCATCCCCCAAGACCCAGTCCTCTTCTCTGGTACCTTGAGGTACAACCTGGACCCGTTCGAAGAGTACAAAGACGAAACCCTGTACAGAGCGATACAAGACGTCGAACTCAATGATCCTGCGAATGTGATCAACAGACTGGAGAATAGGGTGATGGATAGAGGAGCCAATTACAGCGTGGGTCAGAGACAGCTGATTTGTCTGGCAAGGGCCATTCTCAGAAACAACAAGATCCTGATGTTGGATGAGGCCACGGCCAATGTTGATCCTCAGTAAGCATACGTCCGCAGAGTTGTCACTTTCAATGAGATTTTTTTTTAATGATTTGAATAGGTACTATTCTCGATATAAATCATTTATTTCCTAGATCTTCTTCCAGAAAACGATGTTTGATTTAGGATTCGAATTTTTATGGAATTTATTATAGGTAAATAACCGTCTACAGAAAGCTATCCCACCGAGAGCTTCGCTCACGGTCGATTTTGAAGGAAAAACATCATTGAAATCGGTCTCAACAGTGAATGGTGGCCAGTGAGGAAGAAAAATATCCCTTCTGTATAAGAAAAGAGAGTAATATTTTTCAACAACCTAACCTTACACGGTCAAAATATAACTTCTTTCTGAAAAGAATATTTTTCGGAAAATCAATTGAGAAAACAGAATAAAAAAAGCTGTCCGTTGTAGGCATTGAACCCGGGTCGCCGACGTGGCGCTCAAATACCCAAGCAACTACGCCTCGCACGTACCTTTTGAAATCTATTTATTTATAATCTCTTTTTAGTTCATTCCACATTGTATAAATGAAACCTTATATTAAACATGTAAGTATAAAAATATAATGACATAGAGGACTCAAACACGTTTAAAAAACCCTCTGGGACCGTCATAGGTTCCCCGAATGATCCAGGGGGGCGGTTATATCCATACAAGTGTGATGGAAGTCGTGAGCGCGCTACGTCCTAAGACTATGTCCTCTTTCGTAACGAATTATCTAGATCTCTATAATTTCTTTTTGATGTTCATGTGGAAAAAAAAAGTAAGAACCACATTCCAAAGAATTCCTAGTGCCATCGGCATGCTGATTGTGAAGGCTAGGAAACAAACTGGATTTTATTTTCAATTTCTCAAGGGTATGTGGGGAAGGAGGGGAGTAATTCCAGGGGTTCCCTGAAAATATCGCATGCTTCGTAGATTAGCCCATGTTTTCTACGTAAGCCATGCATGATCTGCCTGATGACTGTGATATCTGTTGTAAGTGACTATTTGCTTTATGGTATTTATAAAATGTATGAGCTTTTTTCATTATATGATATCTTATCATGGTCAGATCATGTCACTGTGAGTGCATGTCTGCCACTCGAGAGTATCGGTTACCGTTGGTAATGATACGGAGTACTTTATTCTGCAATATTTGTAGCCTACTCATATGGGTAGGTGAGATACTGCAGAATACTGGACAGGCGTAGGAAAATATTGGTCGGGTGGTATGTTTGTGAATCAGGAGCTTATTATCCGTTTTTAGTGCAGAATGCCTTGCTACCAGTGGATAATGCTTCCTGATAGCAGCTTGAGTATTCGCACGAAATAATTTAGTCACTGTAATCGCTAAACAAGCGCCTGCGTGTTGACAAACGCCTGCTTGTGTTGACTAAATTATTTCTTAAAAAGGTATATTCTCAGAATCATGATTGGGTTTTCTCAATTCAGAATTTCTTTCCACGACCGTTATGATAACGATCAATTCATCATATTATACTATCGATAAGTTATTTCCATGAGTCTCAAGTACCTACGTTTATCAGTTTTTGTCCGTTGGAATTCCACGCCGGCGATCTGGATTCAATGGGGGAGACCTCTGATTTTTCAAAACGACATTATCGTGAACTCTATAATGAAAAACTACCAGCGAATTAATTTTGAATTTTTTCAATTCATTGGTGTGACTGGTGCGACGTCTTAGTCCCAACACGCCTATTGTCCTTGAACTGACCAATCACACTGCATCACTGCAGAATGACGAGGTATCAGAGAGAGATAGCTACGGCTGGGGACTAATACGTCACGGCTCCACCATCATATTTGGCTGTTTGAAATATCAGATGAAATATGCTGATTTCAAAACGATATAGATTCGATTCCCTTCAACTTCAACTCATAATATTGATTGTACATCAAACGTGAATCATGATTCGTCGATTGAAAGAGGTTTGCACGGATTTCTTCTCTCAGTGGTCTTCCCCATTCCTTTGCTGATCGGCTTTTTTTTTAATTCTGTTTTCTCAAGTGCTTCTCCGAAAAATCAACTTTTTAGGAAGAAGGTGCATTTAGGCCAAATAAGGTCAGAATGTTTTTAAAAAAAGTACCTTTTTTCCTTATGCGGATGGAATATATTCCTTCCTCCCTAAAAAAAGTACTACTATTGAGGCCGATATTTCAGTGGCGTTTTTTTTCAGGATCGGCCGTGAGCGAAGCATTCGGCCTCAAATTTTCAGTATACTTGATTCTGCGCCAATCAAAGGTATTGGCTACTATTTATTACGATGTGAAAACATTCGTTATACGAATTTACTGTCAATATCAGTGATTTGAATTCACCACCATTGCCGAAATCGCTCTGATTGGTCACCTATACCACCCTATACATGTTTGGGCAAAATGGATTCGTGCGCTGTACTCGCGTTGTCATTCATTCCTCCACCGCGACGATCAATTGTTGCCTCCTGTCAGTGGGTGCTAGTGTACTTGAAACACAAGCGTCTAGCTAAACCAGCGAATCTTTCAAACATCAAGGTCAAGTGACGTCACCCACAACACATGATATTTCTTTCTTCTTCATATTGAGGAACTAAGACTAGTACTAGTGAAGCGATAGTCACGCGATAGCTCTATGTATCTGACTTCCACGGTGGTGGCTGAGGTTCGATCCCTGCGACGCATCAATTTTTTTAAATTTTTTTCACCCAATTTCGAGAAAAAGGATAATTTAGGGAAAGTTAGGTTGAAAGTACTTTCCTTTTTCATGCAGAAGAGATATTTTCCTTCCTCATATTACCTCTTAAGTCTTATAAACACAAATGACCTTCTGATAATCTTGAGGTTTGAAAGATTCGCTGTTCTCGCTAGATGTTTGTTACTTGATGCCGTTGTTCTAGGACCGATGCTCTCATCCAGAAAACCATTAGGAGGAAATTCGTGGACTGCACTGTCCTCACTGTGGCCCACAGGTTGAACACCATCATGGATTCCGACAAGGTGTTGGTTATGGATGCCGGCACCGTGGCAGAGTTCGATCACCCCCACAAGCTACTCCAACGGTCCGACAGTGTGTTTTACAAGATGGTGGCAGAGACTGGACCGGCAACGTCGGAGCAACTCAGGAAAGTCGCTGCTGATGCTTTCCAGAGGATATCTGCGGTGCCAGAATGATGCTCCAAAGGAAACGGTGGGGTCAAGTGATTCGGATCGAAAAAAGTGTCTTAAGTAAATGTACTCAACGATGAATCATACTTCAAGTTTGTGCTATAGGAAGGTAGACTCACGTGAATGATAAATAAATAATTGAAGAATATTATAAACTGAATGGATTTTTGAACAGTAGTGTAAATAATATGTACATTTTTTGAACAATTATACAAATATGTTTCAATATATTATGTAGTGAGATTTATTCTCTATTTAGTGAGCGATTTCGAATTCATATCTAATAACATTGAAATATTTGAAATTCTTTTATGAGTAATGATTTTTCGTGCAAGTCATGTTTACACAACATTTACATATATTGCACAATCTGGATACAATGCGATCTTGCTGATAATAGTTATCTAAAGATAATTATTTATAGAGTGACATAATGATTGAAATACCTTATACAATTTGGTCCACTTCACCCTCCCAATGTATTTCATCCGTATCATTTAATCCATTCAATCTCAGCCAACTACGATCATAAAGAGTGTGGCAAAACAGAGAAACGTATAAGGTAATTTTATTATCGATTTGAAAATGTCAATATATTTGAATAACTATTCAGGTCCAAAATACCCCTATGTACAGGGTGGCCAACTAAGACTCCAGAGTTCGATTTCTCTGTTGTCTTGAGAGATACAAAAAAAAAATCATGTATCAAAATTGAAGTAATAACCGAGCTTCACATTTCAAAATTTCTTTGAAATACACAGGGTGTTCCGTAAGGTCACAGCACATCAAAGCTATGTTTTTTTCATTGGAACACCCTATATTTTATTTCATTTTTGAATTCTCCCTGAAGATCTGATTTCAACTACACATCATACTTAGGGTCTAGCAGTGAAAGTTACTGACATATAGGGTATGCAAAATCGAGATTTTCCAAGTTCAAGATTTTTTTCTGTCGAAACTGTTCATTATTCGTCAAAACGGTTTACATGTCCCTATCTCAACTTTTCACTCACTATCAATTGGTGTTCAATTGAAATTGATACAAGGAGGTCAAAAAATCTAAATTTATAATTTGTTTCAATTAAATCTCAATTGAACACCAATTGATAGTGACTGAAAAGTTGGGATAGGGACATCATGTAAACCGTTTTGACGAATAATGAACAATTTCGACAGAAAAAAAATCCTGAACTTGGAAAATCTCGATTTTGCACACCCTATATGCCAGTAACTTTCACTGCTAGACCCTAAGTATGATACGTCGTTGAAATCAGATCTTCATGGAGAATTCAAAAACGAAATAAAATATAGGGTGTTCCAGCGAAAAAACATAGCTTTGATGTGCTGTGACCTTACGGAACACCCTGTGTATTTCAAAGAAATTTTGAAATGTGAAGCTCGGTTATCACTTCAATTTGAATGCAAAACTTTTTTTTGTATCTCTCAAAACAACAGAGGTATCGAACTCTGGATTCTTAGTTGGCCACCCTGTACAGGGTGGGTCAAATTGGACACTTTTAAAGAGAAAGTCCTATTCTCGAACCAGATGGAAGAAAACTGATATCGGTGCCTGAGGGTCGATTCTCATGAAAAACTCAATGGTGGAATCCGCATATCGATATCTGTCTTCGTTTCGGAGTCACAAGGTGTTTCTCGAAAATGGGAATTTTTGGAAAGTGGCCACAGATATTTCTTTGGCAAAACTTGTCTGTTCTTATGAAAATTACTGCAAAGTATTGAGTTTGTTATGAAATTCGTTCTCGAGGCACTGAAATCGGCCTTCCTATATCTAGTTCAAGAATATAGCTTGTTCTTCTTGAAAGAAAAGTTCTATTTTGCAACTAGGTATACGGTGACTGGTTTCAGTGCCTGAGGATCAATTTTCATGACAAACACAATGCTTTGAAAATGTTTTCTCGAAAACGAAGATTTAAAAAAAAGTATCAGCCACTTTCCAAAATTTCACATTTTTGAAGAACACCTTGTAACTCTGAAATAAAGATATCGATATGCGGTTTTCAGTGTTTAATAAACGAGTGTCTAGAAGAGTTAATAAACGCGTTACATACTATGCTTTTTCTACGAACTCCGAAATTTACATCAACATACCTGCTATTCCTGCTAACCTACAAAATAATTCGATAGGATTGGGAATTGCGAACATAATACATGCAACTGCAAGCAACCAGTGAGACACGTATAAGTGCTATTGGTTGTAGATGTGTCCAATTTATTGCTTACTTACCTTTGTTTCACATTCATCGCCATGCTTAGCGCAGAATAAATGAATTGTTCTTAAAGATGGATGCTTCATTTTCACACTTCTTGGAGATATGCAAGTACCAAAACATTCTCTTCTATTTCACTTTCGTCTACATTCCGAATATATTTTCAATGAAGAATTCTGATACAAACGAAAATTGTTTGAATAATTCTGATACAAAATTCGAAAATTACAGTTGACAGTTCCTACAATTGACAGGCCAGACATGTCTCAAATTACTGAAGCTGTGTTCAATGAACTGTGTTGCCAATGTGCCGTAAATAGCCTTTTCTGCGCCCTGTGCGAGCTTCTATAACTGCGCCCTAATATATTGATTAAATTTCAAGTACTTGGTATGTTAAAGTTTTGAATAGAGAAGGTAGCATAATATAAATTGCATTTAAGTATGAATTGGTGAAAAAACATTTATTCGACAATATTTGCAAGATTATTTACAACTACATAATACATAATACACAAATGATTGAGACCACAAATGAATGAGTTCAGATAGTGAAGATTCTTTCAAGCAAGCCATGAACATTTTCACAGATTTACTTTTCGCGCTTTCTTCATTGCGAAATCGTCGATAACTTTTTCATACGACAGGCAGCGCCCTATGCCGCGTTCAATCGACAAAATCGCTAGGCCGGTCAACCTTTCTTGGCCGATCGTAGAGCGCAAGTAAGTTTTTATTAGTTTGAGCTTACTGAATGATCTTTCGCAGGAAGCTACAGTCACTGGCATTGTTAAAAAAATCTTTATAGCGACTACTACATTGGGAAACATATCTTTCAAATCTAGTTCGACTATAGCTTTAAGAAGATCCAGACTTGTACTACGGTCACATTTATTAAATAATATAGTCGTTTCAGCTTGACTCTTTAAAGTGTCTAGCCCAAAATTCAGTATTATTTATATCTGCTGAATATTGGATACTCAAATCAGCGGCATGTTTTTTTAGTTCTTCAGCTGGATATTTAGCAATATTTTCTATTGTCAAAAAATTAAAAAGGTGGTGAATATTGTGAAGTTTCTCGAATCTCCATGTGAATTCAGAAATCATTTTATCAATTGCTTCATACATATTAATTTTAAACCTTTGCTGTGGGGTAATATCGTAGCCGGCGTCTGAGATTTCTCCAAGGTCTTGTCTTTTCACTCGCTTTTTACGTTTTTCCGGAAAATAGTCCTCAATTTCAAATTCTACACAAACTTTTTCTGCCTTTTCAAAAACGTTATCTATAGTCTCGCGAATATTCTGAATCTGCCTTATTAATCCATTGATTAATTCAGAGGCTTTGTCAATAGCAATAGTTTTCGACTGTAAAGCTACGTTCACCCTATCAACAGACTCTAAAACTTGATCCCAAATTTGCAGAGTACATATAAATTTATAGTTTATTAGACCCATAATGCTTTTAGCTGTAGCTACTGTTTCTGCATTGTTGGTAGTTAAAATCTTCAGTGCACACCAGATTTGGGGCAGTTGCATATTTAAAGCTTTAACGGCTCTAGCTTTAGAAGCCCATCTAGTATCGGCATGTTTCTTTAAAGAAATTTTTAGATGTTTCATTAAGATTTTCCATCTGATGGTAGAACTCGAAAAAAACAGAAATATCTTCTGAATTGTTCCAAAAAATGTGATCATGTCGGGTGTTACACTAGCGGCATGTACGCCAGACAAATTCAAAGAATGTGCTGCACAAGGTAGGTTGACTCGGACATTACTCCGATAAACACTTTAAACATTGATACGCTCGTGCGCTGCCAAAAAAAATGAGCGCGGTGTTTTGTCTACTCTTGATGATACTGGCATGTAGGTAAGTATGTGTTGGAATCGAGCACTAGGGGCGCAGCAATAACGGGAACTCATCATGAGCAAACCGAAACAATGATAGTCCTGCCTGCTTTGGCCATTCTTTCTTGCGCCCCCCAGAGTCTACGCCCTGTGCCTGGGCACCGCTGGCACCGCCCTATTTACGGCACTGGTTGCCATGGTAATGTGTTTAAGAAATCGTGTTGCCATGGTAATATTATGAATAAATCACAGATCGTCAATCTGTGATTAATCGATCATTTAGCGTGGTACCTACATATCCGTACGCTAAATGCCATTTTAGTAATGTGAGTAAAAAAATACTATTTTGTATCACATGTTGTAACACGACAAGTATACAGTATAGGCACTACTGCAAAATTCACTATCTACTGCAATAAATTATCAGGTACCTATCGAGTATCGAGATCAACATGATTTCAAGTTCCTGATAATCCAGCTGTAATCTGCCTATGCTTTCATATACGACAATATAATATGAATTCACCTGCAAGATGATAGCCATTATCAGTTTGTGGCTAACGTGTTTGGTGGTAGCACAGTAGTTTTGGTAGGTAGAACCGTATAGTCGTATTATATAATAGTTATAGTGTTCGCGCCGTTCGTGGCTAGTTGTAGCAGTAGTCGCCATTCGGCTATGTCATCAAGGATACGACTAAAAATAGATTGTGCTTATTCCGATAAAATACACAAATTTGTGATATAAACACGCATATAAATGTATTGAAATCAGTTAATCATATGAGTCTCTATTTAGAATAGATGTACAGTCGTCTTCAGCGGAAATGTCGCGGTTGGACGGTATGAACGCTCTTATTGCAGCGGTGATGAAGGGAGCTGACACCGTCCATGTGCGACATGATCTCTGAAGACGACTGTACTAGCCATATTTCTAGCACTTTATCATATTCCTTGTTCATACATTCATGTGATTAACTCATAACTCATATACACTCAGTTCCAAAAAAAGTGACGCACTTGATATTTGACCTATCTTCTTAAAAAAAAAATAGTAGGCCGATTTTTACTTTTTTTACTTGTTGGTAGGTAATGCATTTGTCTTAAAAAATAAATAAAGAAGTAAATATTTTTTCAAAGCCTCCTTGATGGTGGTGGAATAACTCGAACCATGCTTTATTCTTAATTTTTGACTCACCCTGTGTGTTAATTGAGTAATGGCATAGAAAGTGCTTGCACCCTATACGAAAGAGGCTTTATTTGCGAGCATTTTGTTTCCTTATTCATTGATTTATCTCTAAAATTTTCCGAATTACAGCTTTTTTGCTGATACCATACGCTTATCCCACAAATTAAATTTATTGAAGGATTAGAGTACTCAAAATTGATTGGGTTGTACTCTGGTAGGATCACAGTGTCTTTAAAAAAACAAATGCCGTTGCCATAGCAACTAATTAGTTGTATGCCTCCATATTTGAGCATTTGTCAACAGATACAAGGGTGATCAGAATGCTGAATCTTGAACCACTCTGTAATAGTTCCAATTAAATGTCAGTATAGATAGTAAAACGAAAGTTGAGATAGGGACATGAAAGTCGTTTTGACCAATAATGAATAGTTTCGACGCAAAATAATCCTAAAGTTGAAAAATCTGTGTAATCATTCTCGCCAGACCAAAAGTGTGACGCTTTGATGAAATCAGCTCACAAAGGAGAATGCGAAAATGCAATGAATTACAGGGTGTCCCATAAGAATAAGTATATCTTTGATACGCCACGCATTTGTCAGTCACCCTGTATGAAGCGGAATAATTTCGAAATGTACTGCTCATGATCCTAGATCATCTCTGAAATTTTTGTTCATCTTTCTCAAATAGTAAAGCCGTTATCTCACTTTGCCACACTATCACCATTACTACAGCTCAAATGAATGACTAATAATTGATGATATTTAGCTATGGAGTCGTATGAAGTAGAGTGAAGTATATGTTTTTGCCACAAGCCCACTTACTAATAAAGATTTTGAGTACCATGAACTTTCCAAAATCGCATGTTGAATTATCATTAGCTCATTCTAGGAACACGTAATATAGAGATGAGAGAACATCGTGCAACAAACAAACAGCGTATAATATGTGATAATTAACGAGATTAATAATTTCTAAACTGAAGTGTATACATAATAACTTTGTCGATAGGTAATAACTCCTTCAATGGACCAGTGAAGTGCATCAACAGAAAAGTATTTGTGAAATAGTGAATAATTATGGACTTCACTAAGGAAAATGTCAACTTGAATCCAAGGGATACTGCGAATCCCCTGTCAGTTCTGTTTTTCGGGTAAGTTATTTTTCGAAATCACACCTCTTGAAAGTCTTCATAAGTACCCAGACTAATAGACAGACATAATAGGTAATGTGCGATCTACCTGAATACAAATAAAATTCGGACGCCACTGATTCATTATCGAGTGGACATAACAATTTTGAAGGAACAAACATCACATCGATCTCGATATCAAGGTCGATATATGATATAATATAATATATACGGAATATTTCAGTAAATCCGTATATTACAGGACCCATCATGATGTATTAAAAGTGCAAAAAATCAGTTAGTGATATCAGTTCGGATATCAGGCATTTTTTATCGATAAACTAATATCATGTTACGATGTTCACTACTCTTCTTCTGCCCAAAGGCAGCTTTCCTCTGATGCACCAGCGCGGGGCATTCAGTGAGTATGTGTGATGATGTTTCATCATCCTCCAAGCACCATCTGCAGATGGGATCATCTTTGATCCCTATGAGTTCTAGGTGCCTGTTGAGGTGGTTGTGCCCAGTTAAGAGCCTAACTACCATCTTGAGATCCCTTCTATTAAGTGACAGGATCTCTCTCGTGAGCCTTTTTGAAGGTTCCTTTATATGGAGCTTTGATTGTCTCATTCCTGGTGTGTCCCGCCATGTTTCAAGGAACTGCCTCTGTAGCATTTCCTTCATGAAGGACATAGCCGTACTATTGGGTATTCCCAATATCGGTTCTGGTCCAATGGGTGTCGTTCCTGAACCGATCGTGGCTAGTCTGTCTGCCTCCTCGTTCCCCGAGATACCAGAGTCTCCTAGTTTTTGCCATATTTTCGATGGCACTTCTACACTCGGACACCAATTTAGTTGTGATCCTATTGGATCTCAATGCCATAATAGCAGCTTTCATTACTCACCTACTCGCCAATTGAATTCTAAAATTTGAACTATATTCTCTTTTACTTTGGTAAAGGCAACAGAATCACCTCGAAAAATCATTGATAGCCTAGTCGTTTTTTGAATTCAGGATGAAAGTTTATGGGACAGTTTTTGCTAAGAATCGAATATTCTATCGATTAAGAATATTCTCGAGAATATTGTATACCGGGTGTCCCATTCAAAAAAATGAACCTCGACATAACTGTTTGATTTTTCTTTCGATTTCATCATCGTAATCAGCGAAAAAAATTCTACTACTAGTTTGTCCATTCAACAAACATTGTAGTCCCAATACTTGAATAGAGTTTGAAAACCCTTGATGGTATGCTGATATTCAAGGGGGCGATTCTTCGACCCATTTCAAGAATAAAACTTCATATGAACATGTCTCAAACCTCCTAACTTTTGAGATACAGGGTATCAAAGTTGAACATATACATATATCCTTTTTTTTGTCCACCCTGTATAGCTTTTCCTGATGGCAAAATTTATTCTGCTATGTGACTGAAAAGGTGCAAAAACTTCAGAATGTTACAGACTGTGATTATCCATTAATAGCTGTCCTGATTGGAGTACTAAAGCTTAGCATTTACATCAAAATTTGAAGTTTGATCTCGTTTTTTCGTTTTTTCTCGAAAACGGAGCGTCCTGTCGTGTATCACCAAGAGGATCTTTTTTGTACAAAAGTGGATGACTTTTTTATAGCATTTTATTAAATTTGGAAATATTCCTTCGTTGCTCACTTTCAAGTATAATATAAACAATCATATCCCCCTAACGGCGCCACTGGTTGAGAAAAGGAAAATTTGTATACATAATAAAATGCACCATGATGCATAGAAGATATGTACCAAATTTCATAAAGATGACTACAATATTATTCCAGATATTATAAAAAAACTATTTTTTTTAAAAACTTTATCACACTGTATCTCAAAAGTTAAGACTTTTAGGACATATTTTGTGGGAAGTTTGTTTCTTGAAATGCGTTGAAGAATCACTTGCTTAAATATTAGCTGTCCATGAACAAATTTTGTTTTCCAGTTTCCCAATTCGATACATTCGCTACATGAGCTTTCATTCGTGCGCTCCAAGCGATAAAAAAAATCATTATCAATCCCTAATTTCCACGTGACGTTATTTTGTTTCAGCTATACCATCGACTTGTTCAGAAAAGGTTACAGAGGAACCTTGGGAGCTGAGGATTTGTATAATCCACTAGTAAGAGATAGGAGCACATTCTTAGGAGATAGATTAGAAAGGTGGGTGTAATTAGGGTAAAAATTAGTGACAATGTATTTCATATAGTTTTGAGATGCTTCCTTGAGGTTATTATTGAATGAATCAGTGAAAAATCATAGGATATCAGGAATCTTGTTTCAGTACAAATCTATCAAACAGCTTCTCTCTCTCTCTCTCTCTCTTCCTCATATTAATTTTAAAATGTTGTTTTCTTATCCCGAAACAGAAACTGGCAGAAACAAATAGCAAAATCGAAAACGACCAACAAGACACCGAGTTTCTTCAAAGCCCTAGTCGCTACATTTTGGTTAGAATTCTCTTTCCTAGGCATACTGATAGGAGCAAGCAATGTAGGAATCAACATGGTACAGCCTTTCATGTTGGGGGGATTGTTAGATCACTTCAAACCTGAAACTCAAACGACCAAGCAAGAAGCATTTTACTACGCAGGTGCAATAGTGCTGTTGAATATTTCCTCTGTATTGATAATGAACCAATACATGCTGGGATGCTACCATGTAGGGATGAAGATCAGAGCTGCATGTTGCGCCCTCATTTACAGAAAAGTGAGTACACCTAGCTTTCCGGCTATTACCTCTGAAATTGGTAAGTTTTCATTTCGTTTCAGTCCTTGAAATTGAGTAAAACATCCCTTGGAGGTATAGCATCCGGAAAGATAGTGAATCTTCTCTCCAATGACGTCAGCAGATTCGACATAGTCTCGATGTTCGTTCACCAAATGTGGGTAGGTCCTGTGTGTTCTCTTATAGTTATGGGACTCCTATACAGAGAAGCTGGTTATGCCGGCATCATAGGAATAGCTGCCGTATTTTTGGTAGTGCCAATACAATGTGAGAATTACTTACTACAATATAATATTGTTAATTGCATGCCTAAACTTGATATTGCAGCTTATACCGGGAAACTATCGGCTAAGTACAGAAAGCAAACAGCTCTTAAAACAGACGAAAGAGTAAGATTGATGGACGAAATCATCTCTGGAATCCAAGTGATAAAAATGTACGCCTGGGAAAAACCATTCGAGAAAATCGTCAAGATAGCCAGAAGAGCAGAAATCAAGATCATAACCAAATCATCGTACGTGAGGGCCTTATTTATGGCTTTCCTTCTGTTCACCACGAGATTTGCCCTGTTTTGCTCACTTCTCACACTGGCTTTGTCTGGGCAAGAAATCACAGCTGCCAAGGTTCGTTTGTTCCCACAACGAGAAATCACAACTCATCATTCCTGTTTTATAGGTCTTCGTATTTATGTCTTACTTCAATCTTCTTTCCATGTCCATGGGCGCAATGTTCGTCAGAGGTATTTCAGAAATAGCCGAACTCTTCGTGGCCATCAAGAGGCTTCAAGATTTTCTCTTGAACGAGGAATTCGACCCAAAGAAACTACCAATGAGTAATGGAACCATCAAACATACGAGCGATTACCCGAATATGCTGAGCCTGAGGAATCTGACAGTCAAATGGAATTCTCACAATTCTGATACCGCTTTGGAGAACATCAACCTGAGCATTCCTGATGGAAATTTGGTGGGGATCATTGGGCCAGTTGGAAGTGGGAAAAGTTCCCTACTACAAACTATACTAGGTGAGGCATTACACTCTTGAGGTACACATGCTTCAGACTTGTATGTCTACATCAACCTGGACCATCTTCCTCTCCTCAAGAAACAAACCTAAAGAGGTATACCACCCAAAAGAGCACTGAGCATTGGCGAAAGTGAAGACTACTCTTGTCCTCCAGATATCGAAAATAAAACTCTAATAGTGAATCTCTATCGTCCATACTGACACATCGTTAGTTGACTGAAGCTTTACATTTCACACTCTATAGAGTAGATTGGTTTAACTATCTGATTTTATGTAGGTGAATTGGACGTCATCGAAGGAACATCAAGAATCAACGGAACCATCTCATACGCTTCCCAAGAGCCCTGGGTCTTCGCAGCGACCATCCGTCAAAACATAATTTTCGGTCAAGAATATGACAAGAAACGTTACCTAGACGTGATCCAAGTATGCGCTCTAGAGAAAGATTTCCAGCAATTCGAGAACGGTGATTTGACCATCGTCGGAGACAGAGGAGCATCGCTCAGTGGAGGTCAGAAAGCTAGGATCAACTTGGCCAGAGCTGTGTACAGAGAGGCTGATATCTACCTACTGGATGATCCTCTGTCTGCTGTCGATATCCACGTTTCCAAACATCTATACGAGGAGTGCATAAATGGGTATTTGGCGAATAGAACTAGGATCTTGGTGACCCATCAGGTTCACTACCTGAAGGATGCTGACCATATCATCATTCTCAAGAATGTAAGTGCATTGACTTGGTAAGATGATAAATCTAGCTGTATTTTCCTAATTTAGGGACGCATCGAGGATGAAGGTACATTCAATGATCTAGCTGATAGTGAAAATATGTATGCCAAACTGTTGACGGCTGATCCAGAACAGACCGTTGACAAACAGAGGGAGATCACTAGATTGAAGAGGAAAACGTCGATGGGAGTATGTATTTATAATCTTCAGATCGGTGAAATCGCTAATATCACTAATTTATAGAGTCGAAAAGCTTCTATCGCCAGCCTCATAAGTGAGATGAGCATAGCAGAAACTCTCTTACCAAACGACATGGGCATAGAAAGCGACGAAGAAGAACCTCCAGAAGAAAAAGTCAACATGAAGGATATACAAGAAGCGTCGTCTAAAGGCACTGTAGGCGGGTCTCTTCTCCTCAAGTACCTCTTAGCAGGCACCAACTTCTGCGTGGCTGGTATTATCGTGATTCTCTTCATCTTAGCTCAAATGGGCGCTAGCGCAGTAGACTACTTCGTGAGCTACTGGGTCTCCATCGAAGAATTCAGAAACGTTTCTAAGGACTCTGTTGACGTGGGAGTATTCGAAGTTCCTCCAGTAGATTGGTCAACAGAAACTTGTCTGTATATCTACGGCAGCCTTTTGGTTGGTCTTTTTGTCATTGCCTTGACCAGGACAATGTTATTCTATAAGTCGGCAATGGTTTCTTCTAAGACGCTGCATGCTGTCATCTTCAATAGTGTACAGGGCGCTTCCATGAGGTTTTTCGATACGAATCCTGGAGGCAGGATCCTCAATAGGTTCTCCAAAGATATGGGATCTATTGACGAGTGGCTACCAAAAGCTATAGTTGACTCAGGACAGGTAAGATTATTTGGAATTTTCATTTTTCCTTCAGTCACCTTGAATCTGGAGTCTATATCTTTCTTCCAGGTTTTACTGTCCATAGTGGGATCTCTCGTTTTGATAGTGGTAGTGAACCAATATTTCTTGATATTGACGGCTGTGCTCCTTCTAGTGTTTGGTTTTCTAAGGCGTATCTACTTGAAAACTTCTAAGGATTTGAAACGTCTAGAAGGAATGAGTAAGGCATTGATGATATACTCATTTTTGTTCATAGTTAGAACGTGCATATATATATATATATATGTATATTCACATTGGTCTTTCTTTTTCAGTGAGAAGTCCAGTATTCACTCATTTGAAAGCAACCATAGAGGGTTTGACAACGATCAGAGCTTTTGGAGCGGAGGCTATCCTCAGGGATGAGTTCGATAAGCATCAAGATACCCATACTAGCGCTTGGTACATGTTCATCATATCTAGTTCAGCTTTCGGATTCTATCTGGACAGTTTTTGTGCTGGATTCATCGCATTTATAACGTTCAGTTTCTTGGTTTTCGAAGACAGTGAGTAAAATACAGCGGGGTCGCCTCCAAAGATCAAACAATAATTATTTCAGGTCTCAAGATGCCAGGAGGCAGTGTAGGACTGGCCATAACCCAAGCTATAGCCATGACGGGTCTACTCCAATGGGGAATGAGGCAATCCGCTGAAGTAGCCAATCAGCTCATGAGCGTGGAAAGGGTTCTGGAGTACAAATCTCTTCCGAAAGAGATCCAGCCAGCCGTACCTCAAGAACCACCGAAAAACTGGCCTTCACAAGGAAAGCTAGTTTTCGAGAATATGGGACTGAGATACTTTCCTGAAGGACCTTTGGTATTGAAGCATCTGAATATCGTCATCAACCCAAGAGAAAAGGTAATGTAATATGACCCAATAGCAATGTTTCAGTAGCTGGTTGATGATCCGGCCAACCCAACCCAATTCAATTTCCTTTTCCTTCCACATTATCCTCCTCCTTCAATACATAAATAGAAGAACGTCGGGAATCACTGGATGTGGTGTCATATATATCGAGAGCATTCGACTGTGTTTGGAACAAGGACTTTTCCACAAAATACCACCTCAGCTATGCCATCTTTAATCAAGTTTTTGTAAGGCAAATCGTTCCATGTGGTGGTGGACGGAGTATCGTCTGATACCATAGCCATAAATTCACCAGGATCAAATTTGGAACCAACATATTGATCCAAATCCATGTCAATAATCTGTTGGGAGTAACAACTTGCCCTATCCACAGCTTTGCAAATGATACTACTGCGTTCTCTTCCAGAATTTCCATTTCTTTTCAGGAAACTAAGAACTCTCTAAGAACCCCTAGGTACGGAACATGTTCATCGAACAAAATAGGGATTCCCATTCGTGCGCTCCAAGAGATAAAAGTGTCACTCCCAAGCTAATAATATGATTATTTGTATTCCTCAGGTAGGTGTGGTGGGTAGAACAGGAGCAGGAAAATCCTCCCTGATATCAGCTCTATTCAGACTAGCCCCAGTAGAAGGCAGCATGTCCATAGATGATTTTGATACTAAAAATATAAGCCTGGAATCCCTCCGATTGAAAATATCGATCATCCCCCAAGACCCAGTCCTCTTCTCTGGTACCTTGAGGTACAACCTGGACCCGTTTGAAGAGTACAAAGACGAAGCCCTCTACAGGGCGATACAAGACGTCGAACTCAATGATCCTGCGAATGTGATCAACAGGCTGGAGAATAGGGTGATGGATAGAGGAGCCAATTACAGCGTGGGTCAGAGACAGCTGATTTGTCTGGCAAGGGCCATTCTCAGAAACAACAAGATTCTGATGTTGGATGAGGCCACGGCCAATGTTGATCCTCAGTAAGTATACAATGATTTGAATACTATTTTCGATTTAAATCATTTGTTCCTAGCTCTTCTTACGGGAAACGATGTTTGATTCAAGATCTTTATGGAAACTATCTCTGATTTAGAAGTTGAAAATATGATTCGGATCTTCTGAAAAGATTATTACACTTTCGAAGAGATTCAAATCGGTTCGGAATGATTTAAATACTAATAAAATGGTTTAAATGCTTTCAAAAAAATTCAAATTTTTCAAAAGTGATTTTAATCTCTTCCGATGATTTTCGAAATTTGAATTTTTCAGAGATTAGATCTAAATACTATCAAGAAACTGCAAATTGAATTCATACTTCTGCAATAGTTTAGTTTTGTGAATTTGTTTCATATTATAGTCCTATTAACCTTTGCAGTCTGAAATATGTTCATAAGTATTCATTACAAGATCTATTATTATACAGACATTGACGATGTCTCAATGTTTTGGTTTTTTGAAAGTTATTTCGCAAAAAAATACATATTTCAATTTCATAATTAATAAATGCGAAACGGTAGTCGGAATAATAATTAATAAATGATTCTGAGAGTTCAGAGCAAGGTCATCATACTTATCATTGTTTGATTAGATTTGATTATTTCACAAACATTTTGTCATAAAACAATTCGAGTCACTAGATGATTTATACTTGAATCTGTGCCAATTAAGGGTATTAACTATTATTTACTATGATGTGAAAACATTCGTTTTTCGAATTTACCGTCAATATCAGTAATTTGAATTCACCAGCCATTGCCAAAATTGCTCTGATTGGTCTCCTATATATCACCCTATACATGTTTGGGCAAAATGGATTCGTGCGCTGTACTCGCGTTGTCATTCATTCCTCCACCGCGACGATCAATTGTTGCCTCCTGTCAGTAGGTGCTAGTGTACTTGAAACACAAGCGTCTAGCTAAACCAGCGAATCTTCAAAACATCTAAGTCAAGTGACGTCACCCACAACACATGATATTTCTTTCTTCTTCATATCGAGGAACTGAGACTACTACTAGTGAAGCGATAGTCACGCGATAGCTCTATGTATCTGACTTCCACGGTGGTGGCTGGGGTTCGATCTCTGCGAGGCATCAATTTTTCTTATATTTTTTTCACCCAATTTCAAGAAAAAGGTTAATTTAGGGCAAGTTAGGATGAAAGTACTTTCCTTTTTCATGCAGAAGAGATGTTTTCCTTCCTCATAGTACCTCTTAAGTCTTATAAACACAAATGATCTTCTGATAATATTATGAGGTTTGAAAGATTCGCTGTTCTCGCTAGATGTTTGTTACTTGATACCGTTGTTCTAGAACCGATGCTCTCATCCAGAAAACCATTAGGAGGAAGTTCGTGGACTGCACTGTCCTCACTGTGGCCCACAGGTTGAACACCATCATGGATTCCGACAAGGTGTTGGTTATGGATGCCGGCACCGTGGCAGAGTTCGATCACCCCCACAAGCTCCTCCAACGGTCCGACAGTGTGTTTTACAAGATGGTGGCAGAGACTGGACCGGCAACGTCGGAGCAACTCAGGAAAGTCGCTGCGGATGCTTTCCAGAGGATATCTGCGGTGCCAGAATGATGCTCCAAAGGAAACGGTGGGATCAAGTGATTCGGATCGAAATAAGTGTTGTGGAATGAACAGAAGAAAAGTGGTGCTCAATTTTCGATAGATTTTGATGAACTTATCTGTGTTAGGTGGATATTCATTGGAAATTCACTGTCAACAAGTAGGCGACTTGATTTCCGTCCAACTATGTTCCCAATCATTTTTCTAGATTTTCGGGGGTTTTCTCTTCTGGTTTCTACAGATTCCAACAAACAATGAACTACCGGGGAGTTCTTGGTCTGATGCTGTCATTGCTGGGGAAATGACTTCAGAGGAAAAAAATTGTTACCCTTTCACATTCTTGTAGTCACTAGCATTGAATTTGTCGAGCAGAGCTGAATGTTGAGAGGTTACATGGTAGAAAAAAACACAATATTTCCCTTTCCATTTTACACAGACTTATGATTGTCTATCGGAATGTGTTATACCCGATAGGTATGGTTGAGAATATTGTTCATTACGTTTTCTTTTCTTTCAGCACAAGAATAAATTAAAATGCATGAAACGAAAGCGCATTATGAGCGAATTTTCTGCTGAAAATTCTCACATACTGAGGTCTTGAGATCGATCCATTCTTAAGAGACTTTATCAATTTCTGGAGGAACAATCCACGTTCATTTATTGTAGGTTTTGTAATTGGGCAATAGTTCAACGAATTTGAAAATGTTAGGCTCACTGGTGTAAAATTCTCCATTGAATTTCCTGTAGAAAAACTCACATGCATTAGTGTTCCTCTCAATTTCATTAGAGCATTATGCCTATATAGCAGGAAGAGTACCATGATCCAAGATGTGATTGTCCAACACATAATCACAAAAGTCTTCCAGATGAGAGTTCCCCAGGCCATTAGATCGCCGACGGGAGATTTCATTCTGAGAATCTTTGTAGATAGTGACTAGACCATTCTTTTGAATTTTCCTATGGAACGATTGGCCAAAACGAAATCGTCACCCCGCGATTGCGGCGGTTGGCCACACGTTTTTGATCCCAAAACCCAGTATGTAAAATAACTCTTGTTTTCCCTTCGCTGGACTTGAGTAGTATTATTTGTGTATACCTCGCGGTAAATCCGCTCTACGGTAACACATTTTCAAAGTGCGCAGTTCTATGCTTCCAGGAGATTACCCAAAAAGTACCCGAATTCCCTTTTCGTCAATTAGTGAAATCCGCCATTCCCTGAAAGGCCTAGTCATTTCACTTATTGTCGGCAAACAGCGTAATAGCGTAACTTCCATTTTCAGCCGTTACTCTGTTTGCCAGAGGGTTGAGGAAGGAAAATATCCTTTCTGCATATGCATAAGAAGGGAGACTATTTTGCCGCCTAAATGAACCTTCTTCCTAAAAAGTATATTTTTCAGAAAATTACTTGAGTGAACAGATTGATTGATTGATTGATTAATAGCAGAATGATCAGTCAGGGTTTGAAGCCCAAAACACTGCAGCCTTTGGGCCTATTGTATTCCTGATCATGCTGTTGACTTAGGTGAACAGGTCCGCTACCTTGATGAGGTTTAGCAGCCTCTTCACCAAATCATTCTTTGAAAATGTCTCTCAAGAGTTTACTGCTCCCAGAAGGTTGTATCTCCAACGCGCTAGTGCTTCGCACTCCAATATTACATGGGTGGCAGTTTCCTCCTCCTCATTGCATAGTCTGCATATGGGTTCGTCTCTATGATGCCCATTTGATGCATATGTTTCCTCAAGGGGCAGTGACCGGTTATTAGTCCCGTCACTTGTTTGATCTGACTTCTGTTTAGCTCAGAATGTCGTTAGTCACTGTTTTGGACAGTGTTCCAACCATCAGTTTACTGTGTCTTTGTCCTGGGACATTGTTCCAGTATGCCTGATGTCTTTCTTGCATCCAACTTGCCAGCCAGCCGCGTATTGAGGTTTTGGGGATACCGAATACAGGTGCCGGTCCCATAAACAACGTCGCAGACCCTTGCCTGGCAAGAGCGTCAGCTGCTTCATTGCCTTCAATTCCCTTATGCCCTGGCACCCATTGAAGAGTTACCTTGTTGTGGTTAGCCAGGGTTAGCAGGCTTTGAAGGCAATCCCAGACCAGTTTTGATCTGATTTTATTGCATGTTAAAGATTGAATGGCCGCCTGACTATCTGAGCATATGAGGATTTGTTCACCTCTATATCCTCTTACAATATTCTCTCTTAGGCATGCCTCAATAGCATGGACCTCTGCCTGGAATACTGAAGCATACCTCCCCAAGGAAGCACACATCCTGGTTCTGGGTCTATCTCCATATATTCCGGCTCCCGTGCCCTCAAACTGAGTGAACAGAAGAGACTACTGCTTCTAAACAACCTAAGCTGACTCGGCCTAAATGAACCTTCATTCCGTCATTACAGGGAATGCCTGAAACTATTAGGCAAACGGTGTACGAAATTCAAAGTAACGCTGTTTGCCGGCAATACGTGAAATGACTAGTTCCAGAGAATGACGGATTTCACTGTTTGACGCCGACATATGGATTATAAATGAATGTGTGTATTTACGGTATCCAACTGTTAGTATATACAAGTAAAGGTGATTTTATTAAGAACAAGTTTTTCATTTTTCCATTGAAATTTCAACCATTTTGCAAGATGCGTGAAAATTACAAAAAACAATATCGAAAAATGAAAGTTTCACCTCCTCGATCACCCTACAGACGGTATTTAACAAATAGGTATGGACTCAAATTACAAAATATAATGCATTTTCAAATTTAAATTACAGATAACTAAACGAACAAGTTCACTGAATATAATGTATGGATAATAATTGAATCTCTGAAATAATATATACTGTGGTTGGCGGTATCCAACTGTTAGTATTCTGATAAAGTGAAGGTGATCCCATTAAGAATGAGTTTTTAATTTTTGCATGGAAATTTCAACCATTTTGCAAAGTGATAGCATGTATACCGGGTGTCACCGGGCTTTTAGGGCAGCATACACCGAGAAAAAATCAGTTATACAAGTCTCTATTCAAAAACATCCCATAACTGCTAAATGAAACATTTTTACCACGAAATGTCATGTGATAAACGTGAAAAATCAACGTTTTCAACGTGACACAGCTCAACTTTTCAAATCACTTTTGTTGTTTCAAAAAGTTACCGTATATATTTGAAATGAAACAAGATTATAGTTGAAAGATGGAATTTAAGAGAGAATCATTTAAATCCTAAAAGAGTTAATTCAACAGTTTTTGAACGGTTTTTTGTCTCCCTCCGCTACGCGTCGTGAGACAACACAACCTGGAGCTAAAATCTACTACTTTTTTCTCTTGTATAATAAATAACTATTTGTATTTTGAGTGAACTAAAATTACAAACCTACCATTTGACAAATGAATAACTGAAATGAAATGCCATTAAATTTTCTATCAGAAACACCTTTGCTGTCTGTTAAGTGTCATAGAAAAGTCACATTCCATGCCGCTAGGAGACGAAGAAAATTACTTTTGTGATGAAACTTCATTTTTTGAACACCCTCTATTCGACATTTCATGATAATTGACTAGAAGACCTGGAATGGTCAAAGACATTCATGAGATGTGTTGATGAAACTCGGTGGCAAAACTTGAAAAAAACAAAAAAATATATAAAACTATCACATTCACTGTATTTCGGAAAAAAGAGCTTCAACGCATATAATGTATTCACATGAGTTTTTCATCTCAAAATAGTATTTTATTGGAGCTGTTGAAGTCCTGATACAAAAAACTGGCTCACCCTGTATGGTTATCGATAAGATGTTGCCATTCTAAATGACATGCGAGGTGACATGGTACCTAAGATACAACCATGTAAAAGAGTTATATATACCTCCTCAAAAGAGTAAAAGGACCTCACAATTTGATCCATACAAATAATATTAAATTGGAATTCGTCGAAGAACCCTTCAATAAAAAAATCGACATAATTACGAAAATTATTAGGAAAAATAATATCACATCATCACATCTATATTACAACTTCAACAACCTGTATTTCAAAAACCGAATAAGTAAGTCTAGAACTATCATCCTTCCAAAGAATGGAATTAGTACTGTTTTATCAGCATTAACTATTAATTTATCTTGCTGATAGAAATTAAGACCATGATGGAACAGATTGAGACACAAACTTCCCAAAACAATAGCAGGAATTTGATTTAGGCTTTTATCTCTTATTTGTTTTGTTGAGAACAAGTCATTATCATAAGCAAAAGAATAATTAATTGTCACGAATTGATTCGAAATCTGTACAGTGAACGACATCCTTCTGAATGAGTGGTTTGGTTGAAGGTGAACAGAAGAAAAATGGAAGGAGGATATACAGTTAAACTTGAGAATCCCAGGAAAAAGGCAAATTTTTTGTCAGTTTTGATTTTTGGGTGAGAATTTTTCGTTTACTCAACAACGATATTTTCAAGCGTTATCATTAAAAATTGGTAGTGAAGTTTTTTACATCGAAATAAAATTGTCATCAACGAGTGTTTTTAACGTTTTTAAACTTATTCCGATATAATAATTTGAAAATATTGGTTATCAATGGGGACAATAATAGTATCTGAATTTAGTTTCATCAATTATCCAGATAAAACATGAAAATAATGATTATAAACCAACTCGATATCACCCAATATGCTTATAAACTTTGTCCTTGTGCATATCTCGAAAAATCTACGGCTGTAACATAAAATTGCTCTTCTTTTACTGTGTTCCATACATCAATGAGGTATACTTTGTATATCATAAATTTTATTTCCGTATCTGATACCACAATGACTCCATTGTATTATTATCTCAAAAAAATCTCATCGCCCATGGAACGTCAAATTTCAAACAATGACTCTCTGTCTAAATAGATGAGCATTTCTTGCAGGAAATCAGATGGCTACAAGCCGAAGAAATCGAAAATGCGGTTGAAAAATTATAGTGTATAACTTGCACTATCATTTCGTGCTCGTTAATAGCTATTTGTGTATTTAGAGCACAAAGTGATAGATTGCCGCTCGACATAGAAAGTTACCGCGCGACGGAGAGCGGAGCGCGGTTATCTTTGGAGAGCGGCAATGACACTTTGTGCTCGAAATACACAAAAGATTTTTTCTACAAACGCAGCTTTTGGAAATGACTGCCCTGAAAGTATGAGCGATGGAAATAGTTCTTATCCATATTATCCCATTATCCCATATGTCCAAAGAAAACAAAAAAAACTTAACATAACTGACAAGCCAGAAAAAAAATGTCGGGCCTACCGAGAATAAAATTGAAATTGGACCACCAGCGTGGCAACCTGAGCTTCAGACCTCTGAGCCATGGTACAATAAACTCTGCAATCAAATTGAACATAACTCATTGATGCAATAAAATAAAGATACACTGTGTTTCTGATGTTGACAAAGAGTTTAAATATAAAATATAATTCACCTATTCTTCATTGGGAGCTTCTTGTAAAAATTTGTTTGTATATATCTTCAGCGGTGAATGTTTTGGATTCTTCTCGCTTTATATCCAATAGATTGTTTCTTGAGAAATGCGATAAGTTTCAGATACTTATTGATTCCGATATCATCTTTAACATTCAAGCACGTATACGTACCATCGAATATAAAGACCAATGAGTTGATGACTTCAAAGTCTTTGATTTTTTACCAAAATAAGCCAGTAAAACGTTTTCTGAATACATATTCACCATCTCGGAGTGGCACCAATTTATGAATGTATCATATTGTAATTCATATTTCCTCCTTGATTTCTCCGGTAAGAGATTCAAACTCTTGCGCTTTCTGCTATATCAGGAGGTGTGGTTGATGATTCACTGTCACTATTTTCCATCATGAAAGAATTGGGGGTTTTCAAGAATAGATAAGTATAGGTTACAGAGATGTGCGAGCGTTTTTTCAATATTTCCGCTCACGAGCGCAAATGCTGTCAAAGAATGACATTTCTGGGAAAACGTCAACTTTGTGCTGGAATTTGAGAGCGTCAAAGGCTACTTTGTTAAGCGTTTGTAGAAAAACTATATACTATATCATTATTATCAGCTTTCTGAGAGCTGATAGATGATACAATGAAAAAAAATAATTTTCAATATTTTGCCAACCTAAAAACACTGCTACCATTTAAAATAAAACATAGACAGGGACATCAACAAATTGGCTTCATAATACCATACAGTGAAGTTTTGGAGACTGGTGGTTGAATGATCGAATATAAAATATACTTAAAATACCACAATAGTTTTTCTCAATCCATACTCAGAATAGGAGGGACAAGTAAGTACTCATCATCAAACATTCATTGGTTTGTCTGTTTCCAGGTGGATGACAAGCTTGGTCTCCAAAGCCGTCACAAAAGGTTTAGACATCATAGACCTGTACAAAGTTTTAGACGAAGACAGATCCAAAACGTTAGGCGACAGACTACAAGAAAAATGGGAGAAAGAGCTAGCAAGATCTACCAAAAAAAATGTCAAACCCAGTCTTCTGAGAGCGATTTCCAACACATTCCTCCCTGAGTACATGTGGTGGGGGGTACTGTTCTTTTTACAATACGCAGTCATCAAGTACGTCAAAAAAATATTCACTGGATAATAATCGATATACACTGTTTCCAAAATAAGGAGTGTCAGTATGGTCATCTCTAAAAAAACTAGAGATATACGGAGACTAATGAAATGTCTTTCGATCAACTTTTGATGTTAATTAACTCGGCATTATCGATTTCATGATCCAACGTTTCGTCTTTAAAAACCATCATCAGCTCAGTTTCTTGTTATCAAATTTGAATGGTCCTTTCCATTTTGATCTCGACGATATACTATTACTATCAAGTTATTTTTGGAATAACATCTCCTGTCAATTCATCATTTTCGTATCGACGTTCAAAGAAGATTTCAAACTGCTCATATATCATTTTTTTACTGTTTTGTTGTCAAACTACTAATACTGGTGTAAATGTAACATTGTTTGATGATCAATTTGAATAATATATACCTTTGTCCATGAAAATATGGAATTTTTTCATACTTGTTGCTGGCCAAAATAGGCTCAAAACGTATAAAAACTACAATGGGCGAGTGGACTTATCATGAATTATTGGCATGCAATTACTCTACTGTATCGTTAGGAACCTAAATTGAATTTTGCAATACTTCTCACGCTTTTTTTATGTAAATAATGAGTCTATGCGTTGTTCAAAATTGTTGAAATTTTTATGCTGTTTCGTTATTGGTCAGATAATCTTTTATTTCCACTCATGACGCAATTATAATCATGTTATCAAAAAGTTGTTAGAGTCCTGTCGTTGAATAAAACATAATAGGAGGAAACCATGTTATTATGATTAATTCTTGACTTTCTGAACAACCAGCATGTCCAAATATTTCTTATATGCCATAACAAAATATCATGTGAATGTTGGAGACTTGGCAACATTGTGCTGAATGCTGAGAACTGACAAGACCACGCCCACAATTCGTGTGCCGTTGGTGTCTCGTTCACCGATTCAAATGTGCTCCAGTCTGAATCAATATCATTATTATTCACACAAATTCACATCATCAGCAATAAGCCATAAATCATAAGGGAACATTATGAGACCCTTGAATTTGTATTGCTAATTAGGAATATTACCAATACTCAATTGAGCATTTATAAATTAAGGAATAACTAATATTTCTGAAGTTCCCAATCGTATTTCAACACATTGCAACTGTGCTATGTTCTGCACCTACTTACGAAATCGTGACGTCATCAGTCTTTACTGGCGATACATTTCTAGCCGTTTGAAAATCATCTTGGCATTATCGATGATTTTAGCACCTAAAAATCGACCGAGAAATTCATAAAATATCTGAAATTGCAAGGTATATGAGTGATAGTTCTATTTAGGAAATAAATAAAAAATAGTATACTCACCTGGCGAAATTAGATAGGTATCTAGACAAATTCTCAAGCGCTCTTTATTTCCAATTCACTCCGGACTCATTGTTCGTAGCTCAACAATTTTCTCACTATTCAATTGATGCATTATCCTAGTTTGACATACTCAGTCAGTTCCATCTTATACCGATTCCAAATTGGCAAAAAAATGTGTTCCATAGTACAACGTCCTGATTTTCATTAAAATTGAATTTCTTTACAATGCCATAAATCGGTACTGGTTCATCCAATTGAATTTATATTTACCAAAAGTTGGGCAATTCGTTATCAATCATTTCGTCTCGATTGAGTGTGCTTCTAATTTTTATAGTAAATGAGCTATAGCCTTTCAATAATTACGAGCGCGCCTACTATCGTGACGTCAGCATCCAGATAGAAAAAATAGACTACGGCCCGGTGAGATAGAGTAAATCCTGCTATTCTTTTGTTCCATGACTTATGGTATACCTTGTATAGCGCTTCAATCGCGCAACTTTTTTTCCATGATATCTGTATCTCTCATTTTTTCGGCAGAACATACCTACTGGCTCTCTATATCTTGGACACTATGTATTATTTGTGAGTAACTAGGTACTTGATCAACATAACTTCGTTCGTTTATCCAGATCCCTTCAACCCGTGGTACTGTCCTATACGATCGACCTGTTTACCGATCCAGGAAATGCAAACAAAACAAAGGAAATGTATATTTCCATCACTGTACTGATCATACTGACAACGATGGTGGTTTTCCTCATGCACCACACTTTTTTCGGAACATCAAGAATTGGAATGAAAGTTAGAATAGCTGTATCAACATTGATTTATAGAAAGGTAAAACCCTGATTTATAGATTTACTAACGCAACGTAACGAAAGTATCTTCAAGACGATTAAAGGAGAAATATACGTTGTTTTTACTCATAATCACACACACAAAAAATGACACTCAATTCAACAATACTGGGTTGATTGGCATATTTCCAAGGACGGCGGAATAACGGAACTTATTTCTCTGCCACACTCATTGAACTTATGAAAACTTCTAACGCGAATAACTTCGTAATCGTTTGAGATAACCCAATCGAATCCGGTATTGTTGAATTCGTTATAATATTCCCTAACCGATTATGGAATAAAATACATGGTGTTCTATCCGAAAATCGAAAGTTCAAGAAGATGAAAAAAATCCTGAATCCTAAAATGTGAGAAAGTGCCCTCTAGTGAGCATATTCGATGTTTCAAATTCCAGAAATATAGCTAGAGAAACAAAGGAAAAAAGCGGGATATACCATGAGACAGTGTCACCTGGTATGTCCCTGTGTGATTTTTCTGACAATCATGTATTCGTATTCTTTCCATGTGATCCTCTGATGAATTTTCTCATTGTGAGAGAAGACAGTCTGGTTTCCCTATTATGTCTGAATCATTTCGATATATTTCGACAAGTAACAAAATAATGAATTTGATATTCTCTATAAGTATATACCTGTGATGAATTGTCTCAACTTTTGGAACAATTTCCAGAGTAAACTTTATTTCTCTATATCATGTTCCTATAGGCTCTTACACCCTATATACGGTCCATGAAAGCCAATTTTTCGCCATTCGGCTAAAGAAAGAACTCATTCAAGATCATATAGATCTACTTTAAACTAAATCATCACACTTCGTTTGCAGATAATGAAACTGAACCATAAGTCTCTGGGCGAAACCACAGCTGGTCACGTGGTCAATCTGCTTTCCAACGATGTCAGCAGGTTCGATCTAGTCCTAATTTTCCTGCACGCCTTATGGGTAATGCCTTTTCAAATAATCATAATGTCCTATGTGCTGTGGAACCAAGTACAAATATCAGCACTAGCTGGAATTGTGTCGATGGCAGTTTTCAGTATACCAGTACAAGGTTAGAAGTAGAAGTTGTTTCAGCAAACAATATTGCAGTATTTCCTCAATCCCAATAGAAGTCTAAGATACTAATCAACTGGAGATATTGTAGAAAAACTTAGAAACTTTTTTTTTCTTTCAGTACAGCAGATCAACTAAATTATTGTTCAAACAGAAAAAAAAATTTGTTTGAAACTACAAATTTTTTGTAACAACCGCAACAAATGTTTTTTTTTTTCAGTTTTCGATTCAAAATTTATTTGATGTTACTCATCAATGATTCAAATCAACAACAGGAATTGGTTGAATAAACAAAGACTATTTCGTTCCTATAAAATATCTGCTCTCATGAACGATTAAGTTGATTGAAATAATTATATCATTAAATTCAAGTGACAAAATTTTCAGTTTTTCAGAGTGTGAATATGTTAAAATACGAATATATATTCTTCGATCAACCAAATTGGATTTAGAATTGACAAAATATTTTGCTGAATAATATTTTTAGAAAATCCAATAACTGAATTTCAAAACTGAGAGAAATTAGAGATCAGTTTCCTCAGTTGATACAAGACTATTAGCTTGTATAAGCGTCATAAGGAATTCTAAGACAGCCTAATATAATTATATAAATGGATGTTTTAGGTAGGTATATGTACACCCCAATCGAGGCAAGCGTAGGAAGGTTGGAAGAAACACCACCTGGTGGCAAAAATGCAACTAGATAATCAATCAACAAAATATTTGTTTGATATAATGTATTTGTGGGTTCTGTTCAACAGAGTAGTTTGTTTGAAATACCAACATATTTCTTGATAGCCAGGGGGCATCTTTGCCAAATTTGGTGTCTTTATCAAAGAGTGTATAATACATTGGAATATTATAGCTTATCTTCCGCACTATTTATAGGTTACCTGGGAAAACTGACAGGTGTTCTGAGGTACCGCATTGCTGGGAAAACAGACAAGAGAGTGAAGCTGATGAACGAAGTCATATCTGGCATACAAGTGATAAAAATGTATGCCTGGGAAAAATCTTTCGAAAAAATGGTCAAATCAGCTAGGGCTACGGAAATCGTTGATCTAACCAGTACTTCCTATCTGAGGGGACTGTTCTCGAGTTGTATGGTCTTCATAGAAAGATTGTGTCTATTCTTGACCGTCATTTGTTACACTTTGCTTGGTACGTGTGGTAGAAATCGTTCTTAGAAGCAGTTGTTGATTTGCTTCACACACATTGTCATTCATAGAGTTGGCACCATATGCTGGGACAAACTTTTGATAATAATTTATTTTGAAATTCTAATTGATGGAGATTGGCCAACTCGGTTGGATTCACGCGACTTTCGATACATGTCAAAAGTTGAATTTTTTCACTAACATTTCGCTGAAAATAGGCTCATTTGTTTGAATTCCGAATAAGTTTAATGAGAGAAGTTGTTTCTATCCCAATTTTACACATGTGTCTAATTTGAACGTTCGATTGCATCTTTTAGTTCTTGATATTTTTTTATTTCATCGAATCCACAGTATCAAGGCCCATACTCTTCAACCTATACATCAAAAGCCTAACTGACATTGATATTCAGGGCAAAGTAATATCATATGCTGATGATACTGTACTAACTTTAACTGATAAAGACTATGAAGGTGTGAGGAGACATGCGATAGCAGGAATTAAACACGTCAAAAACTGGTTAGATACTAACAAATTGTCACTTAATGTATAGTACATATTATAAAACAAACTATATTGCCTTTTCTAAAACATCCACAGATCGTCCTCACTTCCAAGAATTATGTGTGATAATCTAACCTCTGCAATACAAGAGACTCAAACTACCATATAATTGGACATCCTTATTGACCAGAACTTAAAATGGGACTATCATGTAATAACTCAAATTCTTGATCTAAATTCATTCTCCTTAAGCAGTTTCTCAGTATGAACCTGATGCTTATAACTTTATATTACAGTTTAGTAGAATCTATTCTATGTTATGGAATCTTAGTATGGGGAGGTATGTATGACACAGCACTTAAATGTTATTCAAAATAAAATATTGAACATTATTTATAAAGGAGACAGGTTGTATCCAACTCATTTACTTTATATATATATATTGAGAAAATTTCGAATATTAGATGCTACAATACTCTACCGTTAGATATAAAATTGTTACAAAAGTATAAATTCAAAAAGATCTGCAAAATAAATATTATACAAAATTATTCGAAATTGTATAATAATATTTTCTTAGGATAATGTATATACTTTTAATTCCTCCGTATACTTCAAATCATGTCATGTAAACATATAAACAGTTCATATCAATCTTTTTCACTAGGATATTCATGAACATTTATGTACATACATTTCGAACATTTTCATTCAAGACACATACAGGTGTTTTAACCTGGGTGTCATAATTCTAATATATAATAAGAATGCAAAACATATTGTTAATGCTTTTGGGTGTATGATAAATTGACATTCATCATACAGGGCGTGGAGAGAAATTCTGAAGTGAGACTCTATATATATCACGAATCTGCGATTAGAGGTCTATAAAAATCACAAGTTTCCATCGTTCAAGTTTGAACCCCCTGATTGGGTATGAAAGTGTTGAAAAGGAATATTCTCAGATAAATTATGAACATACAAAAATGGATATATATTTATATAAAGCAATACATTGAGAATTCGCATTCTCTATGTGATGAGAATATCAACTCTTTTTCAGTTTATTCAATAGAAAACAACTACTTTCCTGGCTATACCCCACGACGAACATTGAATTATATCTATTGAACAAACACGATCAGAGTTTATGCCAGTATACTTCTCCTATACATCCCAATTTTCATTTCAATGCTGAATATATTGGTTATATTTCTATACCATTATACATCATATTATTCATCCAATTTGAAGACGAATGTCAAATCTCAATTCCGAGGGTTTAGTTTTAATTTTCCATGTTCTCCTTTCGGATGTTCATCAGATATAATTCAATGTTCGACGTGGCAAATAGCCAGGAAAGTAGTTGTTTTCTGTTGAATATTCAAAATGATGTGTGCATATACATATTTTTGTCTGAAGGAGAATGCAAATTCTCAATTTCAGAAGATTTTATATTTTATTTTCAAACTCTTATCGTGTGTGTTCAATAGATATAATTCAATGTTCGTCGTGGCATAAAGCCAGGAAAATAGTTGTTTTCTATTGAATAAACTGAAAAAGAATTGATATTCTCATCACATAGAGAATGCGAATTCTCAATGTATTGCTTTATATACATATATATCCATTTTTGTATGTTCATAATTTATCTGAGAATATTCCTTTTTAATATTGTTAATATTTGTAACTATCTCCACTTCTATCATAATCAAATATCACCTTTTGATATTTTTTGTCTAGATGATCTCCCATCTGAATAATTTGTAGAATGTAAGAAAACTTATATACCTGCTGTTATAGAAAACTATCAATAACATTTATATTATCTTGGACAAATAAATGGAATGCATAATAATAAAGAACAAAATAAAATTGTAGCTACGACAAACTGTCCCAAGCTTTGGTAAGATACGTAACGTAGTTTGAGGATATTTTCATAGATAACATTGGTAAATGAATTTCACCCCTGAATGATAGATGATAAATCAAATTTGCATCAAACCTAACAGAAATTTCAAGCGGGGATTATTTATTTTCGAAAGAACATCATATTTTTGTCGATAATCAGTGATTGAAAGTTAGTAGCATGATAAACCTACTGAAATGAAACAGTTTTGTCGGTGTTGATAATTTGAAAGTTGGTTTTAATCGATCTATATTTCTTCGTACACTTTTTCGAAATTCAAACAAACAGCATATTTTCAGCGATTATTTTGAAAGAAATGAAACTTGACATGTAACGAAAGTCACTGAGTATTCCACTCCACATATTTTTCGAAGCAAAACTAAACGTTATTCCAAATTTTTTGGGATTTTCTCTCCTCGTTTCTATAAAATAAAAATATGAATATTATTTCAATATACGTGTAGTAAGGACAAATCAGATGATTTGCCCCAAAATGTCACTGCGTTTAAAGAATTTTCCTATCAGAGAGCCTAAAAGAAAAATTCACTAGCTTGTCATTGACAATTTGTATTGAAAAAATTTTTGGAGAAGGGAAATAAAGGTATATAGAAAGAATATCAAATTTTCACTTATCTTTGGACGTTTCGGGACCGGTTCTGCTCCCGTTTTCAACATAAGAAGAGATTATTTCAATAGCGAAGTCGTATAATGTCTTGAAGCTTTTCAGTTTTCAATGACAATTGGTGACGTTGGCAATCAAATGAGTTACAGGATGTTTTCATTAATTGATCTTGAATTTACCATTTTCATGTTCAGATTTTAGTAGTGAATACCATGTTCTGTCTATATCAACTGAACAAGAAGCAATGTTATTGTCTCCGTTCAGAAGAATGCAAGCAGATTCCTTGATTTTTCTCTTCTGGTTGTTATCTTCTTTTCCAATAATTTTAATATTATTCCACTCTGCCATATGTTGTCCGTCTTCAGTAAGGATATGTTCAGCTAGTTTCGATTTATCGATGTTTCTTTTCTTTATATTGTACTTATGTTCCTTCGTCCTTACTGAAAGAGGTCTCTTGGTTTCACCTGTATAAAACTTTCCACAAACACAAGGTATACTGTAAATACAATTTTTTGATGATTGTTCTTCATTTTTCGGCTTTGTTTGAGTTAGAATTGATCTCATTGTATTTTCAGTTTTGAACACAGTTTTCACTTGAAATTTATCACCAACACGTTTTATTTTTTCAGATATGCCGGGAATGTATGGTATTATATTTGTCGTTATTGATGGTTGATTTTGTTGTGGTTGACCCTGTTTGTTTTCAATTCGATGAATCGTCCTATCGACAAAATTCTTTGGATAAGAATTGAGTTGTCCTTACTACACGTATATTGAAATAATATTCATATTTTTATTTTATAGAAACGAGGAGAGAAAATCCCAAAAAATTTGGAATAATGAATATACCACCTCCTCGATTAACCTACAGACAGTATTTAACAAAACTAAACGCTCAAGTCAAATTTCGAAATAAATTATTATCAAAAGTTGTTCCCATATGATGCCGACTTTATGAATGACACTGTATATTTATTTTCAGGAAACATTATATCAGCCGCTAAAGTCTTCTCAGTCGCTCAGAGCTTGAATACCCTTCAATTCTCAATGGCCATTTTGTATCCTCAGGCAATCAGTACCGGTGCAGAAGCTCTGATGTCTATCAAAAGACTTGAAGAATTTTTGGTCATGGAAGAAAAGGAAACAATTATTCCTTTCGAAGAGCTCAAAGCTCCCGGTGTAGTTTTGAGCAATGTTTGTGCATCTTGGACTGGAATTTCTAGAACCTTGAGTGACATCAGCCTCCAGATACCGCCAGGAACATTGTGCGCAGTCATTGGACAGGTTGGATCAGGAAAAAGTTCCTTGTTGCAGGTAGATATACAGGGTGATTAATTAAGAATGGAAAATCTCTGAACTACAGATAGTAAACACAAAAATGATGAGATTTAGCCCAATATGCCTAATGAGAATGTTGCTGGTTTAGGAGATACAGGGTGTTCTAGGGGGAGATTTTATTTCAAAATTTCACAATTTGGCTAAATCTCATTATTTTTGTGTTTACTATCTGTAGTTCAGAGATTTCACATTCTTAATGAATCACACTGTATACAGTAGGATTTGAAGATGTGAATGTTGCATTAAACTTTGTTTAAGCTTCTTCTAGGAGAACTGCCAATTGAATCAGGCAAAGTATCAATCGGAGGGCAGATGTCTTATTCTTCTCAAAAACCATGGTTGTTTCAATCTACAGTACGTAACAATATTCTCTTTGGTGAACCGTATGTAAGAGCTTGGTATAACAAAGTTGTCAAAGTCTGTGCATTGGAGAAAGATTTCGATCAATTTCCGCAAAGGGATCAAACCATAGGTAACTATATGCCAGTTTTTCGGGAGATATTTATTTTTCAGTACAATTTGAAGGGCTATCACTATCACCATGAGTCATTCGGCTTCGTACGTCAAATCGTTGCTGAAGAATTTGAAAATGGAATGAAATTCATATTTCAGTTGGAGAAAGAGGTGTATCTCTGAGTGGAGGACAAAGAGCGAGAATAAATCTTGCTAGAACCATCTACAGAGAAGCAGATATATATTTATTGGACGATCCACTATCAGCAGTTGATACCCATGTAGGTAGGCACCTTTTTGACGAATGTATTCACAAACAACTGAAGGGGAAAACCAGAATTCTAGTTACTCACCAATTACAATACTTGAAGAAAGCTAATTTGATTGTGGTGTTCAACGAGGTAAGCCTTATATCTGATGCGATGTGCATATTATGCTTGGCTATAATGAAATTTAGGGTAGGATTGAAGCCCAAGGAACCTTTGCTGAACTATCAAAAAGCGATCTAGACTTCACCAAACTGTTAGTGAGTGCTGATCAGTCGAAAGCTAACCCGGAAGATAGTGATAAAGAACTGTCTGGTTCTTTAACACCCAGACTCAGACAAGGATCTGTTTATTCAAAACCGAGTGTAAGACACAAATTTCACATTTTCAGCAAAATTTGAATGAACCATGTTTATGTCGAGTTTTATTCCAGAGTACCTTTTCCGATGGAATCGATATTCTTGAGTCATCTCCAGTGGTTGACGAGGAAACTATCAGCGATCCCAATGCCAAACCGCTCAAAAATTATGTCGCAGCACCAGGAAATGTTTGCTTGAACATTTGCTTGGGCTTGAATCTTCTGTTAGCACAAGCAGCGTGCACTGGTTCCGATTACTGGTCAGCTTTTTGGTAAGACACCACGAAGTAATCATTGAACGAAGTAGAGTCTTCATAAATCGGACTCTTTGCAGGACTGAACAAGAAGAACTCAGGTACTCGAATTACTCCAGCTTAGTAGTCGAATCGATCAAGCCTCTAGAAACGATTGAAGTGTACTCCATGGACAATAGAAGTGTTCCTGAGTACCAATACACGTATACCAGGGAGATAGACCTATCCAATCCCGACCAAAGGAGTATATCTAGTACTTACAACGATATGTTCGATACAATCGATGTTGGCGATGCATCCTACACATTGATAAAAACAAATGCGTCGATGATCATCTACGGTGTTCTCATAATATTAGCCGTCATTTTGACTTTGAGTCGATCGATATTGTACTACAAAATGTGTATGTTGGCGTCCAAAAATCTTCATTCGAAAATGTTCAATGCTCTACTGAAAGCGCCAATGAGATTTTTCGATACCAATCCAAGTGGACGGGTACTCAACAGGTTCTCTAAGGATATGGGAGCTATTGATGAGCTCCTTCCAAGAGTGCTGCTGGATGCTATTCAGGTAAAGAATGTCTACTCGATGTTTGCCAGGTTTTATCTGAATCCGAGAGAATCCATACTTTGTATATCCAGGTGTTACATTTACAGATTCGAAATAGTACAATTTCAAGACGCAAATTACAAAAAATCTATGAGAGATACGATGAAATCATGAGCTTTTTAAAGTTCTTTCTCCACTTCTTGTAAGTTTGGAAACTTTTAGTATTTCCACATCCATGTATCTCCAAAAAAATCTCTGCAGTCATAAAAACATGTGTCTATAATCCATCTTTGGCAGAAGTACCTAAACTTATCATGAAATATAATATCATGAAAGTTTAATTTGATATCGAAGACACTGAAGTAGCCGTTATGGATGTTATTTCAGATATCCAATTAAAAATCGATGAAAATGATCAATGCGGTTTATTGTCATTATAGATCTATGCGAAGCTCTTGATACTGTCAACCATAACATTTTATTAAATAAATTATTTGCAATTGGTTTCAGAAGAAGAATTCATGATTGGTACCAAAATTATCTATCAAATAGAAGACAATATGTTGATGTGAGTGATACTTGTAGCTCCTCAATGAACATCTCATACAGTGTACCGCAAGGGTCAGTCTTGGGACCAGTTTTATTTTTAGTCTACATAAATTCGATATCAAACTTGGAAACTTTTAGTATGTCCACATCCATGTATCTCCAAAAAAATCTCTGCAGTCATAAAAAAATGTGTCTATAATTCATCTTTGGCAGAAGTACCCAAACTTATCATGAAATATAATATCATGAAAGTTTAATTTGAAAAATAAGAATACAAATAGAACAGTGGCGTACAATGATTTATCCTAATATTAGATAGATTACCCTCTAGGATGCTACTGGAAATAATAATTGTATCCTAAGTCACCTCAAATGAGCATGCCAAGTTTTATCAAAATCAGCCCAAAGGTTCTTGAGAAATTAATGAAAAGCTCATTCTTTCTAGAAATTTTGATACCCTATACCTCTAAAATGGAGCAAGTTAGGACACATGCTTATAGGAAAAAAAGTCTCATTTCTGCCTAAAAATGATCCTAAACGTTTGGCGGGTCAACCCTGGCTCACCCTGTATATTATTATGAATTGTTTGTATTCTAGATCGGCCTGGTAGCTTTCGGTATCTTAATTAACATCGCTGTAGCAAACAACTACTTAGTGATACCTATGGTGATCGTGGGAGTATTATTTTGGAAAATTCGTACTTGGTATGCACTGACCGCAAGAGCAGTTAAACGTCTTGAAGGAACAAGTATGTATTTCTCACTATTAATAATTGGTAGGAGAGATGATATGAATAATTACAGACCCATTTTTGTTCTCCCGGTTCTTTCAAAAGTTATAGAAAAATTTATGAATTATCGTCTTCTTGATTTCCTGGAAAATAACAATTTGCTATACAGTGGCCAGTATGGATTCCGTAGATCGAAAGACACTGAAGTAGCCGTTATGGATGATATTTCAGATATCCAATTACGAATCGATGAAAATGATGATTATTGTCACTATAGATCTATGAAAAGCTTTTGATACTGTCAACCATAAGATTTTATTAAATAAATTATTTGCAATTGGTATCAGAGGAAGAATTCATGATTGGTTCCAAAATTATCTATCAAATAGAAAACAATATGTTGATGTGAGTGGTACTTGTAGCTCCTTAATGCAGTGTACCGTGTACAGTGTCTACATAAATTCGATAGCAACATTAGAATTGAGAGGAAAACTTAAATTATTTGCAGATGACATGACAAATAATATTATCATGGACATGAAAAGTGATTTAGAGAAAATATCCTCTAGGTTACAAGTTCATGAACTATACCTCAATTATAACAAATCCTTATATATGTATATAGCAAAAAGAACACTGAACATTTCGAATAGAACACTATCCTTCAACAATAAACTCATCAAATATACAGATGTTACAAAATTTTTAGGTCTTTATATTGATGAACGACGATTGTGTAATAAACATATAATATAGATCATTTGAGAAACAAACTTGATCCCATAACAGGCATTTTATTCAAAATACGAAATTTCATTTCTACTAAATACTTGAAGAGTATTTATTTATCTCTTATTTACTCAAAATTTCAATACCTAATATTTCACGTTTGAGTCCACTAGTGAAATTACAAAATAAAACATTGAAGTGTATTTTCAATTTGAATTTTCTCGAACCAACCATGAATTTATACAAACCTGGAGATTTATTAGATCTCACATCACTATACAAACTTAAAATATGTTGTTTTATTCAAGTTTCCCTATATAAATTGAAAATTTCGAATTTTAATTTCAATGAAATTGATTCATTACATAATCATGGAACAAGACAATCAAATTTACTAATAGGAAATACGTATAAGTCGAATATCGGCAAACAATCAATTTTTCACACAGGAATCGTTCTATACAACTCATTATCAAGTCAATTGAGGAATATACAGGAGGCAACTAGATTCAAAAGTAACTTGAAAAAATATCTGCTTCAGAGACTTTGATAATTACATTCCTTATTTGAATACCTACTTATAAAAGACAAGGTTGATATTGCATGATTATTTGCATTTTTTTTTCTTGTTACATCTTATCATTATTTCAAATTGTATGTATAACATTATGTATATTGTTTATGTATCCCTATTACAAACAACTATGTTTCTTGGAGTGATAAAGACAATCAATTAATCAAAATTTGATTATTTCAGCAAAATCTCCGGTGTTTTCACATCTCAGTGCGACCTTGAATGGGATAACCACAATAAGGGCATTCAAGGCAGAAGAAGCACTCAGGGACGAGTTTGATGAACATCAAGTACGTTCGATATACAATGTGATCTATATAAAAATACGAATAATTATTTAGTGGGTTATCTCCATTGAATGGAGTCCAAATATCAACATTATTCAGGACTCGATTTCCGATTAACACGAAATATTAAAATCGGTCCAGCGTATAGTTCCTTGCTAAAGTTGAACTTTAGCTCCTAGGCTTCACTTGACAAACAAAGTGTCACTTTTGAACCTAATAAAACAATCTACTATTATTTTTCGGCACTTTTAAATGGATCACTTGGTATATCCAAGCTCCAATCGAGAATTTATAGAATTTGCGATTGGTTCCACAATTCAAGATATCCAATTTCGATGATATTTTTTCAGGACGTTCATACTTCGTCTTGGTATTTAACAATATCAAGTACATACAGTTTTGGTCTATGGATAGATATGATATGCTTGGTTTTCTTGATATGTGTATCATTCAGTTTTGTTATACTGCACACTTGTAAGTATACTTAGAGTAGGGTCCCTTGATGTAAATTGACGTATTTGTCATCTTAACAGGGTACGGACAGATCCTCGTCTCCTCTCACTCTAAACTGTTTGTGAAACAGTTATTTATTTATTTTATTTATTTATTCATTGAACAAAAAAAAAATAACTTCCAGACAGAATAGGCTCTGGTATAAGGAAGTACATAATTATATACCTATAGATAAACATATCATTATTCAAAATATATCAAGAACTGTAAATTGACAAACAAAAAATAATGATTGTAAAAGAAGAATGGCATGATTAATTTTATCCAGTCCGCTCAGAAATAATCAGTTTTTTCACTTAATTTTTGAATGTACCTATATTTCTGCAATTTTTTATATTGTCAGGTAGTTAGTTTATTGAATTCAGTGGCTGAATGAGTGAATCTTTTTTGTCCGATTATGGAGCTAGCGGCGTGAAGATGAAACAAGTTATATTGTCTAGTTTCATGATTATGAATTTCAGAATTCCGTATATAGTTCCATCTTTATTCATTTCTGGATAAACAGTAGATTTTTGACATTTGTTGTTTTTTAGGTTATATTGAGGACATTGGCGTATCATACGTAATTTCCACATGTAATTTCTCATTCAACTCTACATATTTGATTCAAATGATGATGATAATTTTCGAGATTTTGATTTTTCAACTCCAGCATAATCTTTTGTGAGGCAGTGAGCAAATATTTCTGAAAGTTTAATACGTTTTACCAAATGGGACTGTTCTTAGGCAGTAGCTTTCAATTAATGAATTTTGATTTCAGACTAAGCCTTATGGTTTGGAAATGGTGAAAAATCGTATGTAGGTATTCAAACTAATGTGCTCATATGTCATGTGTGCTGTATATATTCATGTTGGGAATCATTTTTGCAGTTTTTCACGAACATTTGATATTTCCTGAATTTTGGTGTAATTTTTTTAAATCAAAATTGTTTCTACTAAAATGCATTCAAAAAAGTATAATATGAGAAAGTATAATATGTGATTTCGTATTAGTTTTATCTCGAATATTTTGCTGATGTATTTACCAATTTTCCCCATTACACGGAAAAAAAGGATTTGTTGCATCAACAAATTATTTATGCTTGAGTTATTTTTGTTGGACTGAGCAATTTTTTGTTGAATCAACCAGATACATGATTATTCCATGGAAGCATCTTGTTCAAATCAAGAATGTTGGCTAATTGAATCAACAGTATAATATCAATTCCATCAACAAAATATATGGTTTTTTCAAAAACAAATTATGTCGATCCAGAATAATGTCGATGTTGATTCAACTATAAACATTTCGTTGATTTGATCAAACAATGATCATTTTGATGAGATTATATCTTTGAAACAACATACTAGTTTTCTTATTCCGATGTAGCAATAAACTCGTTTCGAACGGATCATTTGCTAGAATAGAGCAACGAAATATGTAAAATCAATGTTTTGTTCATTCTACATCAACTTAAATTTTCGCATCTAGATGGCGATCATTTCGCCTCGTCTATGCCTGCCTCGAATTCATTATATACGTGGAGCCTGATTCTTCGTATTGAAATATCAGCTGGATAAATCGAACTTAGGATGATTAGCAATAGTTTTCCATCAGCTAAGGACAAGTAAAGACTTGAGATCTATGCTGGGAGTCGACTAGTTTCCTAGTTTTGTTTATTCTATTGATGTGAAATCTCAGAAAATTTCCGAATATTGAATTTGGTTCAACAAAACAATTTGTCGAATGGATGTATAGTTTCTCTTGAATCAACAAAAAATTTCATTGAATTAACCAAATATTTAATTGAATCAATCAAATATTTTATTGATTCAACCAAATATTACTTTAAATCAACCAAATATTTCGTTGAATCAACTAAATATTTGATTGAATCAATATTTTGTAATTTTGAATCAAACCAAATGATTGTTTGAGCCAATTCAATATCTCTTCATAAACAATTCATAGATGTGCTTGATCGAAGAAGATTCAGGGTTCATGCAAGACATATTTACTCGATTCAAACTTCAAATTCGCTCTGAAACAAGATATAGATTTACTCATTTCAAGATTATATTTTGTCGTGCATATATGACACTTTCATTTGCTCCATTCAATTAAATTTTGCTTGATTCAACAATTCCTTTTTTTCCGTGTAGGTCACTTCACTTTCCATGTTCTAAGTTCATTTGCATTTGATGGAAAGCTGACAAATTCAAATTTGCCATCCTACGGAATGATACAGCCTAACGCAGCATATTTTATCATGCTTCCAAAACAAAATTGAATCATTTCGTATTAAGATGAAGTATATTCATTTATTTATTCAATAATACATCCAGCAGGCTTACGCCCATTTACAGGTGTACGAATAATACAAATTATTGATAAATTACGAATCGCTAATGTCAAACAAGAATTAGTAATACTAACATCGATTATAAAAGAAACATGATCAATTTGATAAAACACTGAATAGTTGGCGCTTCAATTGAGATAATGAGAGGAAAAATATGTCAATACATTGTAAGTTATTGTAACTTCGACACATAGATGTAAGAGACAATGAAAATGATGTTGAGAGTTAGGTACAACTATGCGAAATGTTATATTAGATCTCGACACCGAACGAGGTACATTAAAATCAATCATTGAAAGTAAAGAGGATGAATCAATATGGTTATGAATAATATTGTATATAAAAATTAAATCAACAATCTCAGTCAGGGACGTCAATAAACGAAACCAAAGTCACTAGATGATTAAAAGAGAAAGGAGCTATGATCTGTCCGTACCCTGTTAGATGACAAATACGTCATAGTTTGCATCAAGGGACCCTAACTTAGAGTACTCTCGAGTACCTTTTTCTCATTCATTTCATTGCAGTTTCTACTGTGAGTGGTAGTTTAGTAGGTCTGGCCATATCTCAGTGTCTGATATTATGTGGTATGTTACAACATGGTATTCGTCAAACAGCTGAGGTTGTTAATCAACTCACCAGTGTCGAGAGAGTACTCCAATATACTACGATAGAAGTCGAGGGACCTTTTGAAACACCAATAGGTATGTACAGGGTGGCTGGAATTCCAGCCCCATCATTGGCATCTCGTGAACCGTAAGAGATACATCGAATCATCACTCAAATACCTTTCAATTTCACATTGTTTCAGAATGTTTCGGTCGATTTTAAGGTGATTAAATCATCAATATTGCCACGGTAATTTTCAAACAGCTAGAAATTTACTGCGAGTAATAACTGATGTCACGATTTCGTGAGTAGGGGCAGTGTAAATAAAAGCATTCCTATATATAGTCCAATAGAATTTTTTTTTAAGATCATCAGGTACCGAAAAGGAATATTCTCAGATATATTTATGAACCTCGGAAGATGTCGAACAGCACTTTATCAAAACTTCATCCATAGAACGGCTCGGCTCTGGAATTCATTGCCTGAGGAAGTATTCCCAACAACATATAATCTCCAGAAGTTCTAAAAAAAAATCCAATACCTACCTCCTGTCCCTATCCTCCCTAGGAACGCACGATGTTCTTTGAACATTATAGGGATTCCCTTTCGTGCGCTCCAAGCGATAAAGAAAAAAAACGGATTATTCGTTGCATTACATACATGCATATGGCACGGCATACACTATTCGGGTATATAATATTGAATTCGTGCCTGTAGTCTCTGTCAACAACAACAACATGCCAACACAGATTGGAACAAAGTAAAGTGGTCTGAGGTCTTGCTTCTATCTACTTACTCATATCATTATAATAATCTGTAAAATGAGTCACATTGGTGAATACTCCACTTATATTTATTTCAGTTAATTTTTTCGGTTGCAGAAAAAATCGTATGTTTCATCCGGATCGAAAGTGACTTTGTTTGACTCGCAAATTCTGTTTTCGCTTGGCTTCGCTAGACGCTCCGCCTCGCAAATGCAAAATTAGCTTGTCAAACAAAGTGTCACTTTTGGTCCTAATAAAACAATCTACTATTATAATATCCATGTCACATTTTTTAGAGAAGGTCCAGGCATTGGCATCTTGGCCAGAAGCAGGGCGTCTGTGTTTCAAAAATGTTTTCATGAAGTATGTAGCAGATGATCCACCTGTCTTGAAGAATCTCAACTTTGAAGTGAAACCAGGAGAAAAGGTACCTACTACACAATACACATCATTTCGAAACGAGCAACTGCTGCTGACAATGATATATACAGGGTGGTTCAAACTTCCCGCCCTTGGCTTATAACAGGAAGAGGAAAACTGCATATCCGAATTTGGCAGAGGGGATTTGAATAGCTTCTTCAGTATTTAAACATTTTTCATTTCAACATGGCGGAAATGGCGTCAAAAAATATAATGTTACAACTTTTTCCTCATATTCTGAAAGAACATATTTATTTAAACAACTTTTAGTCCAAAAGTTGTCTTCTGTCCTCAATCGATTGAAAACTATGGGACTGAATTTGTTATATTCAAATAAATTCATATTTATTATACCTACAAAACAATTTGTTTCTCGGCCTTTTCGGCGGGATGGGTTGAGATTTATTTGAAAATGTGACTTTAGCCATAGCCATAGCTCTATCAACCAAATGAAGATGTGTAAAAAACGTTCTGGATAATAGTTATTCAAAATAATATGTTCCTAAGAATATGAGAAAAAATTATAACTTTGTGGTGCTTGATTCACCCTATTCCCGTACGCAATTTAGTTTGGGAAGTGTCATTTTCGCGCAACAGTGCGGGAAAAACAATTATATGATATCGCAAAATATAAATATGAAATATGGAAGTTAAAGCCTGATTGTGGCAGTATTAGGTATGTTTGTTCAAAATCATCCATCAAATAACACTATTCATTATGGAAATTAAGAAATATTGAAAAACAAAAATTGATTGTTATAAAAATTTCCCCATTGAGTATTGACTTGGATTGCTCTGATGTGGAAAACAATTATTGTTATTATGCCAATCCAATCACAAATTAATTTGTCACAATTGATCATTCATGTGATGAAAAACTTCCAGCTACATATGCTATACAGATGCGTTATTGCCAACGAAGTCTTAAGGAAGGTATGAGAAGCAATACACGCGTTTTATTGAATGGTGCAACAATCAGAAAATAAAAACACCAAATAAGAAGAAATATTTTTGGCTCATTTCCTAGAAATGTCTGAAAACTAGAGGCCAAACACCCTATGGGCATGCTGGCTTCCGCAATGAATCTATATACAGGACGCGTTTTGACAGTGGTTTCGACGCACAATAGCTATCATGTACTAATAATTAGTAGATAGAGTATATATCACTCTTCCCACCAGAGGATACGGGACTCAGGAAACTAGGCGAGTGAAGGGACAATAACAGGACATGCAAAAATAGCAAAGTGAGTGGAGCAGGAGATTCCTATCTCCACTCTCAGAGTGAATAAAGTGCAGCACAGGCTGGAGTCGACAAACTCCAACAGGAGGAGTTAATCATATTAGGGTGGACAAACATATGATGGCCTTTATCAGAAGGAAAGGAAAATCTAGGTGAAGGAAGCGAAGATATGTGGAGAGCAAGGGTTAGCAAAATGGGCTCATCGGGGCCTACTTACTCGGCTACAGCCTCTCAACCTACTACTACTACTACTACTACATATATCACTCTTGTTGGTTGTTTCTATTTGCATGAATAATCAATGGAACAAATCAATAAATTTCCTACGCTTGTAGAAAAAATATTGTTCCTAACTCATGCGCACTTGTTGGGAATATTACTATTTTCTGACGCCATTTTCGCCATGGACACGAAAAATCATACACACAGCTATTCAAATTCTTTCTGCCAAATTCGCATTTGCAGTTTTCCTTTTCCTGTTATGAGCCAAGGGCGGGGAATTTGAATCACCCTGTACTTTAAGGTGGGAATAGTTGGTAGAACTGGAGCTGGAAAATCGTCTCTTATATCAGCTCTCTTTCGACTATCACCATTGGATGGTAAAATTCTGATTGACGGCGTTGATTCCAAGGAAATAGGGCTCACCGAGCTCAGAAAGAAAATCTCCATTATTCCTCAAGAACCAGTGTTATTCTCGGCTACCATGAGATACAACTTGGACCCTTTCGAGGAGTTTGAGGACCAACAATTGTGGAACGCTCTAGAACAGGTAACACATGACTTAAAGAAAATAATACTATCATCTCCCTCAAACAATGCGTATTTGGCATTCAATTCAGGGTGATACACGAGCCACTGTACAGCGTGATTCACCATAAATGTTTCCCCCCCCCCTTCTAGCTCACTCATTTTTGAACAGATTTAAAAATTTGAAATATCATCTAAAATGATTTTTCAGAATTTTTTTCCCCGTTGAATAGATTAATATGATGAATCATGATATATAAAAAAACAAAGAAATAAAAATCATCACTTGAAAAGTGCAAACATAAAAAAATTGTTGCCACAAAAATTTTCATTACCGGCCAGTCTATAATTTTTCTCGTGCAATAAATCGAAAACTATAGGCTTTTTAAGACTGAAAAACTAATTTCTTATTTAGGTGGAATTGAAGGAAGCTGTGAGCTCTCTGGATTTCATTGTTACTGAAGGTGGCAACAACTTCAGTTTGGGACAACGTCAGTTGATTTGCCTAGCAAGAGCCATATTGAGGGACAACAAAATAATGGTCCTGGATGAAGCAACAGCCAACGTTGATCAAAGGTAAACACAAAGTATCAATCCCTTTCTTCAGGCATCATAAAAATCCACTCGAAATATCTCAACATAACATACTCGGTACATTCCATAGATTCCAGTGTAGTATCTTCACTGGTGCAAAGCAACTTACCTCTATACCAAGTTGCTTCCCTAAGGAGTTATAGGCTTTGAAAGTGAAGTTATAAATTTTGAAAAAAATCAATATCTCCGTTATTCTTGAACTTGAAGCAACCAAATTTGGTACACTTTGTGGATGTATTTGAGGCGTTACTTGACAGTAACTAGAGTTTCATTGTAATTTGTAAAGGGGGTATACCGGGTGGCGCACCATTAATATTCAACAGAATTTTGTTAACCCCTGATGGATTTTAAAAATCTTTACTTTGTTCTGTGGGCAATTCAATTCTAAAACTTTTTTATTCTAGAAATTTCTCGCAAAACCTCATCATTTTCATCAAAAACTCTGATAACTGAAAACGCGTGCTCTAGGTGTGTTATTTAAAATCATCGAGAATTCAAAAGTTGGCTATGAAAATAAACGTCAAACTCGACAATGAAGCAAGTAAGTTGTTCAATTAAGTAATTTATCGATAAACAATCATTTGTTTTGGTTGTTGTTCAAGTTTTTTGTGTTTATTTTGGTTAGTTGTTAATCCCAGTTTTTCACATTTCAGTATCTGTACTTACTTTACGTATTTTGTTACGTATCTAAATGATAATTTGCCAGCCAATTTCTACTGATTACAATTAATGACCTACTTTCTTGTTGTACGTTTATTTTCATAGCCAACTTTTGAATTTTCGATGATTTTAAATAACACACCTAGAGCGCGCTTTTTCAGTTATTCGAGTTTTTGATGAAAATGATGAGGTTTTTCGAAAAACTACTAGACTAAGAAAAGTTCTAGAATTGAATTACCCACACAACAAAGCGAAGATTTTTGAAATCCATCAAGGGTTAACAAAATTCTGTTGAATATTAATGGTGCGCCACCCGGTATACCCCCTTTACAAATTTCAATTAAACTCTAGTTACTGTCAAGTAACGCCCCAAATACATCCACAAAGTGTACTAAATTTGGTGGCTTCAAGTTCAAGAATAACGGAGATATTGATTTTTTTCAAAATTTATAACTTCACTTTCAAAGCCAATAACTCCTTAGGGAAGCAACTTGGTATGGAGGTAAGTTGCGTTAAATTGCCATATTTTGGGACCCCCTGCATGCCCCTGCTCTGTCGGTTCTTATGTGAATCACCCTGTATAATACGTATAGTGAAGACGTAAAAAGTCCGCTCCGCGTCGTTCGCCTAACTGTATTTGCGTGTGGGAAAGTAACACTTTGCGCACTTGTTAGGAAAATAACTATTTCCGCCCTTGACAACTTACCCGAACTCCGCTCCTCGTCGTTCGTGCAACTGAAAAGTATACTTTTTGCACTTGTTAGGTGAATAACTATACAGTCTGTCCAAGATAAGGTTGAACAGCATGGGGATCTCGGAAACGGTAGGAGATACGAAGTCGCTTAAATGGGGAAAAAGTTGCGCATTCGGAGGCTCATGTCAAGAGCCTTCGAAAATTTTGAAAATTATTTTTAGTTTTTGAGTTATATCGAAAAAAGTGAATTTTTGGAATTTCTATTTTTTTTTTTTCACCGTTATCATTAGAGATACAGAAAAACTGAAAATACTTTTTCATAGCAACTTTTGATGACGTTCAACGTGGTGATATCGATTTTTTTATGCGACGTTTCGTATTCGTGGAACCATCATCAACTTTCGTTTTTTAAATACGGTCCTGATAATTTCTTCACAGATTCTGAAAGGTTTTTTTATTCTGAATTCAACCATGTACTATACAAGGTGATTCGAATGTGTTTCGACCTATTTCTATCCATCATCAATGTTTTTTCGAAATTCCAAAGGAAAAAAGCCATCAGTTCCACTTATTTCTGATCATTTAGTGTCAAACTTGATGGATTAGTTATTCAATACTGAAAAGTGAATGAAAAATATTTCACTACATCATTCGATCAATGCAGCGTTTAAAATTGTTGATGAATTCTTACACGAATTACTTCAACAACTTAACTTTGACAATACCTACAGAGACATTCATAACAAATGTTCAAAATGATAACCATTATTTTCTGAACAAAGATATCCTCTTCTCACAGTTGTTTCTAAGACATTGCTAAGCATTTCTGGGGTTATTCTATTGAATGCTTCGAAGACACTGTCCCTTAGTTCTTCTTCATCCTCAAAGTTATTTGCGTGTACAAAGTTCGATATATCCCCTAAGAAAAAATCCAGCTGTGTTAAATCAGGCGACCGCGCCGGCCAAGGGATAAAAACGCACGGACTTCTCTGGAATTATGTACCGGAGCGCCATCTTGTTGAAACCAACAGAGTTCTGAACTTCCGCAATCGGTAAATCATCCAGAGCTTCCTCAAGATGATTCTCAAGCGAATTTCTATAACGTTCGGAAGTCTGTGTTTCATGGTAAATAGAAGAAACAATAATTCGTGTACCAAATATTGCAACCCACATATTAAAGCCGAAACGGTGTTGGTGTCTCGCTGTAATGTATAAATGTTCATTTTCTCGTGAACACTAATGTGTATTTTTTCTATTGAAGCTACCATGATTAGTTACCATGCTTTCATCAGTCCAGAAGATTGTTCGAAAGAAATCTGCAAAATTTTAACATTTCCTGGTATACCACTCACAGGATGTCTTGCGCCTTTCGTCATCTCCTGGTTTTAGCGCTTGACATATTCTGAATTTGTATGGATGGAATTTTTGTTTCCGCAAAATGAAATGGGTTGTTGATTGAAACCAGTTGATGAGGTATTAGTGTGTTGACTAATTTTCCTTCAAAATAAGTGGAACTGATGGCATTTTTCCTTTGGAGTTTCGAAAAAACATTGATGATGGATGGAAATAGGTCGAAACACAAATGAACCACCTTGTATAATACATGGTTGAATTCAGAATAAAAAAACCTTTTAGAATCTGTGAAAAAATTATCAGGACCGTATTTAAAAAACAAAAGTTGATGATGGTTCCACGAATACGAAACGTCGCATGAAAAAATCGGTATCACCACGTTGACCGTTATCAAAAGTTGCTATGAAAAAGTATTCTCAGTTTTGCTGTATCTCTAATAATAACGGAGAAAAAAAATAAAATAGAAATTCAAAAAATTCACTTTTTTCGATATAACTCAAAAACTAAAAATAATTTTCAAAATTTTCGAAGGCTCTTGATATGAGCCTCCGAATGCACAACTTTTTCCCCATTTAACCGATTTCGTATCTCTTACCGTTTTCGAGATCCCCATGCTGTTCAACCTTATCATGGACAGACTGTATAAGTTCCTTTCTTTCTCTCAGATTTCAGAATTGGACTGAATGAACTTGATATTCATGATTTCAGGACTGATGCCTTCATCCAAGAGACCATAAGGAATAACTTCAAGCATTGTACTGTCCTGACTATTGCTCATCGACTGAACACCATCATGGATTCTGACAAGGTGTTGGTGATGCATTTCGGTAGCATGGTGGAGTTCGATCATCCCCACAAGCTGCTCCAGCTACCTGATGGGCATTTCCACCAGATGGTCCTGGAGACTGGTCCTGTGATGTCATTGCAACTCAAAGACATCGCTCAAGATGTGTACAATAGCACGCATGAAGGAATTTGAATCTGGAAACCTACTCTTCGAGTAATAACTCTATATGTTTCAGTATTCGGAGGTCGAAACCAACGTGTTGGTTTGTTTTTTGTCAAGGTTTTTAGTGGTACACACCACGGTGGGATGAGGGATGGACCAATATGGTTTACAGTTGCTTTGTTGATCACGAAAAAAAAGGATTTGTTGCATCAACAAATTATTTATGCTTGGGTTATTTTTGTTGGACTGAGCAATTTTTTGTTGAATCAACCAGATACATGATTATTCCATGGAAGCAGCTTGTTCAAATCAAGAATGTAGGCTAATTGAATCAACAGTATAATATCAATTCCAACAACAAAATATATGGTTTCTTCAAAAACAAATTATGTCGTTCCAAAATAATGTCGATGTTGATTCAACTATAAACATTTCGTTGATTTGATCAAACAATGATCATTTTGATGAGATTATCTTTGAAACAACATACAAGTTTTCTTATTCCGATGTAGCAATAAACTCGTTTCGAACAGATCATTTGCTTGAATAGAGCAACGAAATATGTGAAATCAATGAAATATTTTGTTCATTCTCCATCAACTTGAATTTTCGCCTCAAGATGGCGATCATTTCGCCTCGTCTATGCCTGCCTCGAATTCATTATATACGTGAAGCCTGATTCTTCGTGTTTGAAATATCAGCTGGATAAATCGAACTTAGGATGATTAGCAATCCGAAATAGTTTTTTATCAGCTAAGGAAGACCTGAGATCTATGATGGCAGTCGACTAGTTTCCTAGTTTTGTTTATTCTATTCATAGATTAAACAAACAATGATGTGAAATTTCAGAAAATTTCCGAATATTAAATTTGGTTCAACAAAACAATTTGTCGAATGGATATATAGTTTCTCTTGAGTCAACAAAATATTTCATTGAATTAACCAAATATTTAATTGAATCAACCAAATATTTCATTGAATCAACCAAATATTTCTTTGAATCAACCAAATATTCCGTTGAATCGACTAAATATTCGATTGGATCAATATCTTGTTATTTTGAATCAAATAAAATGATTGTTTGAGCCAATTCAATATCTCTTTTCAAAAACAATCCATGGATGTGCTTGATCGAAGAAGATCCAGAGTTCATGCAAGACATATTTACTTGATTGAAACTTCAAATTCGCTCTGAAACAAGATATAGATTTACTCATTTCAAGATTATATTTTGTCGTGCATATACCACACTTTTATTCGCTCCATTCAATTAAATTTTGCTTGATTCAACAATTCCTTTTTTCCGTGTATGTTTTTGTTATACATACCTTCCTATGTGAATTATATACAGCACATTTGTTTTTTATTATGGACAGAAATTTGAAGAATATACAATAGTGATTTTAGAATAATAGTTATTCTCCTATCAAACCCGGCAGCTGCCATGTGAAACATATAATTTTTTCTCCACAAATGTTAAAAAAACAATTTTTTTAATTTTTTTTTTTTCATGTTGTGTTCACCCAATGTCAGTGCCAATTTTTATTACCAATGTCATTAAAATTACTTGCAACGTTGCGTATCAACAAAATTTTCCTGTCTAGGTGGAAAAAGTACACCTTTCATGTCTGTTCAGCAAGGTGGATAGAATATGGTGTAATCACAGACAGTGTTTTGTTTGTCTCAAATCTCTTGACCGCAGATTCCGCAATAATGGCATATTAGTTCTCAGTTATCCGCAAGATGGCGACACTTTTTACAGAATCCTTCCATGACAGAAAACGGCGCATACACACCGCTGCTTGCACCAGAAATAATAATATCATAACATTCATAACATAACCTCAAATCAAATGAGATTAAATTTGGCAGTATGAAATTGTAATTTTGGGAAATTAAATCTGCTCTTCTGGTCGTGTGAAACATATAACCTGTTAATAATAATTTGATTCGACTTAATACCCACTTATTACTCATCACTATTCCTGCCTAGACAGTACCTTTCGTGCCAGTGAAGTGTCATTAAAAAGCCACTTTCTATGTCATTTTGGAGAAAAAAATCTGTTTTTCTCTAATTTTTATATGAAAATTCTACAGAAATATCACACATCTTCCCATCAAATGATATTACGATTATTCTCTCTTGAATTTCATAATTGTGACTACAGTGATTTTTTCGGTATGCATCGACAAAAAAACTAATAACTTTGAAATTATCGAGATATAGTCAACAATATTATAGGAGTTGTTGGAGGTCACAGAAATGCTTCGAAAAATGTGCTAATATACAGGGCATTCCATTCAAAAAAGTGATCCTGACCCTCTAGATTTTTTCCGGTGTAGCAACAATTTCTAGTTATGGACCTTGTTGTCGCATTCACATTGGTTTCTGAATCGAGTTTTTAGCTATCATAGAACTCGAGCAACCGAGCTCCGACGCACTAATGCCCCACCCTGTATATGCGCAAAAAAGTAATTTATGAAAAGTGACATTTTATGACCTGTCAACAGAGACGAAATGTCTGACTTTTTTCCCGTCACAGAAAAATAGTTATTTATTATATATACCTAGGTTGTGTTGTCTCCCGACGCGTAGCGGAGGGAGCCAAAAAAGGGTTAGCTAAAATCTAATATTATTCCCGTGTATAATACACTATTTTTATCTGTGACAAAAGAAATGAGGAATCAATATTGAGAAAATGTTACATTATTTTGAAATTTGAAAATTATCGACGTGAAATTTTAAGTTTTTAACAGTAGGGACACCTATGCGTTGTAGGCATCTTTATCATTCTATTGAAGTAATCAAATATCTTCACTTCTGTCAGTCTAATTCTGTGATTTGATTTCAAAAAATTGCGGATTCAGTGGTTGTTTAGTAATATACGTAACCGCGAAGTCGAATGGAAGATAAAAGGGCTTGTAGTTCTTTCTCGGAGACGATATTATTGACTAATTTTTCGGAACTATAGCACAAAAAAAGCCATCAATAGTGTATATGTGATATATATCCAGGAAAAAAGTACTATTTTTTTCCCACGGGAAAAAAGTAATTTATGAAAAGTGACATTTTATAACCTGCCAACACAGATGAAATGCCAAAATCTTTTCCCGTCAAAGAAAAATAGTTATTTATTATACAAGGGAAAAAAGTAGTAGATTTTAGCTCCAGGTTGTGTTGGCTCCCGACGCGTAGCGGAGGGAGACAAAAAACCGTGAGCTAAAATCTAATATTTTTCCCGTGTATAATACACTATTTTTTTCTGTGACAGAAGGAAGGACGAATCAATATTGGGAAGATATTACATTATTTCGAAATCTGAAAATTATCGACGTGAAATTTCAAGTTTTTAACAGTAGGGACACCTGCGTTTTATAGACATCATCATCATTCTTTTGAAGTAATCAAATATCTGATGTCACTTCTGTCAGTTCAATTCTGCGATTTGATTCCAAAAAATTGCGTATTCAGTAGTTGTTCAGTAATATACGAAACCGCGAAGTCGAATGGAAGATAAAAGGACTTGCAGTTCTTTCTCGGAGACGGTATTATTGACTCATTTTTCGGAACTATAGCACAACAAAAGCCATTAACAGAGTATATATATGTGATATATATCCGGGAAAAAAGTACTCACTTTTTTCCCACGGGAAAAAAGTAATTTATGAAAAGTGACATTTTATAACTTGCCAACACAGATGAAATGCCAAAATTTTTTCCCGTCACAGAAAAAAAGAATTTATTATGAATGAGCGATTCATTCTGACATCAACTACAGCTATAATTATTTCATGCCAAACTATCAGACTTTGCTTCGCTATCCATGGTTACATTACATCGTTGAGAACACCAACGCTGATAGACCAATCAGAATTATTGAAAGACAGTTAGTGTTATGTGATGAGTGAAATAGTCTAGACAACAATGACAACCATGCAGTTTTTTGGTCTAGATAGAGAAAACACGCACTTACTGGACAAAGTATGAAAATGCGACTTTCTCGAAAGAGAATAGGTATAAAATATAAGCGCAAGAAATTTCGACCTGTTGCCCTGTATACATACCAATATCACCAAAGCGTCAATCCTTAATGGATATTCTAATGAGATTTCCGAAATATTTGTCCGAAAAAGCCAATGGAGCGTACTGTTGAATAATTAACAAATTTTCAATTTTCATATCACAAGTCCAACTAATTGCGAATCAGTCCTGAAATATTATTCAAAACACAAAATACTCGCGTCGGTGCATGACAGAGAGGTACTCTCAAATTCAGAAAAAGAGTGGTGTACCGTTGCTTGTGCAAAAACTTTGAATCTCGCTTTATATTCAATAAATTTGGGATATATAAAATGGATAATGGATATCAGCTCAAATATGACAATCCGAGGGATAAGGCAAACTTCGTATCCAAGCTGTTTTTCGGGTAAGTTCCGTTTTACATCAAATAAGGGTGACCAGAAAAAAATCTCATTGTTGGCATGTCCTTTCGATTTTCACAAACTTCTTTCATTTGTGAGACGCATACATGTGAACATTATAAAAATAAATAGTAGTTCGACAAACTAAAGCTTTTATACAGGGTGTATCTGGATAACACCGACACAATTCAAGAGGTGTTTCCTTGTGATATTCTAGCGAATAGAGTTCATATAAACACATGTTTTAACTTGCTCCGTTCGTGAGATACGGGATGTTGAAGTTGGAAGTATTGATTGTTTTATTCATAACCCCCCGTATGAGCGTTCATGGTGCCAAAATTCAGTATGGTTGGAGACAAAGTCCCAAAATTGGGGTTGTTGAGTAATCTCAATGGAAGTCTTGAAAACACTTTGGTAAATTTAAATTTGGAGTCAAATCGAATGTTTATTGTTTCCTCAAAAATTAAGCTTGATACAAAAATCACACAGAGGATAATAAAGTTGTTATTCCAATAGTTCAATCCAACAAAAATATGAAACTTCGAAAACGAAGCAAGTTAGGACACCTGTTTATATGAACCCTACCTAGCAACTACAGACCGATCGCACCGCTATCAATTAATTCAAAGATCATGGAGAAAGCTATAAACATCGAGCTCATGAAATACCTGGAACATTCAGGTATTATCAACGATAGGTAATATGGCTTCCGTCATCAGAGATCAACTGGTGACCTGCTCGCTTACGTCTCACTTATATGGCAGCAATCTATTGAAAAATAATGGTGAAACCCTAGCCGTGGCACTTGATATCTCCAGGCATTCGATCGAGTCTGGCACCATCATGGACTTCTCGCCAAGTTTCCATCTTATGGCTTGCCTCACAATTATATTCTCTGCTAGCTAGTTTTCTCTCAAACAGGTCTCTCCTTGTAGTGGTCGACGGAGTTTCATCTGATTCTCTCATCATAAATGCTGGTCTTCCGCAAGGATCAATTCTAGCATCAACACTATTTCTACTCCATATCAACGATTTGTTTGAAGCAACTTCATGTCCAGTACACAGCTTCGCGGATGATAGTACCCTCCATACCGCCTTCTCTTCCAGGGCTCCAATACCAGCCAGTCAAATCAGAAACGAACGAGGGAGAAATGTTGACAACATAAATATGCACTTGGCAACGATTCTCGAATGGGGATCCTATAACTTGATAGATTTCAATGCAAACAAAACACAAGCATCCTTTTTCTCCGAAAAAGCCGATCTCACTGTGCCCCACATAAGCTTGTCAGGAGTAACCATACCTTTGAAGACATCCATTTCGATGCTCAGCAATAAACTTTCTTGGGAAAATCACGTGAGATCAATTGCTAAAAGTGCATCCCAAAAACTTGTTTTTCTGTTTCGGGCCAGGAGCTATTCCCCTTCCAGCCAGCTGCTTATGATCTATAAGGCACAGATCCGACTTGTCCTGGAATTCTGTTCCCATATTTGGAGTGCAGCACCCTAACATACTCTGAAACTGTTGGATTCTGTCCAAAAAAGGGCAATTCGTCTCGTGGGTGATGCCTCGCTCACAAACTCACTCACTTCTCTGGAACACCGTAGAAAAGTTGGCGATCTGGCTCTATTTTATAGATATTCTCATGGACGATGCTCTTCTGAAATATCAACAATTGTGCCTCCCTTGGCAGTCCCCGCGAGATTAACCCGTCGAGTTGAGGCTGCGCACCCCTTCGTGGTCACTTTGGAGACCTGCAGAACATCTCTTTCCAAAGACTCGTTCATCCAACGAACAGCGAGCCTATGGAACACAATGCCAAGGAAGGTGTTCCCCGAGGCACATAACCTTCAGAAATTCCAGAAGAACATCAAATCCTACTTTATTTCCCTTGGTTCTCACGATGTTCTCTGAACATTGCAGGATAATCCTTTTCGTGGGAACCAGAACATAAAAAAAACATACCAAGCTAGCTAATATAGAAGTGTCCTCTAAAAAAAACCTACAATGTTTCATACTTTAGATTAGATTGTTAACCAATTTAGGAATAAGATTCAAGAAACGAAAACGTCCTTGAACTGATTACTTCAGTGTAGAAACTTTTATGATTCATGACTATTATTCCAGTAATGACTATCATCAAGAATCGTTCAAATTCAATACTCACAGCTCAAATCTAAAGGTTATTAATTTGACTCAGTAGACCGTCAAATACATTAGTTATCACTTCAGTCCCTCGGTATAAACACTTTTTGTTGCATTTTTAGGTGAATTATCAACAGCAATATCAAAACAAAACAATGAGACGTTTTTGGTTTTTACTTGACAAACAATAATTGTTTGTTCCTAATTTTTACATGTAATTTGAAATTCAAGATGGCGGATCCAATATTTGACAGACAAATTTTGTAATTATGATCCGAATCTGTTCAAAATTTGTATCTGATGGTTTTCGGGATCGGAGATTATGATTCTTCCATCAGAATTTGAAAAGTGAAGATGGTGGATCCAATATGGTGGACGAGTTTTTTCATTATATGCTCCGATTCTATTCAAAATTGGTATCTGGGGGTTTTCGGAGTCGGAGATTATGATATTTTGTCAAAATTGGAAAACTCAATATGGCGGACGGGTATTGTATATTGTATAATCATGATGCAATTCTATTGAAAATTTCACACCAAACATTTACTATCAATTCAAAGCCTGTATTTCGTATCGTTAGTTCTCACATTTCATCACAAACAACTATCATTTTCAACTAAATCATCTTAGTGTTGTTGAAATTCCCTATCCAAGTGATTTTTTAATAATATTTCAGTGTGAAATTTCCTTACCGAATACCACTTTAGCTTCAATTGATATCCGGGAATTTTTTCTCGAACACGAAAATTCATGTTCTCGAAAAAATTTCCGGAAATAATTGGAGCTCTCGTGATATTATGAGTGAAGATTTGTATCGGGGTTGTCGGGGTAAGAGATTATGATTCATCCGTCAAAATTGAGTACCTACAAAAAATAAAAGAAAACTAAAAACACGCTTTTGTAGTTAGGCGTACTAAAAAATTAAAAATTAACAGTAATTTAAGAAAATAAAAAACACCCTTCAATAGGTAGCCAAACTGAAGAGAAGTAGAAAATAAAATAATAAAAGTGTGTTGATAAATACACAACATAGAATGTACTGATTACGGAGATGCCAATATTTTCTATGTTGTATATTTATCAACATACTTTTATTATTATATTTTATACTTCTCTTCAGTTTGGCTGTCTATTAAAGGGTATTTTTTAGTTTTTTTAAAAACAATCTTTTTTGGTATATGGGCTCAATTTACAACCATGAAAGGAACACATTTCGATTCCAGTCGTCCGGTGTACGTGCATGTACTCATTTGAATACAGAAATTACCGAATGATATAGCCTAAGCGATCATGAATAAAGAAGCTGTCTGTATAGGTGATGATAAGAATAAAAATTCATTTTCCACTATTAGTGTCGCCAGAATTGAAGAAAATTACCATTATTATCGTAGAATAATTTACTCACCCTATCTACATGGTTGCCATAAAGAAATGCGTTGCTGCTGTCCATGTTCTGCAAGGATGTGTTCAGCTGATTTTGATTTGTCTTTTCATATTGTTCTTATGATCTGAACATTTTCGCTTCCTGATCAGTTGATTTAGATAGAACATGGTATTCACTCACAAAATGTGAGTAGGAAATTGGACTAATTGAAGAACAATTCATAGAAACACCCTGTAACTCATATTATTTGTCTGTCAACGTCTGTCAAAAATGAAGATTATTTGCGAAAACGGTATAATATTCGTCTCCAGAACGTCCAAAGATGAATGAAATTTTATATTTTTCAATATACCGACATTTTTACAGAAATTTTTTGTCGAAAAAGGAATCACTGGTAATCGATTGAATTTCTTTTTTAGGTTTCCATAATACTAAAATTTCGAACTCAGTTACATTTTAGGGTAATCCATCTGATGCAAATATATGAAATAATATACTCTATTCTCATAATAAAATTATATACAGGGTGGTCCAGTTTGTAATACAAAGAATCCAACAGTGTGTTGCACTCCTTGAAATGATGAAAAAGGTCACATAAACATATACTTTTGAACGTGTCGCTTTCGAGATATAGGGTGTTGAAAATACGAGTCTGAATATTGTTCTTCGATGAAAAGTTCAAAACGGTTTGAGATAAATCAACAAAATTCCTCACAGATACTTAACGTTTTACGCTCTATATAGGATGAAATTGAAATTATTTCAAGAACTAATTCAGTTGTAGCTGCATCTGGGGTTGGTGAAGCTAAATTAAAGTTTTATTGTTTTTGTACAGTCACTACTTTTTTTTAGCTTCGAGGTAACGTTGCTAACGTTGTAGATAACGCATTGAAAGAATACAACAGAACTATTATACGCAGAAATCTATCTGTTTTTTTTTGCCTTCACCACCCCCAGATTCAGCCGCCACTGAATCACTTCATGACATAATTTTCATTTCATCCTATAGAGCTTGAGTTTATGATCTGTGAGGAATTTTGTTAATTTATCTCAAACCGTTTCGACTTTTTCATCAAAAAACAATATTCAGGCTCGTTTTTTCAACACCCTATATCTCGAAAACAACGCGTTCAAAAGTATATGTGTATGTGAACTTTTTTTATTATTTCAACGAGTACAACCCACTGTTGAATTTTTTGTATTACAAACCGGACCACCCTGTGTAATAATATTTGGACACCATGACTTGAACTCTGACCTTTTTTGTATTCTTCGTAGTTGGATGATCAGCCTAGTGAGAAAAGCATTGAAACAAGGTCTAGAAGTCAATGACCTCTATAAAGCTCGAGAATCAGACAAATCGAAAGAACTTGCAGACGTACTCGAAAAAAACTGGACGGAGGAACTGCAAAGAGCCAAATTAAAAGGAAAAAAACCAGCTCTTTTGAGAGCCTTGCTCAAATCCTTCCTCGTAGAGTATATGTGGTGGGGGTTGATGTTTTTCTTTCAGTTCGTAGTTTTGAGGTGAGTGAATGCTATATTCAACAGGTGGTTTTTGGATTTAGTTACATCTCCTTTTGTTCACAGGTCCATTCAGCCCTTAGTCCTGTCCTATCTGATAACCCTATTCCAGCAGGCCAGGGATGATGACGAATCAGAAGAAGATAAAACCAGGACTATGTATATTTGCAGCGGCGTTCTGATAATAGTAGCGACCATCATAGTTTTTTTCCAACACCATACCAATAAGGGACTAACTGTGGTTGGGATGAAAGTTCGGGTAGCAGTGTCTTCATTAATTTACAGAAAAGTAACCAGAAAATTTGCATCAAATGACTTCGCGATATACTCAAGTTATTATGTTCCAGATTACGAAACTAAATCAAACTTCGCTAGGAGAAACTGCTGCAGGTCAGGTCGTCAATATCCTGTCCAATGACGTCAATAGGTTCGATCTAGTCGTGTTGAGCCTCCATTCATTGTGGGCATTACCGATCCAAGTGGCTCTGCTCACTTACTTTCTATGGAGGCAAGTTCAGATATCCTGTTTGGCTGGAATACTATCCATGATAATCATCTGCGTCCCCGGTCAAGGTAAAACATCCAGATCTCCAGAGAAAAACAACTTTCGTATGAAATTCATATTGGAAACATACTGATGACTGCTTCTGCGGCTCAACATTCATGATACCAAGAGTATAATCTCAACTTTCTTCATCTCCAACAGGCTATTTAGGCAAACTAACTGGCGTTCTCAGGTTCCGTGTGGCAAAGAAGACAGACAGCAGAGTGAAGCTGATGAATGAAGTGATATCCGGTATACAAGTCATCAAGATGTACGCTTGGGAAAAGTCGTTCGAGAAGTTGATCAAACTGATGAGAGCAGACGAGATCAAGGATCTCACCTCGGCATCCTACCTACGTGGTGTGTTTTTGAGTTGCATGGTCTTTATAGAAAGGTTGACGTTGTTCTTGACTGTAACCTGCTACGTCCTCTTAGGTGAGTATCGGTCATCATAAACCAACTGTTCGATGAACATTTTTTTCATGCAGGAAATGTCATAACAGCAGACAAGGTATTTTCAATGGCCCAATTCTTCAACCTTCTCCAATACGGTATAGCTATTTTATATCCGATGGCTATAGCTTATGGTGCCGAAACGTTGATTTCTGTCAAGAGGCTGCAGGATTTCCTTTTATTGGAAGAAAGAAAAACGCCGACCATCGAGACAACTGAAGATAATGGTATCCAGCTGACTAATGTATCTGCTTCATGGACTTCCGATAGTAGCACTCTGAAGGACATAACCCTCAATCTTCCACCTGGAACCTTGTGCGCTATAGTAGGACCCGTAGGGGCAGGAAAAAGCTCTTTGCTACAGGTTAGCTTCCATCAAAATCTCATACACAATTTGACGAAATCTGTTTCGTAGCTCCTGCTAGGTGAATTGCCTTCAAAATCTGGAACAGTAAATCTGGCAGGGGCGATATCATACTCATCACAAGAACCGTGGCTCTTCCAGTCTTCAGTGCGTAAAAACATCCTCTTTGGAGAACCCTACCAAAGCGGCTGGTACAAAGTGGTGGTCAAAGTTTGTGCTTTGGAGAAGGATTTCGACCAATTCCCGCAGAGAGACCAAACCATAGGTATCAACTTATCCTCAACCTCATTATGATCATTGATATTACAAACAATAATTCTAGTGGGAGAAAGAGGAGTATCTCTGAGTGGAGGACAACGGGCAAGGATAAACCTAGCCAGAGCCATCTATAGGAAGGCTGACGTTTACCTCATGGATGACCCCTTGTCAGCCGTTGACACTCACGTGGGTAGACATCTTTTCGACGAGTGCATATATAAACATTTGAGAGGGAGGACAAGAATTCTAGTTACGCATCAGTTGCAGTATTTGAAAAATGCTGATGTAATCGTCGTAATGAACGAGGTGAGTCCGAATCCATAGCAACCAGAAACTTTTTGAACGATTTGGTTACTTTCATCAGGGTCGAATTGAAGCTCAAGGATCGTTCGAGGAATTATCTAACAGTGATCTGGATTTCACCAAGCTGTTGGTGTCTGCGGATGAAACGAAAGAAGAGTCTAAAGAATTAGTGGTGACAGAGATGCCAAAAATCGATTACTTCAAGAGATTATCGATACGATCAATAATGGTGAGTCTATATGGAACTAGGTTTCAATTTGGACCACATAAAGCTTTCATCTTTGACCTCTGGTGATTGTTTCGACTCAACTTCCAGAGCACTCAGTCTGAGTACATAGAAATGATGGAATATGGAGACACCGAGGAGGCAGGCGTTGATACCAACGCACATCCTTTCAGAGACTACGTCAAGGCATCTAAGAACGTTTGTCTGATTACTGTCGTAATTATATCCTTGATAATTGCGCAAGTTGTATGTTCTGGTGCTGATTACTGGTCATCATTTTGGTAAGCCAATACTGCACAAAATGTGCACAAAAGTGGTATTGAGTTCGAATCATTATATCACATCGATTTCCAGGACAAGCCAAGAAGAGATTAGACATTCGACGAGAGCTCTTCCAGTTTTAGATTCACCACCATCAGACATACGGTTCATCGCTCTGGAAAATCAAACCATATCGCCAGATAAAAACCTATACACAAACGAAAATCGGGACTTCTCTTTCGACACCTTCTTCGATAAGGTACGTGAGACTGCTGCCTGCTGCAGGTGACATATCGCATATGGAAGAGGAACTTTGACACTCCATTTGTGATATACCTACTGCAGTAGATTCCACTATGGCCAAGTGCTACACGATATGACAAATACTTGTAATGTTGGCAGGTTTCTCTAGATAATAGGGAATACAAGCTCCTGAAGACAGACTACTCCATGGGAGTCTATGGAATTCTGATAATCGCTGCTATCGTGTTGACAGTAGGAAGGTCCTTCTTCTTCTGCAAGATGACGATGCTGTCATCTACCAATTTGCATCGCAAGATGTTTCATACCCTTCTGGAGGCCCCTATGAGGTTCTTCGACACGAATCCCAGCGGGAGGGTTTTAAACAGATTCTCCAAGGATATGGGGTCAGTGGATGAGATTTTACCTAGGACTCTATTAGAAGCCACACAGGTAAACAGTTGAACGTTTCGGATATGCAATATTCTGACGGTTTTGTTAGTAATATGTTGTTCATTTTTAGATCCTGTTGGTAATGTGCGGTATCCTCGTCAATATTGCTATCGCCAATCCTTACATGTTGGTAGCAATGGTTGGAATGGGAGTGTGTTTCTTTTTCCTCAGTAGATGGTACATGACCACTGCAATCAATGTGAAACATTTAGAAGGATCTAGTAAGACATGTTTAGTAATATTTCTTGAAAATACTCTCAATTGAATAATCTTTTTCAGCTAAATCTCCCGTCTTTTCCCATGTCAACTCAACACTGAATGGAATAACAACTATAAGAGCATTCAGATCAGAGGAAATACTTTGTGAAGAATTCGATGACCATCAAGTGAGTTCAATAACCAACTAGAATTACTAACATGAGTTAAATTCAAATTTTAGGATGTTCACACCTCCTCGTGGTATTTGACCCTATCCTGCATAGCTTGCTTCGGTCTATGGATGGACATAGTTTGTATAGCATTTCTAGCATGTGTCACCTTCAGTTTTGTCGTATTACATACCAGTAAGAGTGCTACAACGAGTTTCAGAATAATTGTCTCAAATGAAAACCGTTTTAGCTTCAACGGTAAGCGGCAGTTTGGTGGGATTAGCCATATCCCAGTGCCTCATTTTGACAGGGATGCTACAGCATGGAATGCGACAAACTTCTGAGGTCATTAATCAATTGACCAGTGTAGAAAGAATCATGCAATACACGGAACTCGAAACGGAAGGACCATTTGAAACTCCAATAGGTGAGAAAATTGCGAAATCGATGTATGACCTGGTATATAAGGAAGTTCAGGACATGTTCTTTTGTGTTCCTAGACTCTACCATTACAGTCAGATATATTTTTCCAGATAAGAAACCAGCGGAAAGTTGGCCTTACCAAGGCCGGGTAGAATTCAGAAATCTAGTTCTGAGATACGTAGCAGAGGATGACCCTGTTCTAAAGAACCTCACCTTCACTGTTCAACCTGGAGAGAAGGTGAGTTAAGTATGTCCCAATTGTTACGACTCACCCTGTATGATTTCGTTATTGAACCACTACGCTAGCTGCATCAAGTGGCAACCAGTCTCATATCTCTGTAGGCAAAATCCTACATGATCCGGCTCGAAGGACCATGTAGGACTTACAAAATTATGTAGTATACATGACATCAACAACTGTGATACACATACATTCACATATATTCCTTTTTTCAGGTAGGCATCGTGGGCCGTACAGGAGCAGGCAAATCTTCCCTCATTTCGGCTTTATTCCGACTGGCCCCCACCAGTGGAAGTATCCTCATAGATGGCGTGGACTCCAAGGTGTTGGGACTCACAGACCTGAGGAGGAAAATTTCCATCATTCCTCAAGAGCCCGTACTCTTCTCCGCCACCATGAGGTACAACTTGGATCCTTTCGATGAGTTTGATGATAAAAATTTATGGGAAGCCTTAGAGCAGGTAATTCTACTTCTCGAAACCATATTTTGGCAGTTTTAACGTGTCTGGCTCACCGCAGGTTGAACTGAAGGATTCTGTCGAATCTCTCGACATCATGGTAACGGAAGGTGGCACCAACTTCAGTTTAGGCCAGAGGCAACTCATCTGTCTGGCGAGAGCGATACTCAGAGACAACAAAATTCTAGTTCTAGACGAAGCAACTGCGAATGTAGACCAAAGGTTAGTATTATTGCAACTAGGAAAGAACCAAAATACTCAAAGTGGAATAAAAAAATGTCATTCGGGCATTCCATCCGATTTGGAAATTTCAGTCTTGGAGTGTTTCTTTACTTCTGCCCCGTGTTTATTTAATCCTGAGAGATGTTAACGTTGGGTCTGATTCACGCCAGATGGCGGTCATAAATTCCATTTCCTGCACTGATGAAAGCCAAAAGCTGGAAACGACCAGCATTCAGGAAAGAAAAGAAAAGCTATAAATCTATTTTTCTACGATAAAACGTGATACAGGTACGCACAAAAAGTTATGACTTTTCAAAAGACTCGTAAGACATGTAGGTGGTGCGAAAGAGACAAACCAACATCAAATTTGATAGTGTCATTGAAAAATACCCCTAGATACCAAACTTCATTCGAATATCACAATTATTTCGAAATTTATTTACAAAAAACAGAAATAAGAATTCAACTTTGACACTCTGTTTCTCAGAAACGAAGAACTTTCGGACATATATCTATACGAACTTTTCTTCCTATTTTGACGTCAGCAACATGCTCCTGAATTTTCTATACGTACTTAGGAAACACCCTGTATAACTGTTTCCTCAAAAACACTTCTTTCTCAAGCAGAGAATGTTCTTCAAGCCAGTTGAGCAAGAACGTATCCAGGTCAATTTCCCACAAACTCTGTTCATCAAATGATTTTGAAGAATTTCTTTATTTCAGGACTGACGCTTTCATCCAGAAAACGATCAGAGAAAAATTCGAGGACTGCACTGTGCTGACTATAGCTCACCGACTGAACACCATCATGGACTCTGACAAGGTTCTGGTGATGCATTTCGGGATAATGGTGGAGTACGATCATCCCCACAACTTGCTGCAGTTGCCAGAAGGACACTTCCACAAGATGGTGTTGGAAACTGGACCAGCGGTATACGCGCAGCTCAAAGATGTGGCTTCTCACGCTTTCGAAAAAAGTTATAGACTATAGTTTCAACAATATTCTGAAAATTTACATATAGGTACAATAAAAAAAATATTCCATATGATTTTTTTTATAATTCTCAGATATCAGTTCCTTATAGTTTTTAGTTATATTATAGGGAGATGAAAATTGTGTATATCATGAAGAATGGCTGAAAGAATAACTGGACTTCAGGTTACTGATGAGGATTTGATATCCGAAATGAGTTTTACTCGAGTATCACTGATACGAATGATTTTTTTGGAAGTTCCAAGCTCATCAAGATCAGAGTTCATACAAGTATACTTCTCCTATACATTTCAAATTTCATTTCAATACTGAACATATTGGTAAGTTATATTTCTATATCATAATACATCATATTATTCTAATCCATCTGAGAGATAATGTTAATTCTCATTTTCAGAGGATTTCCATGTTCCATGCTCTCTTTTTATATGTTCACCAGATATAATTCAATGTTCGACGTGGCAAATATCGAGGAAAGTAGTTGTTTTCTGTTGAATATTCAGAATGATATTAGGAGAATGCAAATTCTCTACTTCAGAAGATTTTGTTTTCAAATTATTATCGTGTGTGTTGAATAGATGTAATTCAATGTTCGTCGTGGCATATAGCCAGGAAAGCAGTTGTTTGAATAAACCGAGAAAGAATGAACATTTTCATCACATGGAGAATGCGAATTCTCAATGTATTTCCATTTTTAGTGTTTCTTAAATATATCTGAGAATATTCCTTCTCCATATTCCATATGATGTTGAAAATTCAACTTCGATTGAACGCAATAATAAAATTAATCTTCCTGCAGGTATAAAGTGGTAGTAGTATAATATGTAATGGTAATGTATTGATATCGACTGATGGCTGAGGTCCTTCAGTATATAATGTTATGTATAGGCTGTGTTACTAACTCCATACGCCACCTTGAGAGCAACACTACCTCCAATCGGGCTAAGAAAATTCAATAACTTGAATAGGAAATATTTTTCGAGATCGATCGATTTTTCACCGCGCTTGATGAACGAAGTGAATGAACCTTATCTCAGGAGTATAGGAGTAGAGCACCTTGTATATTTTGATAAATATGTGAACTTCGCAATAATGAGGGAAACAACTATAGTTTAGAAATACTGATGTGTTCATATCTGGCCTCGAAACAATAACAAGAAAACCACATTATGTTCATTAGGATCAAAACGTTTATTGATGTTATAACTTCAACATTTCATATTTTCCTAGGTGAGTAGTGTACAGATCACTTTCATGTATATCAAGAGTTAACGAGATTTTTTGATGAATTAAAAGAGAGTGGCATAAAACAGAAAATTGTTATTTGAAATGGAAACTATAGAAGTATACATCAATTATTTATTGAATTGGTATCGGATAAAATGTAGGTATTACCTTCTTCGAAGATAGTATTTTTTTCCTGTCAATTTGGATTATCTGATTTGATGTATTATCTAGAGTGGTCAGTACACTGTGAAAATATCGCACATTAGATTATATACCTAATACGATTATAATAATATAAAATCAGACATGATCCAAAAAAGTCCAATTTTTTTCTACACAATTCAGCATATATTCTGAGTCAAATACAAAAAAAATCTGAAAATAAACCTTTTCTATGAAAGTAGGTAAAACTTAATCTAATCTCTGAATACTGATAGACAACAAAAACGTTATGCTTTGTATGTATATTGACTATATAGGGTGAGTCAGTTTGAGGAACACATATCTTCAAGTAAAAAAGTTCATGTCAACATACAGTGTGTCCCGATTTTCATGAATACACCAAAATATCTCAGTTATTGATGATGCAATTTTCTTGAAATCTTGGTGGTGATTGAATGTTAGAACAATGAAGTATTCTACAGAGTGAACAGTTTCATTCACCATTGGCGTGCGATGTTGAGAGGTACAAAGAATGCCTTCATTCGGGAAAAGGTTATTGGGGCTTATTTTGATCAACTTTTTTACTCGCATTCTGAAACAGCATCCTCAAAAACCTACCAATTCAAAATCCCTCTTCTCATGACTACGCCCTTAAAGCTCAGTTGAATGCTGAGCGATTTGTTTTGAATTGTGATGGTGATTGTTTGTTATTTTTCAACAGACAATAACTATCAAAATGGGCTCATATCACAATAAAAATTTCATTTCATAATTCGATAGAACTCACCCAAACTAGCTCACCACCGCAAACCGTTTCTTGCTGTGAGCTCCCTACGTTTCATAAAAAATTATTGAAATCCCCGATCCCCGACCTCTGAAAACGAGGCGATGATGTGACGTCAAAACCCTAATACTGAAAAAAGATTATTCCAGACAGAGATGAATGATACATGATTTCTGACAGAGTGAATTAGCGCGAGATCACAGTTGAAACAATTAATATATCAGCTGACTCAGTCTCCGTCGGGCTTTTGGTATTTTCTTTTAACTATGACGAGATGAGGTGTTTACGTCATAAGAGGGTCCGTTTTCAGAAGGTACTATTATTTATGTCCAAAAAGAAAATATTCCAGTTAATTTTTCGATCGAATTATGTCGTCAATCATTATTTATGTATAAAAAAATCATTATAAACATGGTTTGAGTTAAAAGTTCTACTAAGGTGTACACGCTCATTTCGAGAAAATTGCATCATCAATAACTGAGATTTCAGGAGGGTAGTCATGAAATATCTTTCCTTTTTAGCTCTTGGGATCTTGAAAATGTATATTGGGAGGTTTTTGGAGATGCTAAATCTGAATCTCATAAAAAAATTATCCTAAATAAGCCCCAATATCATTTTCCCAAATAAAAGCCTTTTTCACCCTGCAACACCGCACGCCAATGGTTAATCAAAATGTTCACTATGCCAAAATACTTCATTGTTCTAACATACAATTACTACAAAAATTTTTAGAAAATCGAAAAAGCGGGACACACTGATGTATATGCGTGGGAGCTTCGTTTCGAATATACAACGGACCCGGAGTTTGAAAATGTTTCTTATTTTCTCCTACAATTTTCAAAATAATGAATTGAAATTTGGAATAATACTTTATTTTTCAAAAACTCATTCTATTTGATATTTCTTAATAATTTACTAGAAGACTTGAAATGATCGAGAGCCTTCATGAAATTTGTTTATGAAACTCAGTGGCAAAAAGGGACACGAAAAAATGTATAAAAGTACCATGACACCTGTATATCGGAAAAGACGCTCCTATACGCATATCACTTGTCTTTATATGACATTTTTATCTCATGATCTCGCTCAAAATAGTATCTTCTTTCAAGCTATTGAACTCCTGCAACAAATAAAAAGACTCACCCTGTATAAGGTAATCAGAGATTGAACACAGTATTGAAAACTGTTATGGAATAAATAAAAAATCTGCTGTTATCAACAAATAGTATGCATATTATACAAGGATATATCTCGGAATCTCAATATTCCTCTTGTTCATCATTACTTATTCCAGAAATATCAACCCATACCAAGGCTTTTTTAAAGATCATTAATTTAAGGAGGATTTGCATGGGATTTTTTTAAACTTGGAGGCCATAAATTCTTGATGGGTATACTTCCTTAGGCAGAGAATTTCAAAGCTTTGCCGTTCTATGGACAACCGAGTTTTGATAGAGAGTTGTTTGACTGGGCTTGTTCAATAAGGTAGGTATCATTCGGGGTATCGATATTCATCGAGACTGCTATTTCTTACCTCATTTTGGTGACAACGATTTTAAATCACCGTGTATAATTCAATCTTCAGATAACTACTGATAGATGCTAATCGTCAAATTGAAACTCAAGTGCATCTGATAAATAATGAAAAAAGAGTATGCACGATTTGTGTTGGTGTATCATATTATTTTTCGATTTTCGAGGAAAAACAAAGCTGACGATCAGTTGAAATGCTGCCAAAAGTTATATTTTTTCTCTTGGTTCTGACGACTTTGGTGCAGAATTCATACGAATCCATAACAGGAGGGATAATTGGTGGTAAGTAGACATTTTATTTTCATCTATTGGAACGCACGAAAGCAGGGGTGTCCGGAAGGGGAGGCAAGGGGGGCGCGCTTACTTTAGCTAAGTCACTTATCGTTTTGAGATCACTGTTGATATGCTCTTGAACAGTTTGAATGTTCATAAAATTGAGGTTTGAATAAATTTGGGTATCATCTGCATGAGCTTGGATTTGACAGTATTTAATTGAAGTTAGGATGTCACTTGTATATATGATGAAGAGTAGTGGTCCCAGAATGGACCCTTGAGGTACACCTGACGTTACATTATGAGAAGTTGACAAAATATTGTTGACAGATACTTTGTGGCTTCGATTTGAAAGATAAGAGTAGATGAAAAATATGGTGTAATTAATGTTGTTAAGTCTTTATTATCAGTATTTCTGATGATGTCATCTGTGACTTCTACTAGAGCTGATGTCGTATTGTAGCCAGCCCGAAATCCAGCTTGGCAATCAGGAATGATATTGTTATTGTTAAAGTACAGAACAATTTGGCGGTGAACGGCTTTTTCTAGGATCTTCGATATTGCGGGCAAGATGCTGATTGGCCTAAGATCTGAGAATTCTTTGGGGTTATTAGATTTACCTAGAGGTTTGACTATAGCAACTTTCCACAAGTCTGGAAAATAGTTTTTTCTATACAACAATTGAATATATGTGCAAGATAAATATCAATTTCTGGGCTACAATATTTCAGCATGGTGATAGTTATACCGTCAAAACCAGTAGCATTCGATTTTATGCCCAATAAAATCTCTCTAACTTCAGCAACACAATATAATGCCGACTTGATTTTTGTGTGGCCTGGCTACGCTTAGCCAGTGATCTCAGGACTGCTGGCTGGAGACTACCCTGCACTGATGAGAGTCAAAGAGCTCGAAACCGGTATGTGGGTGTCTAGCGTGGCCTGGCTAAATTGAAATCGATAGGCATTCAGGAAAGAATCATTTGTATCAATATTCCTCGATGCATAGATTTCAATGTTCTGCGCCATTAGCCAGGAAAGTAGTTGTTTTTCTCCCGAAAATCTACCGTTGTTGTTCATTTTATGAACGTTGTATGGAAATGACTGAGCTTTTTGTATTTATTTAACATTTCATTTCACTTTGAGCATTATGGCTAATTCGTAGTTGGAATTATATCTATTGTTATTCCCTATCATTGTTTTATTGTTCTGTTTCTAGCTGGCATCACCATCGTTCTCAATTTGTTACTGAATAATTTAAAAAGGCTGGAGACTGTTACTTTGATACCAAGCCAGGACTTTGTATTGCCCGACTGGTTAAGCGATTATGAGTAAGTTAATTCTGATTAGCTATTGAGCAGTCATCGAAATGTTAATATTTTAGTAGGATTCGAATATTTCAATATTTAACAAAAAATTACCACTCATTTGAAGTATTTTTCCAATGAACGAATCACCTTATAGCAGGTATACTAGTTCTACTACTTCAACTTCCGGTGTAGCAATGCATATATCTACCATTTTTTTCGCCACCATGTACCTTCACATAGTGTATATACAGTGTGTGCAATAATCAATGTGATTAATAATGTTTCTTCCTATATTCGAGACCAAAAGTGACCGTGAACTCGATAAATAAATTTTGCTGAATAACGTCTGAAAATAAAATGGAATTTGATGTTGAGAAAGTGTTTTGTTTGAATGCATTTATTAGATTTCTATTTTCCGAAAGAACTCGAAACTCGAGTACCCATATCATCTATGTCTGTGCGATACTATACAGGGTGATAATTTCAGAAACAAGGAATAAAAGCCCAAAAAACAGAAAATCGGGTTTTCCGTCCTTTTTAACATTTTCTATATGTTTCTTTCTAGTACTATAGGATCACTGACCTTGAAAAACACACAGATTCGAGGACTGGATAGCATGACCCTCATCAACTGTATAGCAAAAGAAAAAACCCCAGTAGATGCGAGTGATACAAGCAATGTGATGATTACCATGTTACTCAATTTGACTTTGGATCGGATTGAATTATTTACTGGATACGATATTGACGTTGGAATTTTAAATATGATACCCCTATATGGCATTGGAGACCTTAAGTAAGCATAAGCAATGTGAAAGTATGGAAACTTTGGAATATGTGACTCACATATTCAATTTTTGTATAGAGAATTGCTGCTTTCCAAGCATTTGGAAAGAAGCTATCATCGTTCCGCTACCCAAAACCAATTCACCTGAAGAATATAAAGACCTCCGTCCTATTAGTATATCGTGCACCTTGTCAAAAGCATTTGAGAAATTATTGTCTGAGCAAATGCGTAACCATATCGAAAATTACGATATTTTACCCCCAAAAAATCAATCTGGATTTCGGCCCAGCCACAGTTTTAGATCTAAAAGAACTCACCATTCTTGTTCTCCAGATTACTCTAAGGCATTTGATACGATAGACCATGAGCTACTCACTGCAATCCTAGGCTATGTTGGGTTCTCTGATGATGTCAGAAAGTTGCTCAAGTGCAACCTTATGAGTCGGTTCATAAAATATCAAAAGGAATCACACCCTGTATAGAATTGAGCAAAATTCCTCTTCTAAAATGATTGTTGTATTACATTAGACCAACTACCTATAATTGGACACGTAGAATATAATATACCTAATTGTTTTTTTTTTCAGGCTTGCTCTCTCAGCGGCCAAAGTATCTGTAAATGTCGATATCAAAATAGCGAATGATTTTTCTAAAATATCAATTTCTGATTTGGACATCCAACTTTCTTTCCGTGACTCTCCGGTAAGTTGAAGAATAATTCAACCTGTATAAAGTATACTCGATAACCAATAAATGTCACTTCAGGTGGTGCTATACCAAAATCTCCGTTATACAATGTATTGTGTTGATTTTCTTAAGTAGATATACAGGACTTACCAACCCTGTGAAATTGTTATTATCTGACCGATTCCAAAAAACTTTTTTTTGTTGGATAGGTATTTGAAATGTCCATCCAACAAGAGAGTGATTTTACTCATGAACTGTAATCGTGGCCAACTGCGAACAACTTTATTGACCAATCACTTGAAAAACACCTTCACTGATTTTTATCATCATGATACACAGGGTGTCTGAAAAAACGAATTTTGTTTTTTTTAATAGGTGATCAGAAAATGTACTATTGTAGTATTTTTGAGAGGAATTGATGACACATTATTATTGAAGATCACTTTGAACATATCTGTACCGATTTTCATCATTCAAAAATACGATGTGTATGAGAAAACAATTAAAAAGAAAAAGTAGGCAATATTTTTTCATCAACTCAAAAAAATATGAATTTGATTTTTCGAACACCCTGTGTTTAATGATGATGAAAATCGGTACAGGTATGTTCCAAGTGATCCTGATTCATCTTTTCATTTCGAGTGAAGTATTATCAGGATGAAAAATATTGCTTACCTATCCTTTTCAATTTTTTTCTCAGACACATTGTATACTCAAATGACGAAAATTGGTACAGGTATATTTCAAATAATCCTCAATGATAATTTGTGATTATCTCTTTCTAGAAAAACCACAGAGCTACATTTGCTGATCACCTATTTGAAGAAAATAATGATTCGTTTTTTCGGACACCCTGTGTTTTATGATGATGAAAATCGGTACAGGTATATTTCAAGTGGTACTGATTCAGAATCCATCATCAAGTATCGTGGGAAAAATTCCCTAATAGTACTGTCTGGAATATGGGTCATTGAAATTTGTCGGCCACGATAACAGTCCAAGAATTAGATCACTCTCTCGTTGGATGGGCATTTCAAATACCTAACCAACAAAAAAAGGTGTTTTGAAATTGGTCGGATAATAACGATTTTACAGAGGTGGTAAGTCCTTAAGGTGGACACACTGTATATACTATACAGCGACTATTATAATTTCAGTTCCAATTATTGTAGTTCAAAAAAGGTTGAGTCAATTTCAAAAGGTTGAAAGCATAAACAGCTTCTCAATGCATGATATAAAACTTGTTAGTAATTAATTTAGCCATATAGATTCGTTGATGTTGAATATTTTTTCATGAAACCTGGTGCAGTGGAGTATACGAATTGATTCTAAAAAAAATCGCTGATATCAATTCTGTGATCTAGGATCTAGTAGGCCTTGTTTTTTAAAAAAGTGGACGCCGCTTAGCTCCAAAATACGTCGTTCCCCCCTCCACATTTCAAAAAAAAGTTCGTTAAAATCAGTGCACAAATGAACAGTCTATAGGGGTGGTTCGCTTTCGAACAGGTCACTCTTCATTTTACAATTGCCTTAATTCTTTTCGAAATGAATAAACATGATTGTTTGCCTTCCATTATCCAAAGAAACATTGGCATTCAAACTAAGTATGCTAATGAGCAATCTGAAATACATGCATTTGAAAGTTTTTTAAAGACAACTTACTAGGTAATGGTACACTGGAAATTCAAGCAAGTTTTTGTAATCAATTTGAAATACACCATTACAGATACCTTTCCAATTCACTTTGAAATTTTTGGAAAACGAAAAATATATTTCGAAAGTTAAGCAATAATCTGAAGACTCGAATGACCCTTTTTGAAATTCAAATGACTATTTGGGAATACAATAAACACTTTTTGAACAATCATTGGAGAAGTGAATCTATCATCACGAGTATCTATATAGAAAAAAATACATCTCATAAGACTATACAGAGTGGGCCTTTGAAAACGAAACAGAGGCTCTGTAGGTCGCCAAAACCGGATTATCGAAAAAAACTGAAACAGGTCAACTACATTTTCGAGGGGGACATCTATCTAAAATATTTTCAGCCCTGCGGCGTTGCCGCTTCTAACGAAAAGAAGCAACAACTTTGTTATTTCAAATGGAACACCTTGTATTTTATTGCATTCTTAGATTCTCTCCGAAGAGCTGAATTCATCAATGCATCACACTTGGGGTCTAGCTGTAATGGTTTCAGGGATATAAAGTGTTCAAAATCGAGATTTTTCAACCTTAAAATTTTTTTGTGTCGAAACTATTCATTATTGGTCAAAACGGCTCTCATGTCCCTATCTCAACTTGTGATTTACTATCTACTGACATTAATTTGAAACAAAATACAGGGTGTTTCAAGATTCAGAATTCTGATCACCCTGTATCTGGTCCAATTAAATGTTAGTAGATACTGAATCACAAGTTGAGATAGGGATATGGGAGTCGTTTTGACCAATAATGAATAGTTTCGACACAAAAAAATATTAAAGTTGAAAAATCTCGATTTTGAACACTTTATATCCCTGAAATCATTACAGCTAGACCCCAAGTGTGATGCATTGATGAAATCAGCTCTTCGGGGAGAATCTTAAAATGCATTAAAATACAAGGTGTTCCATTTGAAATAACAAAGTTGTTGCTTCTTTTCGTTAGCAGCGGCAACGCCGCAGGGCTGAAAATATTGTAGAACGATGTCCCCCTCGAAAATGTAGTTGACGTGTTTCAGATTTTTTTCATAATCCGGTGTCGGCGACCTAAAGAGCCTCTGTTTCGTTTTCAAAGGCCCACTCTGTATACTTATCTTACACACCTGGTCCTGGACTTTTGTTTTTTCATGGAGTCATGAATATGATATGAATTCGTCTTTTTCTAGTCATATATCAGGGGATTTTGGAAAAATGAAGATGCCAGCAACATTTTTACAGGAGCTCTGAATATTTTGGAGAAATTCTTCTGCATGTGGTTCGACTATGAAAGAACATCTATAAATTCTGCCATAAGTAATATCTTAGAGTTCGTGATGAATAAAATTATACTAAGATCGATAGAAACACCGGACCTGAGTAAATATGGATGCATAAAGGTAAGGTCAAATTCGATAATATGTGATAAGAAGGGAGAAATATTTACATTGTTTGTTTTTTTAGAAAAACAAATACAATCTTCTGGAACATCTGGAGAACTTTGCACTATTCCATGAAAATGGTACTACTCAAGAATATTTTGTAAGTAATACCACGAGGAGAGACTTACAAAAACTTTACTCGGATACTATTCAAGTGATTATTGATATTCTTGAAGAAGGCGATTTCTCAAAGTATATGTTGTAATTCATTGTGGAATAAACTTAATAAAAGAATCCCCATCGTTTTTTTTATCGCTCCTAGGGAGGATAGGGACAGGAGGTAGGTATTGGAATTTTTTTGAACTTTTGGAGATTATTTATGTTGTTGGGAATACTTCCACAGGCAATGAATTCCAGAGCCTAGCCGTTCTATGGATGAAGGAGTCTTGATAAAGTGCTGTTCGACATCTTTCGAGGTAGACAACGAATTTTTGATTTTCAATACTTTTTCCTCATTGATTCTATATTGATTACTTTGTCAGATATGAAAATTGCACAACTGATAAATATTTTGTGAGTAATACCACTATAGGGGAGACAAAAACTTTACTCGGATACTTTTCAAGTGATTATTGATATATTCTTGAAGATTTCACAAAGCATAATAATATGTTGTTCAGGAGGGGTGGAAGAACTTACAGTCACAACTCCACCACATCAAAAATTTTAATAATCACCAACGGTCATGGAGATAAGTAAGGACATGTTTCGAAGAATTAATCCTTCATCATCAGCAAATGTGTCGAAAAAAATCTGTCAGCATTGTTTCTTCTTACAGAGTTATGACTGTAAGTTCTTTCGCCCCTCCTGATTTATATCACCTCCATTGTTTCGATTTACCTACCAATTAGTTTTCTGTAAGTTTTGAATTTCAAAAATTTGCCCTCATAGATTGTATATAAATTATACTTTGATTGATATCACGATTCAATATACAGGAGATACAAAAAGAATTAACCGACTCTGTATTTTTTCGAAAACACCATTTTGATTTCAATGTGCATTAATTTTGTCAATATTTTGGATCAATGGGTTGTATTCATCAATAAAATGAAACTTCAATCCATATTAACAATAAAAACATAATAACATAACAGACAGGAGCTGTTATGTAATTATGTAATATGTAAAAAAAATTAAAACGCCCTGTAACAGCTCCTGTCTGTTATGTTTTTATGTTAATATGAATTGAAGTTTCATTTGATTGATGAATGCAGTCCATCGATCCAAAGTATCGACATTATTGATACACATTAAAATCAAAATAATTGTGCTGCTTCATGTTTAACTTAAAATATCTCGAAAAATAATGACTTTATCGCTATGAAAACAGAGTACAATTTTTACGAAGAAGGTATTGAAGAATCAAAAAATTCTGATGAAATTGCAATTCCGCCAGTGGCGTAGAATTTGGGAAGGATCAACCAGTCACTTGCCCCTATCGTACGCCTCTGGTAATAGCTAGAAAAGTTCATTTCACATAATTCAGTGGGATGTATAATACCTACACTTCCCTCCAAATATGAAAGTGATACGTCAAATAGTTTCGAAGAACTGGGCAAAAAACATTTCAAGATTTTTGAATAAAACACCCCGTAACTCAGACAGGATACATATTTTATCTTGGTGATCTGATTCTATGGTTGAAATATTTCCAATTAGTAATGAAACACCCTGTATATGATTTAGTAGTGATCAATAATAGTTTTATCAGATGACATGGATTACAAATACCGGTAAATATCTAATCCCAATGTATTTGTTACTATTCAGATGTATATATAAAACTGATCTTCGGTTCATATCTTTCGTTACGTTGTAAAGTTCGTCATTTAGTTGGATTGTTTATAATATTGTTTCATTTTCCATCTTTTGAAGAGTACACAGTGAATACAATGGACTCCGGTGAGTGTTTTATACAGTGTGTCCTATTTTAAACAGCTGCACCCTTGTATTTTTCTACTTGTTGAACGAATTCAAATTTTGTTTCGGTAAACATTTTTTTTTATAGATATCACCTATTCTTCGTGAAAACAGTCATTCAAAAATCATTAACGCGTGAAAACGATAATTGAAAATATACACAGTTCCTTATATCACGCACATTTTGTTACAAATCTATGATATCTAGGATTTTTTCAATAATTTCAATTTTTCAAGATAGTCTCGGGATAATGAAATTCAATGTATTGTCTTCTTACGTGCAGGCTTACTTTGAAAGTTTCAAGAAGCTCTCCATGAGGTGTAACTTATGACTGCTTATGACAATTGTATGAACGGAACGTTTATATTGAAGAGCCATGAATGAACATCTCAAGACTTATGACTTAACTTACGACTTAAAACTTATGACTTAAAACTGCTGCAGAAATTCACCAATCGAGGAGGGGCCGATCAGAGTGAGACACGCTGTATATATTTTTCACTGCTTTTCAGCGTTCCTTCAACAAATTTACTTATTGATGTTTCTTGCTGAAAGTAGATTCAGAGGTAGAGAGATGTATATGCCCGAAATGATAATCGACATGTCAACATTACTGAAAGATCCTTCTACCCAGTAAGTAAACTAAAATACAAATCTACTTTTGATATTGTGCATGCAAATATAAAACAAATACAAACATGTAGGATTTCTTCCTATACATATAGGATCTTAGTACAGGGTCTCTATAAATGATCGTAACATCGTAGTGGCTGTTGAAATTTTTTTTCCATTTGCCGCTTTCTACTAATGCTGTTAACAACATTTAACGACCAAAAAGAGAGGAAGTGATCATATACAGGATCTTTTTTATATCGTTTTGCATACACTATGGAAATGTATCTCGAAGAAAGGAGAGTCCAATATTGGAGAAAAATAATGAAACAAGTCAAAAATATTTAATAAAGAAGTAAAAAATAACGGTTTATTTCATTAACACCTCGATTAACCCACATCAAATGTTCAAAATGTTCTCCGTTGTTCTCCAAGCATTTCTAAACTCTTCGCCGTTTGTTGTCGAAAATGTTCCTCAGCATTTCCGGGCCAATATTTTGGCAGCAATGTGTTATTGAGGCTTGCAGCTCTTCAAGGTTATTGTTGTCTCTCTTGAATACTTCGTCTTTCAAATATCCAAAAAGGCAGGAATCCAGAGGCGTCAAATCTGGAGAACGTATTGGAAAAGAAGGATTAACTCCTCGACTTATCACACGATTGTCATAAAATTCTTGTGATTATTCTAAATTTGCACGTGTGTTGTGGGCAGTATAGCCCCATCTTGCTGAAAATAGCCAACTCGAATTTCTTCATCAACAAGTTGATTGAGGAATGGTTCTAACATCACGTGTCTGTACCTTTCACCATTGATAGTGCCATCGAAGAAAATCGGTCTATATATTCGCCTACGAGAAACTGCTAACCACACCCCAATGTTTTGAGAATGGAGTGGAGTCTCAATGAAATTGTGGGGATTCTCAGATCTCCAAAACCTAAAATTTTGTGAGATCACGTATCCCAACAAATGAAACCAAGCCCCATCGCTGAAAAATGTTAGGTCTAATAGCTGGTCATCGTTGACATTATTTTGGAACCATTGGCAGTACTCCAGACGACGTGGGATATCTATTGGCAGAAGTTGCTGTAGTACACTGGTCTTGTAAGGGTGCATATGCAATCTTTTTTTGAGCACATGACATGTACTTAGTGGCACACCAGATTGTTAAGATAATCTCTTTAATGACGTTTAGGGATTTTGCTCAACACGCGCCCTTAGATTTTCGACAACTTCTTACGATATTTGGGGCCTTCCTGTTGATTTTTTTTTTATTAGCGTTTCCAGTTTGTATGAATCTGTTCTGATGTGGGCTTCCAAAGGAAATTCTTGAATCTGTACATATTTCGCCAGGTACTCATCCTTGCAGGCTACTACCGAGTTACTCCATCCACCATTGATGAATGTGCCATTTCGACAATAAGACATTACAATAAATGTATTCTGCTCCAAGGAATAAGCCATTCCTCTTTTCAACACGACAATCACGAAGTAGAAAACAGAATCGTTCGAAAATTTCAACAAAAAACTGACAATTGTGAGTTTATCAGCTATGACAGCATAATGATTGATGTCAGAAATTGAATTCGAGTGTGTGAATCTATAAATGAAAGGCGGCAAATGGAGAAAATATTTCAACGGCTACTACGATGTTACGATCATTTATAGAAACCCTGTATATATCATATGCCTGTGGTGGAGAAATTAAAGCAGTTTTGGACTTTCGTATATTTTGCATCTCATTTTGAATGTCTTTCAGAGGGAGCATTATATTCAGAAACTTCACTTTCCTAATCGAACCGAACAGCATACAATATAACGAGAACGACGTTGTTGTAACTCCTAATACGGATGAAGAAGGAATAGAAAAATTCGATGTCTGCCTCAAATTGACCATAGAGTCGTTGAATTTTACAACAATATATGTAGCTGACATTGCTTTAGGGGAGCACATTCCCATATATGGCGAAGGAAATATGGCGTAAGAACAATTGTTATTTATTTTACAAGGGAAAAAGTATTAGATTTTGACTCGAGAGCTAAAATCTAATATATTTTTCCCGTATATAATACAAACATTTTTTCTGTGACATAAAAAACAATATTGAGAAGTGTAAAAACTTCACAAACGATAAGATTTCCACAAAATTTTTAAACACACGACATGTTTCGCTAACACAGTAGCTTCGTCAGGTGATATACTGGTACAATGAACAGTTCAAGGTTTGTTAATCTGTGCTATGGTCGTTGATTGATATATTACGCTTACGCCGCTATAGTAACGATACGAAATACAGGCTTTAAATTGATCGAGAATGTTTGGTGTGAAATTTTTGATGGAATTAACTCACGAATTATTACCACTACCACCATAGATCTAACCCCTCACCGCGTTTTGCTGATCGAGACAACCTTCTTTTACAAAATAAATCATCAATTCTACCAACCTTGGGGAATTGTATCATTGGGTGCCATCTATCAGTAAATGACAAAACTAAAACAGCGTCCTGCCGCTGCCCGCAAAAACCATACAGAAATCTGGAACATCTAGAAAGTGTTCACTAAAAACCGACAGGACAGTGATACAAAGGTCCCTGTAACCAGCATCATGGAAAAATATATCCATCAGCAGTAGATGGCAATAGGCTTGTTATTTTTGGAAAAACTATACAATGCCTTTTACAGGATTCATCTCAGCAATATAGTAATGGATTTATGTACTATAGCAAACACACAAGAGGCTTATGCAGAAAACATGAATTTGCGGATGTCTTATCAACGTGGACAAGTACGTACATACCTCTTGGTCATCAATGATAGGTATTTCACAAACTAAGATTCTTCAATGATCACTGAACATTAAAAATTATCTATTAGAATATGCAGCTTTTGATATAATATCTTGCGAATGATTTTTTTCCGAAATTGAAGCGATGAATAAAACACGTAATTACAGAAAATGAATCGCAACCATTTCCTAACGTTCGGCAACATTGCCAAAGTCATTAATATATCGAATACTTTCAGGAGAAGATTAAAACTGAGAAAATGGTCCATTCTGATTGGTTCTCGAGAAGAAAGATTTGGAATAGAAAACAAAATTGACCTCGTTTTATTTTTTCGGCCTCTTTTATCGCTCCAATTTCATAAACACCCTGTATATTATTTTGAAACATTAATGTTATATTTGATGAAGGGTTTTTCTTGAATCCTGATGTGTATATTTTTGATTAACGTCTTCTTCTTGAGGTTTGGATTCAGGTATTAATGTATTGTAAGTAATTACAAGGGATAGAGTAGTAAAACTGTTTCGCCTATGGTCATGGGCTTTGTCAATTTATTGAACAATCGGTAAAGGGTTTACATTGAGAGACATTCTAGCATGAAATTATAAACAGAGATACGTATTAAAAGGGAATATTCTCAGATATATTTATATGAACACAAAAAAATGGATATATATAGAGGGTGTTTCAAAAAAACCTAACCCCCTTGCTAGGGTAGGTAAAACATTGCAAAATAAGTTGGGTTTGCTCAGTAAAAAAATGTTGTAACGCCATCCGTTTTCAAGATTCAAGGTGTTGAAACAATATTTTTTTTACACATTTTTTACGATTATGTTGAAACTACTGGCAACATTGTGATGAAAGTTTGTATGGATGTTTCTTGGAATCTGACACATCGCATGCATTTGTTTTTATATCTGACTCTCATAGAGAGCGCTAGTTACACGGTTCGGGTTCGTACCGAGTAGTTTTGAACATAACTATTTTGAGGTTAGATTTTTCAACCCAAATTTGATGTGAACTTTAACATCATTCAATTTCCCACCAAAAAGGTACTATTGGTAAAACTCGATACTGTGTTCCGTTTTCGGAATATTTCGATTTGAAAATGATGAAGTGGTAACTGTTGCTGGTATAAAGCTATATATTAGAGTGAGTATTATGAAAAATTATCACCTATTCATTGAAAACAAAAAACAACAATACATTTCTTGAGCGAAGCTCATTGATTTAACAATGAATCACAAGAATAACATCGAAACAGATTTGACTAAGAACATGGATTACACAGTTTTGTTGTATCTTGAGCAGAAAGTCTATTCTACATAGGTAAATTCACGTCAAGAGTTGTGAGACATAATTGAACATCACTTATAAATGACGTAACAGCTGATCCTTAACTGTTCAGAAGAATAATACATTCTTAAAAAAAGAATATAGAATCGTGTATTCCTCGAAACGTAGGACATTTTGAACATTTACTCTAACTGATTCAATATTTCATGTTTCTAGTCAAATATCTCTTAATTTTCTACTTATGATCCTTTGTTCCATCGATAACTTCAGCACAAGAATAATTTTATTGTTTTTGAACCTGAATAAATAGGTAATTGAACTCAATAAAATTCATTTTATACCAGCATCATTACTACTCCATTATTTTCAAATCGAAATAATCCGAAAACGGATCCGAGTTTCACCAGGAGTACCTTTTTGGTGTAAAATTGAATGATGTTCAAGTTCATATCATATTTGGATTGGAAAATCTAACCTCAAAAAAGTTATGTTCAAAACTACTCGGTACGAACCGTGTAACTAGCGCCCACTATGAGAGTCAGATATAAAAACAAATTCATTCGATGTGTCAGATTTCAAGAAACATCCATACAAAATTTCATCACAATGTTGTCAGTAGTTTCGGAATAATCGTGAAAAATGTGTAGAAAATAATTTTTTCAACACCTTGTATCATGAAAACGGATGCCGTTACGACATTTTTTCAATGAGCAAACCCAACATATTTTGCAATTTCTACCTACCCTAGCAAGGGGTCAGGTTTTTTTGAAACACCCTGTATAAAGAAATACATTGAGAATTCGCATTCTCCATGTGATGGAAATATTAATTCTTTCTCGGTTTATTCAACAGAAAACAACTACTTTCCTGGCTATTTGCCACGACGAACATTGAATTATATCTATTGAACACACACGATGAGAATTTGAAAACAAAATCTTCTGAAGTAGAGAATTTGCATTCTCCTTCATTTAAAGATACGCACATATAATATCATTTTGAATATTCAACAGAAAACAACTACATTCCGGGCTATTTGCCACGTCGAACATTGAATTATTTTTGTTGAATATCCAAAAAGAGAGCATGGAAAAACAAAATGGTTAACAAAGCCCATGGCCATGGGCGAAACATATTTAGGTACTGTACTCTATCCCTTGTAATTACTTACAATACATTATTACCTGAATCCAAACCCCAAGAAAAATTAATTTTATATTTTAGACTTCTATCACCGGCATTTACCTCCATCCTGATGCAGATCGCATTGGATCCCAGTTGCTAGAGATTGGGAGCAGTTTATTCGAAATGTGGAATAAATATGAACCAGAGAAGGCTTCTTGTGTTCTGAGTCCTGTTATGCAATACATTTTGAACCAATTCCTCTATTACGAACACAATTCTCTCGAATTCAACACTACGTGTTTGCAGGTTGTTACAGGGTGTTAACTATACTTAGTAGAGAAGAATATTTTCACACAACAGATAATGGAATTATTTTTTCAGGAATCCATTGTCGGAAACATATGGAGAAACTCAAGAGGTTTATACCAAGAAATACAAGATATTTTGCAATCACGTTCAGCCTCAACAATTACAACGAAAGAAACGGATTCCAGTACCACAGTGAATGGTTTTCAATCTATACTAAAATTAATATTCAATTGAAAATTATTCTTAACGAATAAGTATAAGTAAGCTTGTATATAAAGGGTAATTCATTTTGAATGGCAATCTCTGAAGTACAGATAGTAAATACCAAAAAAATAAAATTTAGCCTAACATGTCTCATCAATATGTTGCTAGTTTTGGAAAATTCCCGAGTTTGTAAGTTTTAAGAGCATGAACATGAAATTTTGTATAGTTACACGAACTTGCAATACAATACAATACGTTTATTTTCCATTGGACATTTTTACATGTATACGAATCGTCGTTAAAACTAGACAGAGATTGAGACAGAGACATAATGTAAAACTTCAGCAAATTACATCATATTATCTTCTTTGTCCATGGAATAGCGGTTAAAATAAGTTGAAAATCTGAGAGCCTGTTCAATTTTACATAAAAATGTACTCTCTTTCAAATTGTCTAGCTATAACGGTTTTTGCGATATCAGCTCGTGAAAATATCTGCGTTTCTCTTATACAAATTTTATTAAGTATTTCAAATCATAAAGTCTGCGAAGTGACACTGAATAATCGCCAATAATTGATATGACAATCACTAAGTACATCAACAACAAACAAAATTTCAAAGTAAATGTTCGATCAAAGTTATTGGGACATTTTAGAATAAAATGTTTCCTTTGAACACTATAGTGCGGTGAAGTAAATGAAAATAATTTCAAATTTCAGTTCAATCGTGAATATAGCAGGTAGGAACTGAAGTTTGAATTGCTTCATATAGCCGCAATATCTATATATCTATAGATCTATACTTTCGTGATCGAAATTCATGTCGATCTGTGTTATAGGACTGTTGGAGGTTAGCGGTTTACTCATATCTGTAGGCTGATATTAAAAATTTTTCTTTGAAATACCTACCGATCATTCAAAATTCTGAATTTCTCCTATACAAATTAAACGTGAGAGCCCATCAAGATTCTGGCTGAAATTTATTGCTGAATGTTACTTATTCCTGTGAATATGAAAATATTATGACATCTATATGGCTGGTTGAATCATTTTGTTTTTATTTTTCTTTGAATGCCAATGAGGAAGCGAAATACAAAATCGAAAACACAACATGAAGGTATAGTCAATTGGAGCGTCTCGAACCGTACGTGTGCAATTGACTATGCATAGAGTCGGATAGACTAATCTATAGTATCCAATGATCCAATGAACAGCCGAAATACAAAAACGATTATCAACACAGATATACCAGCCAATCAAAAACGTGCATTTTGGAATGAGTGCAATCAATTAATCTCCTATAAATACCCTTCATTCCCGCAACTTGACAGCAATGGAAAAGTAGCCAGATATCAGTATTTTCATAGTATCTGGCAACATTGCCTGCCACCACACCTCCGCCAAAGCCTGCGCCTCCGCCTAAAATCAACTAGAGTCTAATTTGCTAACGGAGGAGCCACCGAAATTACCCGAACGTACACCAAAAGACGGCAGTGATGCCAAATGAGTCAATAATTCGTGGAATCAAGTCTACACGAAATTTCCTGAATAAAAACAGCACTGAAATCGAATATGAGGAAGAAAAATATATTTCCTGCATTACCATTACAAAAGGAGACTACCTTTCCCAAACACCTAACCTAACCTGTCGGCCTAAAATAACTTTCTTCCTAGAAATTATGTTTTTCGGAAAAATTACTTGAGAAAACAAATTGGAAATTTAAAAGTGAGACTGTTCATCCTAAACGCACTAACCTATATTCGACTTCAAATATTTTCTGAGGAAGGATAACCAGAATGAAGTGAAAAAGCATCGGTGAAAAAAAAGTTGTGAAAATAAAGTTCAAGTTCATAGTGACTCGATCTATGGACCTTCAGAGAGTCGACAGCGCTAACCACTAGACCAGGGATCACCAATTAGTTTCACTGCGAGTCCGTATATAACAAATATAAATTTGTCGCGGTCCGTTTGGTAGATGATAACGAACAACCAAGATCCGAAATATCAATGAATGAATAAAACCAAAAGAGATCAGAACATTTAATTATTAAGTAAACATCTAATCGAAAAAACGTATAGTAAGTACATAATATCAATGCGAGAAATGACATTTTTTACTCTAAACAATATGTCGGAAGTCTGGTGTTGAGTTGGTGCAAGCTATTGCCAATAGATCCTGGAGATAGTCATCGGTAAGACGAGATCGAAATTTATTTTTAATGAAGTTCATCTTGGAAAACGCTGCTTCACAAATATATGTTGATCCAAACATTGTGCAAAGTTTCAAAGCCAAATTTTATCAGTTCTGGGTATTTATTACCACACACAAATTTTATACAAAATTCTTCGCAAACAACTTCCGAATATTTGTGTTTTAAAACAGTATTTTCTTGGAAGTCGATCAGTTCCATCTGAAGAGCTGCTTTTTTACTTCCGCTTCCGAAAACATTCACCGCTTCATTGCTCCATTCACCATCGGGCTGTAGAGAGTAAATGTTACTGAGAATTTCCACAACGTTCTCAATTTTCCCAAAGTCTGCGAATCTGTTTTCGTATTCCGATTTGAAATCATTAATGAAAGTCTTGTATTGGCCGACCTCAATTCCTTCTCTGCCACTTTTCACTATTTAAAGATTGGGAAAATGCAGAAATTCATTATCAAGATCGTTTTTCAAAAGGTCAAGTTTTCGTGAAAAACGTTTCACTTGTGACAAATGTTCACATGCGAGCTTTCCTTTTCCTTGAAGTTTAAGGTCCATCAGGTCATTGATATGTTTGAAAATGTCCGATAAGAAAGCAACGGTAGCCACATTTTCTTCATCGCTAAGAAATCTTGAATAGGCGTTTGCTGAAACCTGATCATTTTGGGAAAAAAATGTCTTCAAATTTTCTAAAATGATGAAGAATCTTTGTAAGACGCAGCCTTTGCTTAACCACCTTACATTGTTGTGCATCAGCAGTAAATCGTCATATTGTGCATTAACTTCGTCCAGAAATGATTTCAATTGACGATGTTTCAGTGATGATTAGACACTCAGGAAATTTACAATTTTGATCACTTCTTGCATCGTATTTGGGTCCGCACAAAATAGTTTGACGGTCCGGATCCGGATCGCGGTCCGCCATATGGTTACCCCTGCACTAGACCGTTTGGGTATAGGATCGAATTACGCATCAGGCGCGACTGAGAGAAATATTCCTTCTGCATAAGAAAGAAAGAAGAAGGACACTTCGGAGGTCAAAACATAAGAGATATCGAGAATAAAACAATAAAAGTATCACTAACAAATATCAACAATAACAAACGTGCATCACTTGGCATCACTGCTGTCGTTCGGTTTAGTTTCGGCGGCTCCTCCGTTAGCAAGTTAGACTATAGTTGAAATATCTCTGTTGAAATCATAGCTTGTTCGCTCAATGCTCGTTCATTTCATTCAATGTTTTCATTCCGCGACAAGCTTTCATGGAAGTAGGCTGTGATGCAGAGGTTCTTGATAGTCACGAATTTTACGAGAACCGACAACACGTGCGTGGAGTGACAGCAGTAGTGACATTCCGAACTATTTATCAATAAGCGCATTTTCCACGGAAAACAATACATTCCCATGACGGTTTCGAATGCCACTGGGTGTTTATAATAATTGCACGAACACCTGATCAATTGAGAAAAAGTGACTCATACGGAATACCAGAAAGAGAGTGATTAAGCGGTAAAAACAATGGGTGTCCGCGAGTTTTTCTTTTGTTTTTTGGCGTTTGTGTGTTGTTTCGTCGATGTTTTCTCCATCGAAGACTATTGTTCGAGAAACAATTTCAACAGCAGCGATAAATTCATGCATTTCACGAAAGAAGCCACGTTTGAGGAATTCGCAGTGGTTGGCAAATTCAAGGGTTTGCATTGTTGTGCCAAAGGATACAGGAGTATTGAATGGTGAGTTTTCATCAAAAATCTGAAGACATATTTTTCAATTTTTAATAATCACCGGCAGTGTCGGTGATTCTCGAGGTGATTCTATGGCTGCTGGCGGGCAGTGTTTATCACTGATCATGATTCTTATTTGTCATTGGTTGTATCATTGGTACCTTTCTTGTTCCTGATAATTTCAGAATCATACCTAATCACAGAGGATGCTGCTTCCATGAAAAGTGAGACGTAGGTGGATTTTTCTGTACTGATAATTTTACAAAAAATAGTAAGTCCCGAAAATACTGTTGGGATCTTTCAAACACACGATTTTCCAAATTTTAATCCGAAGGAATTATAATATATTTTTCAAAATTGGAATTTAAACATAAGGTGGAGTTTGATAAATACTGTACATTTTACTTGATTTTTTGGGATTTTCTCCTCGTTTTTATGAAATAAAAATAATGCATATTATTTCAATATATTTGAGCAGATTCGTTCCCGAAACGTCCAAAGATATCTAAGTAAAAATTTGATATTTTTTCAATATATCTATATTTCTTTCCTTCAAAAATTTTTTCAAACAAAGTGTCACTGACAAGCTACTTACTGGATTTTACTTTTAGGCTCCCTGATAAAAAAATTTGTTAAACGCAGTGACATTTTGGGGCAAATCATCTGATTTGTCCTACTACAGATATATTGAAATAATACGAATATTTTTATTTTATAGAAACGAGGAGAGACAATTCCAAAAAAATCAAGTAAAATGTAGAGCTTGATATTTCATGCAAAGAGAAATATTCAAATTACATACATTCGAAAGTTTCATTCTCGTTTTGTATTTCTTCTTTTTATTTTCAAGGGCTATCTTGTTGCTATTTTTTCAATCTGTCTGCAAAAGCTCGCATTACCTACTTCATTTCATTAAGTGCAACCATAGATCTAACTGAATACACTTCAATAATGTGACAAATGGAAATATTCCATATTGTTAACATTACAACTCAAAAATTTGTTGCATTTAATTCATTATTGCATTCAAAGATGAAAATGTATAATAACGTGACAACTCAAACAATTTTAAATTGTGTTTAGTCCTCGGTTTAATCAATAAGGTGACTTAATGACTCGTCACATTATTTATCATAAAAATTTCCTCAAAAGTCAGAATACGAGGCGTATCCTGCGAAGTTTAGGTGACAACGCAAAAAATCACTTTCTTGCTCGGCTGTAGTACCTACTTCTCCTCTAGTGCAATATAACATGACCAGCGATGTCACGCAGCAGCTTTGGACCTAGAGATGTCACGATATTCTAGAAAAGTAGAGCTCGAAATTTGCCATCCGACGGTGGTTCTAACTCAAAAATCAATTATTTTGAGTTGTCACACTATTGTTCTCAACGTGCGATATGTATACTACTACTACTATATGTTTCGAGAGACATTATCAGTTTAGTTAGTGTACATTTTTTTTTAATTCCACCAGTGGCGTTCGTACGGAATTTCACCTGACTATTTTGACTGTCATTGATGGTACGCCACTGATTTCTCAATATCGGTAATAGGTTTCTTCCTGTTTTGTATTTCAATATGTATGGGAGTTTCCTCGGAAGATTCTGACCAACTTCGAAAAATCCGATGATAGCATCAAGACAAAAGAGTTTATTGGTGAGAAATGAAGAAAAACTAAAATTTTATAATTTCTCATAAAATACACAGTGTGCAAAAGAGTTATCTCGAATTATTATTGGTTTTATCTCTTGGAGCGCACGAAAGGAAATTCCTGTAATGTTCGAGTGTTCGGAAAGTATGTTGTTCGACTTCGCGTTCGACATATCTCCATAGCACAATTGCATGATGATATTCTGTTTCGAGGAGAATAAAACAATATTTTTTTATAAAATCTCAATTATGTGAGTACTTAGATTGTATGAATTGAAAGTATGATTGCTTTATTATTTCGTTGGAAAAAAAATTCCGAAGATAATTCTATACTTCGTTCTTTTGCCTGAATCGTAATTTCCAGAAAAAGAATATACTGTGTAGGTATTAGAAATTTAAAAAAAATCGATTCACTTCCGGTCAAACCAGATATTTATGTGAATATCATGATATTTACAAACCTATTCCTGGAACAGATTTCCTTGTGAATTCATCAGTGAAAAAATAAATAATTTCTTGTTGATAAACCCATTACCAGAAGCCATAACAAATTAAATTTGAGCGAATGCCAGACTCCTGTCTATATCCTAGAATATCGTATCCCTAGACCCGAGGGGGAGACCACCTCTGAAAAATATGTACACGTATTGCGGAAATCTCATGATTTCAGCGATTTCAGAGAATTCTCTGTAAATTGTTGCGATTTCGGAGGATTGCGAACTGAATTCATTGATTGCAGAGTGATTGCAGGGGCTGCAATGGGATTGTGAAATTATATTGAGGATTGCGAGACGATTTCCGCGATTGTGGGTTCATTTGCTAGCTTGATTGCAATGGTGAATTTCTGAAATTAGAGTTTATATGTGATTTAATTCAATTACCACATAGGTAATCCTTTCGAATTGTAGAGCATCTACCTAATTATTTAAGCATGACGGATTATACAATCAAATAAAGTATAAACATAATTGAAGAAAATTTTGAATTATTGAAAACCCATTTTGTCTCATATAAACATTTTTATTATTCTTTCAACTCTGGTGTTTTTCATTTTATAAAAGTGAACATAGCATATTATACTAGCATTCATGTTAGCGAATTGACTGTTTCTTTGAATCTTTGTATTTTTTCTCAATATTCATTAAAACATTTCTTTTAAGGCGGAAAGGTCCATTACCGACTAAGTCGATTGGCCCATACAATTTGAACTTTTTTTCGACAACTTGAATATCTTCCTTATTAGGCCATATACAGGGTGATCCACGGTGGATGTCCTATTAGAAGTATCTGGAGAAGGAAAAGACAGAACATTCTGAAAATTGCGATTCTTCGATAATTGAACATTCTCTATCCATCTGAAATATTTTCAGCGATACAGTGTTGCCACTTCTATCAGAAACAACTAGCAACTTTGTTATTTCAAATGGAACACCCTGTATTTAATTGCATTTTTAGATTCTTTCTAAAGAGCTGATTTCATCGATGTATCATACTTGGGGTCTAGCAGGAATCATTACAGAGACATAAGGTGTTCAAAATCGAGATTTTTCAATTTTAAGATTTGTTTGTGTCGAAACTATTCATTATCGATCAAAACGGCTTACATGTCCCTATCTTAACTTTTGATTGACTATCTACTGGAATTTGATTGGAAAAAATACAGGGTGCTCCAAGATTCAGAATTCTGATCACCCTGTATCTGTTCCAATTAGATGTCAGTAGATAGTGAATCGAAAGTTGAGATAGGGACATGTAAGCCGTTTTGATCAATAATGAAGAGTTTCGACACAAAAAAATCCTGAAATTGAAAAATCTCGATTTTGAACACCCTATATCTATGTAATCATTCCTGCTAGACCCCAAGTGTGATACATTGATGAAATCAGCTTTTCAAGGAGAATCTAAAAATTCAATAAAATACAGGGTGGTCTATTTAAAATAACGAAGTTGCTAGTTGTTTCTGATAGAAGTGGCAACACTGTATCGATGAAAATGTTTTAGACGGATAGAGAATGTTCAATTATCAAAGCATCCCAATTTTCAGAATGTCCTGTCTTTTCGTTCTCCAGATACTTCTAATAGGCCATCCACCGTGGATCAGCCTGTATACATATCCAGCTCCGATTTCAAAAACTTAATTCTAAAGGTATCATTTTCGAGGATCTCTAAAATATGTTCAATATACCAGGTGTCATAAATAGCTGCATAATACTTTTCAATGCATATTGACGTTTCTTTCTCTCCATTTGATTCTTCCTCCAAAAAACTTTAATTTTCTGATTTCTTAGAATAGCATACGTCACTTTCACTATCCGAGGTTTCCTCAACATGATGATTCGTCGATTTTTTTGACGGTTTTTTGTTTTGTTTTTTCTTTGTTGCAGAAGAAGTGGAATTATTCATTTGACCAAGATTTTGACTTCGTGTTGACATACCTCGACAACGAATTTTTCTGTCAGATGATAGTTTCCCTTTTTTGTCAGCGAAGAACCAACATAATTTCGATTTTTTCACACAAAACTCAAACTACACTAGAGATTCTTCAAAGATTAACGTATAACCGAAAAACAACATAAAATATAATATACCTTCGTTGGTTTACCGCAAATGGCCGTTTCCCCTCCATCATTGAATTCGATGAATTCCGCGATTGCGGAAGCGATTTCGAAAGCGATTGCGAAAGCGATTGCGAAAGCGATTGCGAAAGCGATTGCGAAAGCGATTGCGAAAGCGATTGCGGGATTGCAGATAGGGATTTCGGCGATTGCAAATTTACTGCGGGATTTCAGGGGATTTCAGTGACGATTGCAAGTGATTTCAGACCAAATGTACACGTATTGCAGAGAGTGGTCGCCCCCTCGCCTAGACCTATACATTCATTCATGAAATCTTACACTGTCCAAGGCCAACTCAGGACAAAATACCTGCCGAAACCGGACACGAAATTGAAAAAAACAATCGCCTAATCAGATGAAACGGGCAATGGCGCTCCGCGAGATCCAGTCGGCGATGAACATGAAAAAAAAAGAATGAAACGATGTTCTCTTTTTCATTCGGCCATTGTTAACGACCGATAAAAATGCAGAATGCAGCAGAAACTACCTCCAACACGACTCCGATAGAGGTTTATTTCATTTCCATTTCATCCGGGACATCTAAATTCTGCATCTGGGGTCCATTTCAGTGGATTTATGCACATCGCATTTTCACTAATCTGTTACCTCCCACGAATATTTTTTTCTTATATTCATATAGGAATTTTCTAATAATTAGCCCTTTCTAGTAACACAAACACTGGGAAAGATATTTAGAAAAAATATTTCTGGCAGGGTTTTGAAAGAAATTGGTGTACTCAAAT